TCCTTATGCACAATTATGGAGATACGATGATAAATTTTGAATCTGGTGAATACATGAGAAAGATGATTTTTCAATCAGTGACACAGGTGGCTTGGAAGGAAAAATCTGAGTACTCCAAATAGGAATTGAACCTATGACCTTATCACTAGTCCAGATGCTCTAACGCTAAGCTACAGGAGACTGGCGGGAGCTAGGGCCACAGGGCAACCAGGTTCACTTCCCTTTCCTCCTCCTCCTAGTTGCTTCTCTTTCCTTCAGAATTTTTTTTAGACTTATCCCTTGTGGGAATTACAATCTGCTTTCTGTCAATACACTCACCGACTTTAGCAGCCCAGTTCGGATCTCTGGCCCTTTCGTATCAAGTGCAATGGCGACAGCATGGGGCCATTCTTCAATTCTTGCTTGCTTCACCAAGTCAATGGTCTCTGCATGATACTAACAACAAAAATTTAAAGAAACAGGAGACTTAAATGAACAAAATGGGCATCATTAAGTTTACCTCATTTGATGTTTTATCAGGCATCTTGCCTGATGAAGACCTGTAGAATGCTGTCAAAACTTATGATCAATATCCAAGTGACTTTAATGAGACATACAATCAACAAAATTCTTTTTAAACATTAGCCACAATGAAAAATTTATTTCACGACAGGTATCTCAAAGATGCATGGTACATGTAACTATTTCCTTCAAACCCTTCAAGAATGCAGTTATATAAATATGTTAAGTAAAATGCAAACCACATCTCACAACTGTTAGACTTCTTGGGGAAGCTGTGTACTATGCTATTTAACAACAATTTCACTGATAGCTTGTCTTTTTTTATACTTTAAAAGTCAAAACTTTGAAGAAGAAAAAAGGGGGAGGGGCGGACAATGATTGCTTTCCTTTTCTTCTTCTCCTTCTGCAATATTTTTTAGTGGAGGGGAGGCAGACGTGTGCTTTGATCAGCTTTCACCAGACTTTACCCTTGTGAGACTCATTTTATGAAAATGTAGAGGAGGCAGTGGGTAAGAAGACAAGATTTTCAATTTGCATGTGTTTTTCGTTTGTGAGTGTAACAATAGAGCATTTCCTGGATATTCTTTTACAAGCAAACAAAACAAAAAGGTTAGTCCAGTGTACATAATTTTGTTATATATGTTGTAGTTAATTTTTTATCTCAGGTAATTTTTATTTTTCTTTTGTTTTATGTTAATGAAGTTGAACCAGAAAAAGAATTTCTAATTACCTGAGATAAAAAATTAACTATTGTACCATATATATGGGACTATTGGTAACACAAAAATTCCACCTTGTTTAATTAATTTTTATCCAAAATTAATGTTAATATAATAATAAATGACAAAATATTTGTCAATACATGTACCTCATGAGTCCCATGTGAGAAATTCAACCTTGCAATGTTCATTCCATTTTCAATCAGCTCAGAAATGATCTTTGGATCTCTTGAGGCAGGGCCTAAATATAAAAAACAGCAAAAGATCAGAGGTTCATGATGCCCATAATTGACCCATGCTCAAGGGCAGCACCCCCACCAACTTCCAACTTTGGGACAACTCAAAATTGTGCAGGCTGAGATATACGTTTATAGTGTGGGAAAATGATCTTGGATCAGATGAGCATACACTCCAGGTGAGTATGTAGGTATGTAGGTATAAGGTGATTTAATGTATTAGAATTCGTAAAAGAAATATTTTTTCCCTTTTTTTCTCTAACTGGTGATTTTAAATCCCCTGATTATTTGTTAGCTTAAGGGGGCTTCCACTGATCTTCAAATCAATCAAGGGCTCAAACGTGTATTCATTAAATAACATTTCAGACATTGTTAATTATTAAAAACTGAATCATTGGATAATGCAATTCTAGAGTTCTGATTGGCTTAGCCATATGTTATATGAGCCATTATACCACGCTTTCCAAATTGGGTAACTGTACGCATCCGCTCAAAATTGAAAACAAGCTGAAAATCGGTTGTTTTTTCAAATAAAGTAGGGAAGAATTCTCGATATTTTGTGGGTGTTTTTAATAAAACAAAATATATTCCACTCGCATTTGTTGGATATGAGATGATCATAGCCATCTCATATCCAACGCGCACTCTTGGAATAATTGTTAATTATAATAGAAAATAAGTTTTCTGAATTCTTTACCAAGGGTGCAAATGAGGCCAGAGTTACGAATGGTGCGGGGATGACGATAGATATCCATGTCTGCCATGAAGTCCAAGTAATTTGTGGCCTGTGTGGCTGCCCATTGTTCCTGACGCAGATGCAACTCTTCCACATACTCTGATCGTGCACCTCTTGCAGACATCCTTTAACTGTTTAAAAAATGAGAACTTGAGAATTTGAAATAGGTAGTATTTTTTCAAACAGTAAAACAGTATTGGAATAAGTGTGTTGTCTTTTAAACTCTTTTCTCCAAGTGCATAAGCCATTCCTATGGTGTTATTCATATTAATTTTATTCAGTATTGTTCTTTCATTATTAGTGATCTTTCCTAACCTGTTTTCAGTATGTCAGCAATATGCGGAACATGACGTCAATAAGAACAACATAATTGCCAGAAAAATGGACTGGCAACCGAACTGGTAACCAAGCTCTGGGGATGAAGCTGCACTGTTTTGGCAGAGCAATACAAAATGGTGGACCATTTCATATGTCCTCCCCCCCCCCCACCCACAAAAGAAAGGCTGAACTACTACCTAAAAACATGGCAAGAACAGTACAGGAATACAAATCAACGAACGCCACCTGGTATTTGAAGAAAATCTGCAGAACTCTGAAGTTCCTTTTATCTCCTGAACATGCCAAGAGACAGGCAATTGAAGACAGGAACTTAACATCGCTTGTTTTTAAACTAGGAGTTATTTTGAATGAATAATATATAAAAGAATTATTGGATTCAACTTTAGGGGGGTGTTATCCACCTCCCCTCTCCATAATTCTTCCAATCGATCATACTCTACCTAATCAACCCTCGCTATCGAGATGACACAACAGTTTGGTCAAAATGAGTTTATTAAAACTAAGAAACGTGGAAATTGAAAATACAAAATCGTAAAAATAATACTGCAGGAGAGGTGGGTAAGAGCTTATGCCTCGTCTCTTCGCATCTTACAAAAGATGACTCCAGACCACGTGGTCAATTGTAAGGGACATTCAATATCTCTTTTACTGGGTAATTAACCATCATTAATAAATTAATGATTTCACCATTCAATTCAATAATTGTTAATTATTTTCTTGAACATATTTCTGAAGAATTTATGTCCATTAAGGACTTATATTAAAAAGAGGTAAACAATTCACTCATACTCAAGGTTGTTGTTGTTCTCAAACCTGATGGTATTTTTAGAAGAAGGAATGAAAATGTCCACATTTTATATTAATTTTGGTTATACAAGAGCAATTAAAGGTTGTGGTCAGGATGATGTAAACATGTGAGTACACAATGTGGCTTTGACAAATGCTATTTATATTTAGACACACTAGACCACTCGAAGTCCATAAGGAATATATTAATCCCTCTTTAGTTTGACAATATTACTAATTCCTTTACAAAAAAAACAAAATTACCAACTTCATGTAAAAGCCTATATAATATATATATTTTTCTTTGTCACAAGAAAGAGACTTTCTTGAACACAAGCCTAACAACGAAGATGGCTAAGGCCCAGAAGGTGTGTGGAGCAACTTTCACTCTCCCGGGACACATAAAACCTAAACACCCCCACTTATTTGCATCTCGTTGAATAAGTAAAAGTGCCTGTTGTGTTATGCCTGCAGCCTCGTTCTTTACAGCGTTTCGACAAGTGGCTGAAGTTGCTCCCTTAAGCTAAGTTAACCCAAAAGAAGGAAAAGTTAATCAACAAGGAGACATCAACGTTGTATATGGGCTTGGTAAGGCACAAATTGATTAGTGGGTGCGCGCTAAATCGCGTTGAGCTTGCCCTGTCTCTTGTATCCGAATCCCATGCTCTCTTTAGTCAAATGTACGTTGTATTCCACTCCATAAAGGCTGAAAGATACGTTTTACGACTGCCTAAAAACCTGTACAATGAACATCAAACAACTGAGTAATATAGCAACAACCTCGCCCGTCTCATCATGCACTTACATCGGCCAAGTTGAAAGTGAAGGCCTTGAAATAAAAGGCTATTTTTATAGTTACGAAGTTGTTTTCGAGCCAAGAGGTAGAAAAGCAATGCCAGGCTACCTCGTAGGCGAATTTAAAAACAAGCTTACCTTGTTAACTGGCGATCGCAATGGACGGCTTTGAAAACCAAACAACGAGATCTACAAGACACTCTTGCACCGCGACCTCTCTACCCTACCCGGGCGAGAATTGTGTGCAACCTGCGCTGTTCATTTCACCAATCACATCATGGTATTCTCACTTCCGTTTGACCAACTTCATCCTCGGAGACCCAGGGGCAGATAGTGGGGACGAGGGAAAGTCTGAACGGGCGGAAAAATATGGCACGAAGAAAAGTAAAGAACGGCGAGAAGAGCCCCTGGGGACAATGTCTTACCAGACCAGTTCCAACGGTCGCCGCCGTTCTGGCTTCTGATTGGTGCCAGAAAAACACAAGTTTGGAACTGGTCTGGTAAGACATTGTCCCCAGGGGCTCTTCTCGCCGTTCTTTACTTTTCTTCGTGCCATATTTTTCCGCCCGTTTAGACTTTCCCTCGCCCCCTTTATTTGCCCCTGCGTCTCCGAGGATGGACCAACTTCTGCAACTTCCGTTTTCTTGATGGTCCACGTGACTACTGGTGAGGATCCTATGATATCAAACACGGCGCACAAAAATTTATCCAGTATCGCTTGGACATGTATAAATTTGGTTTAATTTTGTTTACAATGTATGAACTAACGGTTTCTTATGTAGTGACTTCTGATCTAGGTATTTTCAAAGGTTGATCATTTCATGGCAAGCGAACCGTGGAACGAACTGATTTAAAACATGATAATATTGACGCAATAATTATTGGTTCATTATAACACCATTTTGCTACAGGAAATGGCTTTGGAAGAGAACGAGAAAATTACGCGTATAGAAACTATTCTGGAAGTAGAAGAAGAGGTGAAGATCACTCCTCCTGCACGACGCAAGAAAGCTGAACGAATGAAGAATAAATCAGCTGGAAAATTGTCTTCCCAAGCCTGCTCTGACGCAACGAAAAGAACAAGTCTGGGAGAGGAAACTGAATCATTAGTTGTGGCGACACCGAATGTCGATGAACACAATTTAAAAACATCTACACCTGAATTATCCCCGCAAGTTAACACCATGAATAATGCTGAATCTCATGAGGGAAAGAATGGGATGCTTGAAAACAGCTGGAAGGAGGAAAGCGGTGGCGATAATGAGGCTCCCTTCGGGAATAGTCATGAAAATTCCTTCATGAATACGAACACGACAGTTGATTTCGAGAGTCAATTGAACTCAGCTGCGACCTCTAAGGAAAGCGAAGAAGTAGCAGAAGCTTTAAGCGTTCTTAGCGATAGAAAAGAAGACTTAAAAGCGAATCGTTTAGAAAACTGTGTCAGTCCCGACATTACAAGTGGCTGTACTAGTCAAGATGAAGACTCCTTCTACTCGGCCGAAGAGGCGGAAACTACTGCTTCAGAATTAATTTCGGCGCCAGCTCTGCCAAAGCTATCCGAAGAATTGAATGAACAGTCAGTGGAATTACAAAATCACGAACTCGTTTCCTCTTCAAATGGTGAAAAAGGGAACCTAAACGAGAAAACCGGCGTTGAAACTTTGCAGCAAGACACTGCAGACCTTTCCAAAAAACAAACGTTTAATACAAGCGAATGTGCAGACAAGCCGTTGGAGATATTGGCATCTACAAACAAAGAGAAATCTTGCGAAAATCGTAAAACATTATCTCAAATTAATGATAAAGATTCCTTGAGTACTGAAACATCTTTAATTGACAGCAATAATATCGCTAATAGAGACGTTTCAGCGACTGCTGTTAGCATTGACTCAGCTAACAGTGATTTGTTATCAGAAAAGGGCACTGCTGCTGCTGCGGCTGCTACAGGCGGTGACCTTGAGGCAGATACTGAAAGCGAAGAAGAATGGTCATCCAGTTCTGATACAAGCTCAACAGAGGGCGAATATGATGTAGATTATTTTGAAATACACCATGGGATTCAGGTTTGTACATTATTATTATTATTATGTAATATTTTTAGTTTTCTACATCTACATTTGGGGGGAGGTCCTAAAAAGGGGATACCCATCACTGCAAGACATCAATATGAAAATAAAAGGGAGAGGAAATAAAATAATAATAATAATAAAAAAAGTAGAAGTAAATAAAATTCATCGAAACCCCGATTTACGGACACATGCTAATACAGACACCTCATTATTCTTTGCCCTGGGGAATGAAAGCCCTTGCATTTTCTCTAAATTTAATCCACTTAATACAGACATCCCGTTAACAAGGACACTTTCTTTGGCCAACCAGTGTCCGTGTTAATGGTGTTTGACTGTAAAAGTAAAAAACTAATGAAAATAAAAAGATACATGTCAAAATTAAAATAATAAACTAAGTGAATAAGATATCAGTGAATAATTGAAATAATTGATTACCGGGTATGATAATAATAAATTATTTTAATCCAGACTTATCTAATTTAAGTTCCTTCTTAATTTGGTAGATCACCTTTACCACATTTATTCAGGCTCTGTTTAGAGGCCAAACTTTTCATTAGCTTTTAAACTTAGTTTACTGAATTATCAAAGTATGTAATAATTTGAAAAGTTTTGCATTAATTTTAGTCAATAAGAATGGCTGGTAGGGAGTTGGTCAGTAACTGTTGTTCTTCCTGTCTGACTCCAGCCAGGAATTTTGACTTTGGAATGACTTTGGGATGCTAAACTTTTTATGTGCCCCATCTTGTGCACAAGTTATTGGCCATTTTTATGCTAGAGAAGTTAAAGTCGTCTGAGACGTTAAAGTTGTCTTGAGACAACTTTAAGGTCTAGTATAAAGAGGTAAATAAGACAGGTGCATTTTAAGTCTGACAAGTCTGACCCTTAGGGAAAGGCTTACTGACCACTTAATACAGTCTGACTGTTAAATACGGGTTTGATAAACCTATGAGTTGTTCAAGAAAATAATGATGGTGAAGTGGCAAAATATCTATCCCATGACAAAATGACCTCAAAGTGTCTCTACCTCTTCTCAGACCAAAAATTGAAGTACAGTAAGAGAGCAACAAATGCCATACACACTGTATCTCTTGCGCTTGTAAGGTACATTGTCTAAATTACCATCTAATAAAAGTGAAGACAATGAAAAATACCCCGTTGGGACCTCAGTAAAAGGTGTCGGCAACTGCTTAATAGTTATTACAGGTCAGTTTTATCTAAGTGAGGGAAATGATTTCCAGGACTTTGGTGGGTAACTACTTAATAGAGGTTGACGGTTGATAATTAATGATCCTAGAAATCATTACCCTCAGTTTTGTAAAACTGACCTGTATTAAGCAGTCACCTCCATTAAGCAGTTGCAGTCACCTTTCCCGAGATCCCAATGAGTTAGAGGTTCACTTAATACAGATTGGACTGTATACAGATCAAATGTAGAATTGTGTAACTTAGAGCTGTATACCTTTCTTTTTGTTCAGAGGAGTGGTTCTCGTGATGATGATTCCAAAGATGGCTTGAAGGAGATTTTGCTAGCTTTTCCAAGTGGAACAGAACTTGTAAGTGTTACAACAGACTCTGAGGACGATAGCAACAGAGGGGATACCCCAAGAAAGAACTTCAGAGATGGAGAAGAGTCTCTCTTGGACTCATCTTTATTAGAGGGTGAAGATGACTCTGACACTGGCTTGAAAATGCTAGCTTGTTTTTCACCTGAAGGAGAATGTCCAGTTGTGGTGGATGATACTACAAGTGGACAAGAGAAAGTTGATGTAAAAATTGTGCATGAGAGTGAAAAAAACGATGATAAATTAAACAATGGTACAAATGCTCCTCTTCTGGAAAGTTCACTGGATGAGGTCTCTGCACATGACAACTCGGATCTTAGTGATATTAATAATGCAGGCTTATTGGACTCCATTGATGGAATGCCTTTACAATCTACCAGTGTAGACAGTTCATCTTCCAAGGAAGAAAAAAACAACTTAGATAAAAAGAGGTCTGGATCATTTCGTTTGATTAAAAGCAACGGTTCGTTGAAAATTGTTTGTGAGACAACAGTGACAAAAGAAGATGTGAAAGAAGCAAGACTTAAAATGCAAAGTGTTAAGGGAGAAAGCAGCTTGAGTAGTAGCAGTCAGTCTGTTTCCGATAGCACTGACGCAGAAGAAGTCCTTCAGAGTGCAGTGTCTGAGGCAAAGACAATCAACGAAGAATTCAAGACTATCTGTGATCATATTGCATCCTTAGACAAAGCAACCAGTGAAGATGCCAAAGGTGCTGATTCTGAACATGACGCAAGAGTTGATGGTGGTGGTAATGACAGCGTGGATTCAGGTGCTGTTTTAATGAGCGAAGACAGTTCAGCTTCTGAAAAACAGAAAATGCCTACCTTGAATTTAGAAGGAGTGACAGTGAACGAGTCAGCAACTGAAGAAATGGGGGATTGTGCTACTGAAGGCAAAGTTGATAAGAGGGATGAGGAAGACCTGTTTCCCTTCAATAACAAGAAAAAGCAACGGCCCAAAGTGATGCTAGGAAAGCGATATTCGTTGGACACAGAAACAAACTTGCTTAGCCCTGAGGATGATACAATAGAGTTAAAAAACTTCGGAAACAGTGGCTCTTTTAAAACTCGTCCTTCGCCCTGTGTTTCAACTGAAGCTCAGACGACCAGTGCGGAAGCAACTGCAGTAGATGGACTAGAGGACACTACTGCCACACCTTTACCCCCACAACGAAAAAACTCTGGTCGTTTGATTCATTCAGAGTCTTTCTCACCAGGTATGATGAAAAGTGACGTGTAATCTTAAACTCAAGCTGCAAATGCGGCCATTTCTCTTGCTTCCCATTACTGGGATGTTCGCAAGAGAGATGTCTGTGTTTTGGCTCGAAAAATGCCATAATGATGGTATACACTGTAAATCTGTCAGAATCTGGTCAGGAGCTCTGATTGGTTGATATAGTAATAAATTACATGTGTATGCTTTCAGGTATTGCTTAAGAATAACAGTCAACTCTTTCTAAGACGGACACCTTTGGGACTGGTACTAAGTGCCCATCTTAGAGAGGTGTCCGTCTTGTAAAGAGTCAAGTAAAAGGAGTAAAGAAAGGCAGGGACCAGCTCTCTAGGTGTCCATTTTACAGAGGTGTCCATCTTATAGAGGTGTCCGTTAAGAGAGAGTTGTCTGTAACAGTCAAAAGGCAAAAGGTGTCAAAGATTAAATGTAGAATGTGCTGAATCTACCAAGGAATACTTATTTTCTTGAAACTTATTTATGATATTTTTTTTAAACAAGAAGTATTGTAGTTTTCCTGATAAAATTTTCATTAAGGAGAAACCCAAAATCCAGCAAATTACATCAGAACCCCATGACAACTTGGTACGGTAGATTAAGTAAGCATTAATTTACATCATCAGTATGGAATTTTTGAGACTAAAACACAGATGTCTCCCTTGCAAAATGTCCGCATGCATGTTTAAGGTAATGTTATCATTTTTTAAGTCTAGATGTGATGATTGATCTGTCTAAGTAAAGGAAAGTTTTTGTCTAATAGGCTTATTCTACTACTTTAAAGTTTAGAGTCTCGGCTTATAGCCGAATAAATACGTTATGCCACCTTGTAAAAAAATTACTACGAGAAAAAGATTGCGTAGTAGACAGATGAGTGACTGGAGCTAACTTTGAAAATTTGTTTGTCTTTCTGTGTGCCAGATTTCGTACTAATCTGAAACCTGGAAATTCAATATAAAAAGTTATTTCTGCCTTGTTTCTTTGCAGGGTTTACCAGATCAGTGAATCACCGTCAAAAAGAACCCTACGGTAAAAGTTTATCCAAACGTCCACGATCAGAAAGAAGGTCAAAAACGTTACCAAACAATGTTTTTGATGTGTTTGGAGCTTTCAAAACCTCAAGTTCAACGCCAAGTTCAACACCTGAAAGTGTCGTAAGTTTGAGCAGTCTTTTTGAAATAGTGGTGACCTTCACCATCAGGGCTGTCATTAAGAGGCAGGGACCAGGGATTTTCCCTGGCTGCTATGAATGTGGCCTCTTCCTACTTTCAAAGGAAAAATAGAAGAAAAATCGAACCAAAAGAAACCCCTAGCTGTTTGATTCCCTGCCTATGTGTTGTGCTTACCTGGCAACTTGAAATCTTAGTGACAACCCTGACCATATTCCAAAGTCGTACATGCTGTGTTTGTATAGCACAGTTTTTCAAAATTAACAGAGCTGTAAATTCACTTTGTAATTTCTTGTTTCCTTGTCAGGGCCCGATCACACTTATTACTGATAATCTCCCAGCCAACTTTCCCGGGTTCCCAATTGATCGCAGAGCGCAGGTTGCACTGGAATTGTACACTACTGAGAGGAGTTATGTCAGGTCATTGGAAACCATCCTCCAGGTATGAATAGATGAGTTAATAACAGTCAGGGTTCGCAAAAATGCCAAATTTGGCGTATTTTACGCCGAAATTGTTCAGATGACTCCACTGAGGTTACGGAGGGAGTCACTTCAACTCCAGAAATTTTCTGTAACAAACAGGGCTCCAGCCACTTTGACTCCAGAAATTTTCGGTAGCAAACACAGTTTTGTCCTCACCTTTTTCGCCACAAGTACAATTTACATTAATTGTAAACATTGTAAACCTTAATTAAATCATCGAAATTAAAGAATTATACTGCACAACAAAACAGGAAGAGGGTAAATTATGATCAAAGTTTACTCGATGACCGCCACCGTGGATTTGAGCTTTCCTGGTCAGCAGACCGCCGCAGCTACTTCATTTATCACTCAGTGTCCCTCAGAAGTTGTTTATGTGCAAAAGTTTGAATTTAGATTTCATCCTTTTGTTCATTGGTTGTATGAATTGATTGTGTGGCTGATAGATTGAAAGTTGAATGAAAGCTGCATTTTCTTGAGTGAAAAAAAGAAGCACACTTTTTTGTCCTCAATTTATTGCCCAGGATGCTGGAAATTGCATTTAAGGGCTTTGAAATTTCAAATTTTCTGAGGGAGCGTGCCTCAGACCCCCCCCCCCAGAAAAAGGGGACTAATGGCCTGAAACCTCTGAGAGACAGCTAGGTTTGTTGGAAAGTGACTGGGTGAACTGAAAACAAACAAAATCTGTAATCAGGGAATGTCACCAGTCCAGAGGCAACCATAACATTGAATGGGAGGGGTCAAAATCCTTGACCAGCAGATGGTAGACATTAAAAGAAAAATCAAGGACACCATTGATATCAGATGGCAGCGTCCAACCCTTAATAGAGATGGGGGTTATGAATTTCTTGCAATTTTTAATCATTTGTTATAAAGTGACTCATTCATGTGACAATACTGAGTACTAAAACCTGTCTTCAGTCTTGAATGGATACGTGTAATAGCCAACTCACCTAGTGTGCAACTGCTGTCCACTAGATTCTCGTCTCAAACTTAACCACATCTAAATTGTATTTAGCCACAATAGTTGTTTGATGGTATTATGTTTGTCATTTGTAGCTTTTCAAGAGACCATGTGAAGAGCAGAAGTTACTAGAAAAGAAAGAGATTACAACCATGTTTCTCAACTGTCACGAGTGAGTCTAATAAATTTGCATATTGTAATTTCTTTGATGAGAACATCTGAAGTGTTTTGAAGTTGGAGTTTTTTTTTAAAAAGCCATTACAAAATGCTAGCTTACAAGTACACCATAATTGTAAAATTGTACCACTTTACGTAGTACACAGTCAAAACCTGAGATTAAGAACCTGGATTTTCACAAATAAGCCTAAACAGGTTCTTACATAAATGGTAATTAGCACAAATCAGGGCTTTTTAAGTTCTCAAACAGGTTCTTATTTTCTGAAGAAAAAAATACATTGTAGCTAAGAGTATTTAGAGGCATTCAGCTAATTCCCTAATTAATTTATAAAATAGTTATCTGCATACCATTACATTACAATCTGAGTGATAAAGCATTTACATAACCGGTCAGTGTAAAACGCAGACTGTGGATTATTTTTTTTAGCACAGAAATGAGTATGTGACGACAAAAGTCCCATTGTTTTCTTACCCTAAAAACAATAGTCTGCAGTCAGTCCGCAGTCTGCGTTTTACACTGCCCCTTACATAAATCATATGTCTCCAAAGAGGATCCTGAATGTTGACGTATCTTATTTGCCTAAGTGTTGATAATTTTTTTTTCTAGATTTTAGAAAATAAGAACCTGTTTCAAGTTTTAGGCCAAACAGGTTCTTGCATAGAGGGGGCCTAACTGGCAAATTGTAGCCTAACAGGTTCTTACTCATGCATTTTTACTGTATGTGTTCCATTCATGGTGCTGGTTTACTGTTTTTTAGCATGTATTGTTTAACAGTTGATTTTTAGCTGGATTCCTGCACACACAGTTGAGCACCATGGATAAAAGATTTTAGGTATCTAAAATCCAATACATTTTAGTTGAAAAATTAAATTAATTTAACCTTTGTAATTTCAGTATCTTCGTGGTAAACAAAGATCTGTTGTTTATGCTTCTTGAGCGAATCAACCACTGGCATGATCACCAGTGCATAGGAGACATTTTTTTAGACCAAGTAAGTAAGAGTGATGACCATAAATTTAACTCTTTAGTTTTGCCCCCATTATGGTGCATGTCAAGTTGTTGTTGTTTTATTATTTAGAGAAGAATGCAATTATATGATAAGGACTGGACACTAAGTTCTATATGCTCAATAGGAGCCTTGTACTAGTTTATCGGACCGCGTTGTTCTCCTGGTACTAGTTTATCGGACCAGGTTGTTCTCGTTTTATGTTCTCGTATTTTATTTTTTAGCAAGAATGGCCATGCGTCTCTGTGTAATGGATGAATTCCTATTTATGACGAGAACATAAAACAAGAACAACGTTGTCCAATAAACTAGTACCAGGCCCCTATTGGGCATATAGAACTTAGTGTCCAGTCCTTATCATATAATTACGCTCTTCACTATTATTAATTTTCCCCACCATTGTCAGTGAACTTCTTAGGGTTAGTAAAAAGTTAATTATTGGGTTTAAAAATCAACACTCTTTTTTTCCTGGCTGGCTGAGCAAGAGAAAACTTGGTCGTTTAAACAATTCTTCGACCTAACTGAACTTGTTGAAGGATTAAAACCATGCAATAACGTTTTCATTCTGTTATAATACTCCTCCTGTTAGGCCCGGTTCAGACGCCGAACTTTTCATGAGCCGAGCCTAATTTGAATTAAGGCCGACCCAAATTATTTAGACCGGCTAAAGTGATTCAGACGCCGATCTTAATTCCAGCCGAACTAAATTCAGAAGGCGAAAAATGCGCATTTCGGTCAAACTGCTTACAAAATACGTCATACGAATTTCTGCATTTGGTTCGGGACATGAAAAGTTCGGCGTCTGAATCAAAGGCATTCCAAAGTCGATCCAAAGGCGAAATTCCCGCCCGGGCTAGGCGAAAAGAACGGCTGAGCCATTCCAAATTGAAACAGGCGTTCCTAATTGATTCAGACGCCGAACTTTTCATGTACTTAATTCAATGTATTAGGTTCGGCTCATGAAAAGTACGGCGTCTGAACCAGACCTTAGTCTTGTCACTAATGCTTGCCTGGCCAGGATTATAGGGTGACCAAGAAAACTGCTTCTCACAAATTATTTGTGTGTTAATTTTTTTTGATAATCTCATTTTCATGTCACATTAATGCTTACAACTTTAAGAAACTCTGTGAAACATGTAAATAAAGAATAGGAACTGTGCTTGTCAGCTTAATTAATGACATACAGCTGTAGATGTCATAAAACAACACAACATACTGAGGCTTTCTGTCAAAGCTTTTTGACCACCTCCTGGTTACATTTAGCTCAGTTGGGAGAGCACTGATCTGCTGAGTGAGAGGTCATGGGTTCAAACCCCAGCCGGACCAAACCTTAGAGTCTTAAAATAACTGAGAAGAAAATGCTGCCTTTGTTATGACATCTGCAAAGGGTTAGACTTTCTAGTCTTCTTGGATAAGGACGTAAAACCATCCACCCATCTGGTTCTTGTAGGACATAAAAGAACCCACACCACTGTTTCAAAAAGAGTAGGGGATGTAGACCCCGGTGGTACGGTGTGGCCAACCTTTCCTGGGGTGGGTGGGTTATCTGTAAGGAGAGATCTTAATACAGGGATACCCTCATGATCCTCCTTCAAGTATTGTAATGGCTACCTATAAACATAGTATGTATGTCAAGGAAGGCAATAAATAGCTTGGTTGTTAAACTTCAAGCTGTTTGAGATTTTTTTAAAGACATGTTTCTTTATTTTTCCTTTTGTTTGACAGTCATTCAAGATCATTGAAAGAATGAAGAATTATGCCAAATACTGTAACAACTATGACTCAGCTGAGACACTCTACAAACAAAAGATAAAAAAGAGCAGAGACTTTGAGGCATTTGTTAATGTAAGTAATTTTTCTTCTGTAATATACAGGGTTCTCCAGAAGTTCTGGTGACTGGGTAAAATGGCTGTCAAGTTGGCACAGAGTTGCCGGCTACTCACAGAAAACATTATTGTTTCAAGTGGGACAATGAGGCCATCATATTTATTTTCACTTTATTTTGGTTCGCAGTTCAACACTATTAGTCATTTGTGCAGTTGATACAAATGTGGGTAAATGAAGGTGTCATCCTTTTGGCTAAAATTTCTTTCCCTTGTCACTCAAATGTAATGCACTGAAATGCACTTTTGAGGAACCCCCAAAGAATAATATTTTCCAGAGAGGCTCCTGTACTCCCCCAATGAAAGGGGCTCGCACTCTTCCCATAACCTACCCCTGTACACAGTTCTGCAATGTGAAAGACTTGCCTTTTGATCTTATTGACAGTTGCCACCTACTCAATGTGTTTCTCTTAGTACTTCAAATTTTCTAGAGAACCCTGAGTATACATTTATCAAACCTGGGAGAAGTGTTGTATCTGATTGCCGATGCTATAATAGTGCAGCCAACCTCTTGGCGTCTGGTCTCAAATAAAAACATTGATTCTCAAATGAATGACAAAAAAGTCTATGTAAAGGTATTTTAAGCAAAAGTTTGATTTTTTTGGTCTTCAGAGTTGCATTTCCAAACCTCTTCCTTGGTAGTGTTTTGGTTTGTGTTCAATTATTTTAATAGTTGAATTACTTTTAACCTTTCAAACTATTTCAACTGAGAAAATAAGCAGATTGAGTATTATATCCAGGGCTAGAAGAAAGAGAAATGATGTGATTATTTCCTTCAATATTATTGGTGTGCGTGACTGTGGAAGATGGCTAATTTATTAATTTTATTATCTACTGTTTTTTTCATACTAGCGTTGCTACGAACACCCAATTTGTCAACCAGGGCTAAATCTACCAGCATATCTTATTAAAGTTGTGCAGAGGATTCCTCGATACCTTCTCCTTTTGGAGGTAATTTTAAACTGATTTTGGGGCTTGCGTTTGGACAAGGATGTGTCTAACAACATGCTTAGATGTATGACTTGGAGTTTGCTATAATGTACTCTTTGAGTAAGCCCTGGATCAGCAATGGCCAAGGCAATTTTTGTTTTGTGACAAGGTTTAAAAGAAGGCAGTTTTATATTATGGTGAGAAATAAGTAAGATTCACTATTGGTTTTCGTTTTTCATGTGCAGAGAAGTAGGGAGAAAATCTCTATCAAATAACGCAGCTCTCATTTATGATTTTACATGTAATAATAATTACAATTGTTAATTGTTAGGTGGTAAATTTTAAACAAAGGCAAATTAAAGTTGACATACATTGGAGTGTTGAGCAATCTCATCTGACCTGCTTTTTTTAGTATTGTAGTTAGCAGTAACTTGACGTACTGTTTAGGAAACAAGCAGGAGTGTATTATCAGGTTGGAAAACTGAAGGCGAAGCTGAGAGTTTTTAAACTTGATAATACACTCCTGCAAGTTTTTGAATGGCTTCAAAATCTCTGATATAGATCAACTCATTCTTGCACTAATATTTAGATTTGGGGTTATTTTGGTCTAAAACCTTGGACATAAAGTTTAGCTGTGTCTTTATCGGATATAAAGACACTCATTAAACATTAATTTCTTTTGTTTGTCATTATGACAAACAAAACGCAAACAATTCGCTTAAGTTAATTTCATTTCACATGCATTATTATTTATCAGAATCTGCTGAAGAGAACACCTGAAAGTCACCCGGATCATGGTAACTTGGGCAAAGCTTTGACAAAAATGGTAATTTTATTTATGAAAATAATGTTTCAACACTTGTGTGCAACCTGTACCATAGCTGTACTTCATAATTACTTTATACAACTCGACAGTAATTTACACACAGTTGTACACTTCCATCTTCTTTAGGACTGGCCGTACATGTACATTTGCTGTTGTTTCAAAATACCAGTTTAAGTAATGAAACTGCTTATGCATAGAAAGTCACAATGTCAGTTTTACAGCTTGCCCTTCAAGCTAGCTATAGCTAGCATGTGCAATCTAGCCCAAGAGTCACTAGATATGTCACAAAAAATCTTGAAGAGTAGGATTGATTACAGTTTTTCTGTAGTTTGAATTCTCTAAGAAACTCCACTTGTCTGTCGGGCAAGCTAAGAACAGAATTACGTAGACAGATAGCAAAAACCACTGGCCCTGGGGCTATCGGAGACAACTTTCTTGGTACACTATTTTACTTGCTTTTCTTTTTCAAAGGACAATCTTGCTATTTACATCAACAATCAGCTTCAAACTGTGGTTGGTCTGAAAGCATTTGAGGAGCTAAGGTCACGGGTTATGGGTCTGAAGGTATTTAATAATTTGATTTACATGTACTGTTAGCTGCAAAGACTCTGTAATTCGGTGTAGTATCAGTCTGTAAGCCTTTCTGTCAGGTTTTGCTGCTATCAACATTCATATCAGGATATACTCAAGAATTAGAGTTAAACACACATCTCAAAGTTGTCTCAGGCAAATGTTGCCTATTAAGCTTGCCTGTTTATAATGACTAAAATGATGACCTTCAATAACATTTCATTTGTGGCTGAATTCCCTCTGTATTAACTCTGAAATCAACAAAACTGCATTCACCAAAACTGCCTGTGAAATGAATGGAGCAGTAGTCAATTTGTCCCATTACATGCTATATATCAATACCATGTAAAACTCATGAAAAATGGAAAATATATTTCATTAACTGGTTACAACTCTATGCAACGCATGGCAATCTGCTTTCTCTTGTCATAATAATCTAGCACTAAAATTTTGTCGGTCAAAATGGCAATTTTAATGCCTCAGAATTCCTTCACACGTTCTAATGCTTTAAATGTACAGTACTTTGCAGTGGCCAATTTATTTTAATTATCTCATTGTCGCCCACAAATTAGGAAAGAAACAATTTATTATTTGAAAATAAAGTTAACAAGCTATGTTAAGAATTTAAACTGGCTATAGGCAAGCCAGTTGACCATTTACATGTACACGTGTGGCCAAGGAGCTGAACTCAGTACCACTGAGAACAAAATAGCTAGCAGTTAGGGTGGGAATTGAATTTGGGGCCTCCGGATGGCAATGCTAGGGTTCTATTAAAACTACTCAGCTGGCACTCCTTGATAAGTTGACCCAACCAAATCATATTTTTTCGTGTGTCAGTCTCCTAAACTAACCCCTAAGACAGTTCATCCAGTCAAACCTCCCTGTATGGACACCCGCTTAATGTGGACACCACAGTATTATAGACAGTTTTCCATATCTCTGCAAGCCCTCACATTTTCTCTAAATTCAACCCGCTTGCTATGGACACTCTGTTAATATGGACACTTTCTCTACCCCGCTTGAGCTCAGTGTCCGTATGAGCAGGGTTTGACAGTATAATATTTATTTGATATACCGTTTTTTCATTAAACACAGGCATTTGAAGTGGCAGGAAGAGCCCTCATCAAAGAAGCTGATGTGGTAGTCAATAGCAACAAGAAAACATATAAGGTACTCTTAAATGAATTACTAGATATCGATGTTATAATTGGATATCCTCTACTTTTGATGTCATTTATTTACAAATACATTATTTAAACCTCCATGTGAAACCACCTCTGGTCTATATAACTGACTATCTTTCATGAGCAACTGTTCATCCAAAATGGAGAAGATATTCTCATTCAAGAATAACTCATTTTCTCGTAAAAGTCTTTGCACTTAATATCGCTTTGAAAGTGATGTTTTCTGGAACTTCGAAATGGTCTATTTTGTTTACAGTTGTATAGGTCTGGGGCGTACTTTCTCATGGAGATTATTATTTATTTTTCTCTAATAGTAATGTAGCTACTACTTTTTGTTTGTAATGTGAAATTTAATCATCTTGATTGAATTTTCCTTCAGTGCCTATTGTTCAATGATATCTTGGTGTTTGGGCTGAGGGGTGTAACCAAAAGCAATGAGTTCCAGAAACTAGAACTGACCACTCTCTGGTGTATGGATCTGGAAGACAACAATCCACAATCAGGTGTAGTGTTATCGCGTTCATCAGAACGCACTCTAATCTTGGTATTCCTGTTGTACAAAGCCACACATTTTTGAGGTGTCACAGGCGACTGCCAATTTGCTGCCCCCACTGATTTTAACAGCGACACCTCAGCTGGGAAACTGGAGTCCCTTTGACTCAATTTCGTTTGCTTAAGTGACGAACGTGGATCCTTAATCAGTGATTACTTCTAGTAGTTATTCCTACCATGAAAAAATGTAAGGTTGATGAACTTGCTGCAATTTGCTAAGAACAATTCCGCCCTCATTTTCTTCTTTGTCTTACTGTAAACAACTGCTTCTAAACTTACTTTGAGACCTTCACTCACACGGTCCTGAATAATCTAGTCATTATTTTCAAAAGTGCATGGCTTGTTGGACAAAGTAATGAAAACAGTCTTTTCCTTAACCTCAGATGTGTGTCTTAGTTTATTAAGATCATAGGTAATGTCCAATAAATTAATACAATGCACATCAGCAGTAGTATTCATCAGTGCATTGTATGGTATTTTAGCCTTGAAAATGTTGCTGTCAGATCAACATAAATATAGATGGGCATATATAGTACGGGAAAAAAAATAATTTTTTATTGACCTTTTTCCCTCAAGGGACCATTCTGAAGCAATACCATAATTATTAAACAGAAAATGTTTGGAAATTAAGGAAGAAAGTTTGTTATTTTGCCGCCAAAACAGCCAAAATGCAGAAGTGAACAGATAGTGCTTTCACTACTTAAAAATGTATTGTTGTTGTCACAATCCTTTTGTCCTTTTCTGTTGATTGTTGGTGCTTTCTAAGAGGATTGTTGCCAGTTTTCGGGCCCATGTAACCTGACACTTCCACTTCTTCGAAGGTCTCTACAATCTTATGCTTAACTAGCCTTTTTGCAGGTAAGGAAGATTCTTTGGAGATCTTCACTCCAGAGAATTCATACATCATGTATGCTGGAACCAAAAATGAGAAGAAAGTTTGGTTACAGAAGCTAAGGACAACAATTGCCATGGCATTACATGGGCCAGAGGCTACAGAGAAAGATGAGATTGGTAATTATTACCCACTTTTTAATGTTTTTGTTCTTTCAACTTGTTCTGTGACTTCAGATACTGCCAGATATTTTGCACAAATTATGCTAGACCCCCTGCAATAAATACTTCACATGGCTCAATCAAATCCTTGGTTATAATAAACCATATTCCTACCAGGTAATGTACGTTTGTGATAATGACTTTGAAACAAACGGAAATAAAATTTGAACCAAGGATAAAATTGAACCTTAACGTAATATAAAAATAATAATTTTATTGTTTTAATTATATATGGTATGGGCTACCACAAGCTTGGGGTATAAACACTGTAGTGAGCTAGTGTACATCTGTTTCATTGGGGTATATGGCTTGGGCTACTAGAATAATGTTGGGCTAAGCTTTGGTTGTGTAGGTTTGCTATAGCTAGCTCATATCTCAAAAAAGACAATAATTTAAAATAACTTTTTTGTCCTTTGTTTGTTACAGATAGCCGTAAAGCAAAATTCACTTACCAAGATGGTTGCACATTTTGTGGTCATTTTGTTTCAGGAAAGGTAATACACTGTATGTTGTAAAATTTGTTAAAAGCTTTTTTTTTTTTTTATTTTATTTCGCACACACAAACAATTACAATACATTACATTTACAATTCATTACAGGTAACTGGTATCGTTTCCAAAAAAGAAATAAAAAGAAAAGGAAAGACAAAGTCCACAAAAATACTATAGTTTATATATTAACAATTAAGAGAAGGCAGCCTGCCTTATGGTCCTCCATCACCCATTTACCCGTTTGTCACTTGCACTTTAATTAACTGTATTGCTCAAATTATATTCTGAGGGGCATTGTTTAAAAGTAGCCCATTTCTTCCTAAAAGAGGCTAAGTTATTATTATCAAACGCAAACTGTTTCTCAATTTCCATGGAGCGTATGAGTAACAACTGAGTGTACGCTTGTACCATAGGAATAGTATTTCGTATTTTGCAAATATATATATAATATCTAGCAATGAGGAGGAAGTGGTGTAGGAGAAGACTCAACATTTGTTGAAAGCTACATGTATTCTTAAAACTAGAGAAAGAATGATTTGTGCTTTGAATGATTAAGCTTAGTTTGGTGCATTTGAACGATTGTCTGTTACAGCTCAAGTTTATCTTGGTTTACAGATCTGTGTGCAAAAATAAGAGCTTATTTGAGAGACGACAATTTTGAGGCAAAATTGGCGCTTCATACTACAAGATTTGCTCTGAAAATGAGTGCCTTCAGCCTTGCAGCTTTCATCTTATAGCTTAAAAACTTAAACCTTGTTACGTGACTAGTACCATGCAAGGTATATAAATTATTATTACATGTGTCAGTGGAAACTAGATCGTAATAGCATGGTAGGGTGGAAAGTATTGGCTTCCATCAGGGCTCTCTCACTTAAATGTAGGTATGTCAATGTCAGGCATATGAAATTAGTAGGTAGGTAATTGAACCGCTACAAACTAAGGTCTTTTGGTCCTTTTTCTTTTTGGTTCCTATGCAAGTAGCCGGGGAGCATGCTCATAGTATTTGGGCAAACCCTCTCCCTCCCCTCCCTTAGTGACAGCCTTGTTCCATAGTGTGCACAAGTTAGACCATACACACAGTTTGGATACACTCCTGCAAAATGATTACTGTTAAGTGTTATCAAAAGTTCCCAGCTCTGTGCGATTAATAATCCATCTCAACAATTTTCTCTACTTGCTTTTCTTCAGAGAAATGGTGAAGGTACTCTTTCATGGCCAAACCAAGCAAGATATCAGGTAAAGTAGAATTAATTTTTGAATGTTGAGCATACAAAATGATTACTCTAGGTGTTTAAACAATTATTGTGTGATGTACATGTATTGTGCTACTGTCGCAGTCTTGTATGTATTTTTAAAGGGGAATTAGAGTTGTGGAATGTTCATGTATTGGTACCTTCTCACAGGAATACCAAGCAAGTTGCATAGAGAATGTCAGGGTATCAAGACAATCCAGGGTGTGGTATAGGGTGTTCGTTGCGAGGGAGGGGATTGTGAGATGAATTGCTTATATTGTGAATTTCCTACCAGGGTGAGTGGGAAGATGATGATCGTTGTGGTTGGGGTGAATTGATGTACAACAGTGGAGACAAGTATAAAGGAGAGTGGCTGGATGACAAACAACGTATGTATTGTCCCGCTCAGCTCCTGTTCTTTTATTTTTAATAATACATCATCAGTGATTGTTTTGTGGATCTGAGTGCATGGAAGGAAATTTACCTTTTCGTTTTGTTTTACTTTGTATTTGAGGGCACTGTTTTCAAGTACAAGCCCCCGGGGGCTTATATTTAGAGGGGCGATTTAACGGAGGGTTTTTTGCGTTACGGTTTTGAGGAGCTTATACATGGAGGGGCTTATTTTCAGAATTTTACGATAACTGACAATCCAGATCCGGTTGGTTGAATTACAAAAACATTCTTTGCATTAGCCAGCTTCTCTAACTCTTTTCGTTGAATTTGTTTTGGCCTTTTAAGCTTAAAACGCTCCAAAACTCACTCACACGCCACAACAAAGTACGTCTTCGCAGTTTTCACATCCGCTGTTTGAAATCTGCTCCATGAAAAATAATTAATGCTGTCTGCTCGATTTGAGCAGGCAACGGTGTGATTGGTGGAAAGGTGGAAATCAACAATAGCAAACTGACGCGTCCAGCCATCTGTTGGGTGGGGGGGGAGGGGGGAGCGGGGTAGGATTGCGGCTTGTAATCAAGCTTATTTTCGCATCAGTTTTGCACCATCTCTGCCCATTACCATCTTGGATCCTTGAACAGGCTATACGTAACTATCTTTCTCTATCATAGATGGTGTTGGCACTATGGAGTACATGCATGGTGATGTTTATCATGGACAGTGGTACCAGGGCGATATGCATGGCAAGGTAGAGCTAACTCGTTAAAAAAGGACTTAAAAGGCGCGGCGTCATGCTATTTGCTATCTTTTTAAAAAGCTTAAACGTTTCTTTGCATCAATTGAATTCCAAAAATAATGACCCAGTTTTGTTATTTACGAGAATATTTTAGCATTGCAACTGTTTCCTGTCGTCTGTTGCAACAGATGGCAAGGATGGACATGTTTTGAAACTTTTTTATTACCATGTCTGCAAAAATAAAATCATAGTCTTTAGTGTTCGCTAAGGCTTATCTCTACAGGAACATTTTTTGTGTAAGTATTAATGCACTACACTGCGAGTAATGACTTTAACACAGAATTGACCTAACACAGTAATATCCTCGTGACAGGGGGTACACAATTACTGGCAACCCAAAAGTTACAAAATTATGGCCAACAAATAAGGACAAAAACATTAATTAAAAAAGTAACTATCTTGGATGTCTTATGGCCAGAGGCAAACCAGTTGGCTGATTACAAACAACGCCGAGGATTTGACCTTAGGATTTTCAAAAAACAAATCGAGGTAGTAGTTAGAGCGGGGGTTGAGCTTGAGGGCCTCTTGATGGTATCTGGTCACCTCGCCACCAAACCATCTTGCCACCAACAAATTCGCCACCAAGAATAGAACTTAGCTTTATTTTATTTGGAAGTCCCAAGTATACGCTGCAAAATAATGGAAAAAACTTTCATGAGCAGAAATTTCTCTTAACCGTTACTTTATTATTATGATTATTATTATTATTATTATTACTATTATCATATTTCAAAGAAATGACTGGTGATTATGAAACTTCTTTATCTCTCAAATGTCAAAGTTTACATTTACTGAACCTATTACCTAGTATTTGGAGTATTAGGAGCATAAGAAGTTCAAAACAAAGAACGTCAATTAGGATCGACAGATTTGTCTCTGAGTCGACTTCAAATTAGAATAAGCTTGACGAAAAAGTAAATCTTGGGTAACTAATCCTAGGCATTAAACTCTGTCAATTAATTCCGAGTTATTCGTTGGTAGCGAGTGGACTTCTTGGTGGCAATTTTGTTGCTGGTGAGATGACCATAAACCCTCTCGCTAGCAAGCCAAGTGCTCTGACTGCTCTGCCAGGCTGTCTCCTCCTCATTTTACTTGTATGTTGTAAACATTGTTATCCACGTGAAACCTCACTATTATGAGAACGGTGCTCAAACGAAATCCCACAATGTGATCACCCACGGCCAAGTGAAGAGCCTCCTCTTTGGATAAATCTTTTATCTCTGTTGTCTCAAATCATGTTCTATCATACTCTTTTATTTTCTTCTGATGTATATAATAATTTTTTTTTCGTTTTAATTAGGGTGCAATTACCTTTAAGAATGGTGACCGCTTTGATGGAGATTTTTATCAAAATGAAATCCAGGGTAATGGAGAGTTGCGTTGTGTGAGTGGACTTGCGTACCGTGGAGAGTGGAGACATAGCAAGGTGAACAGACAAACTCCTTCTTCAAACTCAGTTCAGCTATAATTGTCTTCTATTCAACCACAAGCAACAGAATCATCCTCTTTTTGCTTGTGCAAAGTGAAAGACAGAAGTAATCGAAATTGTGAGCTTGACAGAGTTGGTATCGAAACTGAAGGTTTTTAGTTTTTCCCATTCCGGGTAATTTATGGGAACTCGTTCTACTTTAACAGAACAGAGAAAGATTTCAATAAACGTTGAGTTCCTGTTATATTAGTTCTTAAACAACTTGGTTGTGTGTTTTGTGGTAAAGTTGCTCATGCTCTTAGCCGTTTTCAAACGTTACTGTAGACAACTAACTGAAAACAAAACAGAAACGTGTTTCCTCCTTCTTGGGAAATCAATTTTATCCTTTTATCCTATTGTCCGAGTTGCATTTCATAAGTAGAACATAACCTCTTAATCCCCTCTTCCCCCCTCCCCTCCCCCAACACACCTCCTACAGAAATTAATAAATCACACTGTCATAGTGGTCTTTTAACTTTCCTTTGTACTGGAGGTTTTTTCTAGCGTGTGGCGGTTGAGTGCGATGTCAAAAGTCTCTGGCACCCAGGGTATCTCGATAAATTAAAATATGTTATCTTAGTTCCACTTTGGTATGAATAATTCGTAAATAAGTGAAGAAAAGGTGTTTGGTGTCAATTGCAGTCCCTAAATAATAAATTATTACTGCTAAGAATTAATATTGAGGTCTATGTTTTTTTCTTTTTATTTAGAAACATGGGAAAGGCAAGATGCATTTTCCTAATGGTGACGTTTACATGTAGGTATTATTATTCAGTGATGTTTGTTCTGGGTAACATGGAAAACTGTCTATTTTTCAGTTGTTTAATAAGCGTTTAAGAATAAAAAATAGGTGCAAGTTTCTGTTAATTAGCTCCTTACACAAGCTTTTTAAACTGAATAGTAGTAAGATAACACTATCTAATTTTCACCAAAAAGACTTCGTACTCATGCAACTTTTTGCGGCAAGTAGTGTGTTACGGAAGCCTTTTAAATTTTATTCGCTTGAATCAGATACTTTCTTCGGGACCTAGCATGCATCTCCCCCAAGCAAGAGAGTGTAACTCAGAAAGCTGGATGTTGTTAATTTTTCTCTGTATTCTTAGATTCCTGTTACATGATTATTATTTCTGTCTTTTCCTAGCGGTGAATTTGCAAATGATCGAATCAGTGGTCAAGGTGAAATGAAGTATGCTGATGGGTCTGTTTATAATGGACAATGGGTCGACAATCAGGTTTGCGATTTTAAGCCCCTAAAAACATTCCTCTTCGCTGTACTCTTATGATAAGCATGAACTTTGTTCCTGAAAGGATAGTAGCCCGAGAAAACAGCTGACATTTGGCGTCGACACCGCTGGTTTGCCTGCGAAATGACGTCTGAGAAACTAGCGCAAAAATTCCATACTGGTGGCGTGTTACCACGCAGATCTGGGTCGTGCTTCTGAGTGGTTGTAAATTTGCTTCATCCAATTAGAAGCAATAGCCAGATGTGGGTAGTGGCACGTCATCATTCATTATGGGATTTCTGCGCTCATTCCGCAGACGTCATTTTGCTGGAAAACCAGTGACTGCGTCACGAAAATGTAGGCTATTTTTTCAGGCCATGAGGTAGCAACAGGAAGGTCATAGCAAAAATAGCTACAGGTCGTCGACTCTGTCACTTTGTTGCTCAATATTTTTGTGGAGAGCAAAAAACACACTTAAATTTTCAAAGAAAACATTATTTTGAACATTTGATCATTATACGGTCGTGGAACGGGATCCGTCGAACGGGATCCGTGGGACTGTTATCGATACGCAAAGCAAGTGTTTGAAGATCATCACGCCCAACTGACGATGGTGTGTTTTATTGTCTAGCGCGGTGGCCAGGGGAAATTCGAAAGTCCTGATGGAACTCATTACTTTGGGGGGTGGAGTAAGGATCACATTAATGGCAAAGGATGCATGCATTACTCCAATGGCGACTGTTATGATGGAAACTGGTTCAAAAACACTGTAAGTAATAAGCTCTAAATTATCATTATTTTTTGGTTCAGTTGCTTTCACTACTGTAAGCACAACGTCAGCGAAAGTTACCCTGGCAACCACATCACAAACTTCGTTCCCTAGGATTTCTCTTAACTCTTGAAAACGAGGGTTTTCTACCTACGAAAAGTTTCCGGAGAATCTGTTTGGAAAGTAAATAGACCTTGGGTCTTTCTAACGGAAAATTGCCGGGAGCATCGGAACACCTGAAAAGGTAATCCTGTTCTTCCGGACGGAATTTTTCAAACAGAAATTCACGTTCTATATCTTGAAAGCCATGTTTGATACCAGTTTCAGCCCTTCGGGATCGGTTTTCGGTAAATGGAACTGATTTGTACAAATGGTAAACGCGATTCCGGGACAAAATGTATCAGTTCTGAATTTTGATGGCAAATGGTTCATATCATTCATCTCATGGCATTGGTTCAGCCTTGTTACCAGTCGTCCTCGGCGATTTCATATTTGACATCACCTGTCAAGTAGAGAATTCGCTCTCCGCCGCTCACTCGGGTAGCGCTAACTGGCCTGTGGACGGGGTTGCAAGTGGTTGAGTTGCGCTCTCCTAACAACCGTGTGCGGCTGTGGTGAGCAATAAAAGGCGTCGTATTCACAGGCTGCTCCTTTCTGAAATCTAGGAATAAAAATTTAAAAAGATCCCAGACTTCATTTTCCAGAATACTTGTACGAATTCCAAACTTCAGAGTCCAGTCAAACTGTAGTAAGCGGTCACCCAGTCAAGTGGAGCATTCGCGCTCCGCCGCTCACTCGGGTAGTGGTCCAAGACTTCAATAAGTGACCACTTTATAGATGTTCGCTTAATTAATACTAACAGGGTTGACTGTGCTGGCCAAGCAATGCACGTGGCATTTCATTTAAAACCTCACGGCCTTCAATATCGTCCTAAAACTTGCAAGCAAAAAACCTACGTAAAATTTCTTCTTAGCTGAATCTGATGGCGAGACAGTCGTTTTTGTACTGTCTTTTGTCGCAACTGAGATGATCTGGTTTTTACGAACTCATTTGTTTATGTATGTTTTTCAGCGGTATGGCCAAGGTGTAATGAAATACAGTAATGGCGATGTTTACGAAGGAGTGTTTGAATATGACTTGTGCAGTAAATCCGGAAAAATGACTTACAAGGACGGATCAGTGTACGAGGGAAACTGGGATAATGGCTTAGTAAGGATGTTTGTATGAAAATTAAGGAGACCTATACTGATTTCTTTTCTTCTCACAGTCAATGTGTACTCCTTAAAATAGTTGACTGCCTAAATAGTAACCTTGCAGATCGACACTCACTGTCTAGACTAAAAGTAGCCCCTTATTCCCTCGGGGGAAGTAGAGCGAAGGAAATACGTGATCGCGCGCGCCCTACTCCTCCTGAGCAAAATTGGGGATAGCCTGCGAACAAGCTTTCTATTCGGGCGAGCGAAGCAAGCCGCGTGAGATGGTGAGCTTGCCGCTATAAACGACCCAATCGCTTATTCAAACGTAACGTCGTGGTTTGCAATCGCGCTGGCTGAGATAAGAACTAGACGGATTTTAAGAGAGAAGGCGAACTGCAAGCAGTCTAATAATGTGCGTTGCCATTAAGTACAAGTTTGTTTTCTCGTATATTTATTTATTCGCTTAAAGGGGCTGTATCACGGCAGTCCAGTTTATTTTTTCGCTATGGAACTTACTGTACGCAAAGAAATTACATGTAAATGACAAAATCAGAGATTAGAGACAAACAAATATGTACCCTGAGCATTATTTTTGAAGCTGCAAACAGCAGAGATAAACTTTGAAAACTGTTAGGCTGAACAGTTTTCAAAAACCCTAATTTCAATCCGTTTCAATCTTCTTCAGTTTTGCCCATCCGTGACATCTGTTGTATTATTTTAACCTTCCTTTGATGTTTCTTTTAATTTAACGGGCGTTTTGCAATAACCTAATTTGGCTGAATTTCGTGACACAGCTCCTTTAACAATACCCCAATTTTCTTTTTAGCGCCATGGAAAAGGGAAGATGGTGTACGCTAACAAAAAAACCGTGTTTGAAGGTAGGATTCAGCTCTTTTTCTAAGATAATTTTACAGGCAATTTCAAAGTGGGGGGGGGAAAGCAGGGGTAATAATTATATAGTCACCATTGTCTCACAAAATGTGACCCTTAGACGAAATTTTTCCTCTCTCATCCCCGTTTTGGTCGCACCTTTTTAACGGGGAATTTTGAATGAAAATCCTTCGCCCAAAGTGTCGTAAAGCAAAGCAAAGCACTGTCTTAGTACTTTGTTGTGCGCTCGTGAACACTTAAGAGAGTGTCTCTGTAAGAGCGGTCCGGTCGATTTTGCTTAGGACACAGATTTAGCTCATTTCTTGTGTGTTGTAAGACATTCATGTACCTGTACTAAAACCACAATCCGTTTGATCGGATCTCTTTATTTTTCAGAGTTTTACGGAAATTAAATTTCACTCGAGCGAAGGCCTGTCGTGACACTTTTCAAGCCTTTAATTTGAGACAACTTTGGAGGACAATTTGCAAAAAACTACGGGACTCAGCAAAAAACAAATACCACAGCCATGTACATTAACTCTATCTTATCCCATCGAGGCGACTTTCGTGAACATCACGTTTCAATCAAGCAAACAGGAAGACTTGAACGACACCTTATCGGTTCGCTTAAGTCACACACGCGAAAACCGATCAAATTCGAGGTAGATTTTTGTAAATTTTTTTACACCTATTATTCTTACATCCCCGTGCGACCATTTCTTCCAACGCTTCAAACACTACAACTAGTGTTCGAATTCCCCTCGTCGATTCCACCGTAAGAAATAACCTGTGCCACATAAGCATCGACTCGAATGTGAAGTACGAATCAAATAACTTAACTGCTTCATCGTGGAGGCCATAACACCTTACGTAAATGACATTGGTTACTGTTACGGAAAATCATATTTTAGAGTAAGCTTTGTATAAAGCAATGATTTTGCATACATTCTTGGGAACAGCAAAAATGATTTAGAACAAACATTCTAAGTATAGTGTTCATTCCGTGCAATAAGGCATAAATAAAAGGTTCTGGAAGAAAAGACACCTTATTTTATACCACTGATGACAAGCAAAAAGGTCAGAAGGGTACCTCGGTTAAAAATATTTGATTAACTCTAATAATTAATACCAGTTCTAATTTGAAGGAAAAAGTTATGAGAAAAAAATAAAAGTTGTCTGTACCACGAAGCATGCCTTCACTGTTTAGAGTGAGAGTCCTAAAGCTTTTTTAGCATGTATTCGAATATCTTGTGACGATAAGCCCACCACCCACCTCACCCCGCGCCGTACTGTTTTCACTCAGCGGCTGGTCAGCGGTCACGTTTATGAGGTAAACATGGCGATCACTTCCTGATCACCGTTCTTGTCAATCAGAAAATCAAAATACTAGCGTGATATGGCCTCCAGGATGAAGCAGTTAAGTTATTTGATTCGTACTTCACATTCGAGTCGAAGCTTGGGTGGCACAGGTTATTTCTTACGGTGGAATCGACGAGGGGAATTCGAACACTAGTTGTAGTGTTTGAAGTGTCGGAAGAAATGGTCGCACGGGGATGTAGGAATGGTAGGTTTAACGAACAATTTCAAATTTTGCCCCTTGAATTGAAAGTGAAGTTCGTTTGGATGCTTTCGTATGTATTTCTGACGGTTTTAGATCTACCTGCTCGATTTATATCTGCTACGTTTCATGTTGACAAGTCCCTCAAAATGACGGCCAAACTTGGAGATTGCCGAAAATTAGGTAAGTTCACGGAGTTATAAAGTTTTAGTAAAGGTCAGGCCGCAAAGTTTTTTTCTGTAATTACCTTTTCTATGGCACCTACTTCCTAGCTATATTAGTTGGATCAGTTAAGAACGCCTCACTTTTTCAAAAATTTGCCTTGAATTTGATCGGTTTTCGAGTGTGTGACTTAAGCGAACCGATAATGTGTCGTTCAAGTCTTCCTGTTTGCTTGATCGAAACGTGATGTTCACGAAAGTCGCCTCGATGGATAAGATAGAGTTAATATACATGGCTGTGGTATTTGTTTTTTGCTGAGTCCAGTAGTTTTTTTTTTAAATTGTCCTCCAAAGTTGCCTCAAATTAACGTCTTTAAAAGTCTCACGACGGGCCGTCGCTCGAGTAAAATTTAATTTCCGTAAAACTCTGAAAAATAAAGAGATTAAACGGATTGTGGTTTTAGTATAGGTACATGAATGTCTTACAACACACAAGAAATGAGCTAAATCTGTGTCTCAAGCAAAATCAACCGGACCGCTCTTACAGAGACACTCTCTTAAATAAGGTGACTGGAATTCATTTTTCGACTGTTTGTTTGTTGATTTCTCCAGGAGACTGGAAGTACGGAATGAGGTTTGGTGAAGGAGTGTTAACGTACACCAACGGAGCCGGTTATCGTGGCCAGTGGGTACTAGACAAGGTAAGTGGCTCTCGGTTAGATTAGTTGGATTAAGTTAAAGAACTCACACCGTGTTCTTAGCCGTACCGAGGACGTAATCCCCAGTATGGCGGCCTATCCCAATTTCACCTTCACATCAGGGGACGTTCGTAAATCATTGCTTTATCAATTGTAAACTGCGCCATAGTCAATCTGGCTGTAGATTATCCATGAAAAGCCCGGAGGGGAATGCATGCCATATGATATTCACAGTTGCAATTTTCAATTTTTTTTTTTTTTCAGGAAAACGGACGTGGCATGTTCACGGACCCGTCTACAGGTTATCACTATGAAGGTACGTCATCGGTGCACACCCAGAGAATCTGATCTGTTTACGTGACGAACTTGTTTCTTTTTACTAGACACTGTGAGTAGTGGAGGAGCTGCTCGTAACGTCTCTCCTAATTGGTCGCATGAAATAATGACATGTCATTCTTCCAATTGTTTTACTAGTATTGTTTAGGGTCTGGGAAACGCACCTTTGGTGACTTCTCTTCCAAGCAGCTGCTACATGACCTGACATTATTGCTAAGGCATCGTTCAGTTTTGTGGGTGGGGTTCGGGGGAATATCCTCGGTTAGCAAAAATAATCCATGTCGGTCCTACCAGAATAACATCAGCGTAGTTTTCTGGTGCAGCCAGCAGGTCGCACGTTCTCCTTTTTAATCTGCGTAGCTGGCCCCCTCGCTGGCCCCCTCGCTGCACACTAATAAGGTCTTTTCAAAAACCCAGCGAATAAAGTTCATCGACACTAACTTATGTATCACCTCTAATAATACAGGATTCCACCATTCTACCATTTTTTCGTAAAATTCGTAAGAGTTCTCTTTTTGACATGTTTTCCTTTCATGTCTCTTTTCTCAGGAGAATGGAAAAATGGACTAAAACATGGCAAAGGAGTCGAGGCAACGAAGGAGGGAAGATATGAGGGAGAATGGAGAGATGACATGGTAATAGTCAACAAAAATAACAAACTATCATGTTAAGGCGATTAAAAGCATCAACCATAATCGATGAGACCTTATAGTTTTTAGTTATGGAATATTTGCATTTTCCTAGGATAGCCCATTACACCTCGCATAAGATAATTTTACGTCCTGGTCGTGCAGGGACGCTACAAAAATGAATTTTAGAACGTTTGAAATTAATCGGAAGTTGTTTTCTGGAGAGGCCCGCAAACTTTTATTCAGTGTTGTGAAGAGATAATAATGGGATATTATGATCTCTTGGTGTGTCGACATCACAATATACTGCATTGTTTGCTTTGAGGCTGTAGCGCGTGGACTTGATGACGTTTCAAACAATCGATTAAAATGTGCGGACATCCCAGGAATTACATTACTTTTTAATGAAAACCTCTAAAAATGCACGCAGTGAATTGACATATCCCGTCCAACGCCCTAAGATTGCTTCCATGTTCCATTATTCACTCTCAGAATCTTGCATGGTTTGTGCTCCACCTAGACTTGCCTACAAGTCGTGCTCAAATTTTTTCACGAGCGCGAAGCTCGAGCGGTAGATTTTTTATGTTTTCTGCGGCAAAAGCGAGCAAGAGAGCGAGAGCTCTGGGGCCAACTACCGGAACCGGAAATGAGAAGCGAAGGACTTCGATAAAGTCTATGCTCCACCCCGTCGAGGAGCCTTCGACAGAATGTCAAAGCTCTGATACTGTCAACTCTCTTTTAACAGAAACCTTAAAACAGACACCTAGGGTTAGTTCTTGTGTTTGTAAGTCCTTCTTTGACGGTCTGAAAGACGGGCATTTCTATAAGACGGACACACACACAGAGACAGACAGTGGTGTCCGTCTTGGTGAAAGGTGATTGTATCGTTGCTGTTTTGTTTATTTTTATTATTTTTTTATTTCAGCGCCACGGCCAGGGAACGGAAATCTTGTCATGTGCAACGGAATATGAAGGAAGGTGGAAGGAAAATAGAAAGCATGGGCCGGGAACCAAAAAGTTGAAAACAGGAATGACCGAAGATCAGGTAGGTATTCAAAGCAGCTGCAGGGGTCCTTACCATTTACTTGGGAAAACCGGTTATTCCGGTTGGAAAATCAAATGGTTCGCGCCATCCTGTTTGGGAAGCTTCAGAAAATATGGACCCGTGTTTTGGATTATTTATTTTTGCATTCAACCTATTCAAAAAAATGATTTTTTGTAATAGTGTTCAGACTTAGTTTGTATATTCTTGATTTTTTAAAGACACGGGTCGAGAATTGATTAAAACGTTAAAACCTCTATGTATCACGCGATGGCCTGTCTCACTGTACCAAATTTATAATATCTCGGTGAGCATTCGGAAGTCAGCCAATTGATGGACTGAACAAGAATGCTGTATAATGACAGACTAGAAACAATAGACAACTCCCAAAGCTCAAACTCAGCCAAAACGCTTAAAATCTTCAATGTTTACTCAAGTTTGGGCTTATAGAAGATAATGTCACAGTTTTTCAATGGCCATGAAATTCAGAGTCCGGGTAGTTAGTTAATCAATTGTGGCTCTGAAAAAATTTGAAGGAAAAAAAACTACGAATTTTTAAGAAAATACCTTTTTCGTGAGATTGACTCTTAAACGCTGACAAACGTCAACAAATAGCGAAAACTATAATTTCTATATGTTTGCTTTGCTCGAAATCGCGCGCATTTACAAGGCCCTAAAGCGTTTTGCTGACTTGCAAGGACCCATCTGTTATAACGATGCCCAAAATACAGAGATGAATCTCTTGGTTTATTAGATATAATCCGTGTAAAGTTTGCTTATCATTTTCGCATAAATTATGACCTAAATTTGGAAACCACTGAATTTCTCGAATTGGGTCTTTGCGATTTTGGTGAAACTCTGTTCAGCGCAAGGCACTAACGCGCACTATGTGTAGCCGAGAGATTTTCACGAAAAAATGCTGGCAACAGCAGATTTTCGACTCAGACCTCAAAGGGGCGTGGCATTATAACCACGTGACATTTACTCCGATCGCCAAAAATTTTATGTTATATTGTAGATTGATCTATATGTTATCCATTCTATGTCTTATAGATAAAAAAAAAGGTCCAAGATACCAAGTCTTCAAGAATGGATGGTACCCCAAAAAAAACTGTTCAACAACTGTTTAAAAGGGCTATGTCACACTGTTTGTTTCACTGTATCTTGTTAGAAAGCTAGAACTTGTCTTCAAGTCAAGTGAATTCCAAAGAAATGGTCTAGTTTTGTTATTTAAGACTATATATTTAGGCATCGAAACTGTGTCCTGGCGGCTGTTGCAACGGATGCCAAGTATGGATATAAAAAACTTGAAGCCTTTCAAGTTTTAATGATATATCTGCAAAAATCACCCAAAAATGAGTATTTTTGGTTTGTTTGATATCTTCTTCATAATCCTACATGAGAATTTTGTGTACCGGTAAAGGTACTAATTAAAGACTTCAGCTCAGAATTGAGTTAAAACAGTCAATAAGCCATTTATTCTGTTGCTGATCTAAAAAAAAAAGATGGGCTCTATTCTATTCTATTCTATTCAACAAGTTGAAACTTGTTGAACAGTAACACCGCTCTCCGTTTGTTACAAATCTTGAACGATTTTGAACCGAATGTCACTGGTTTTTATAAAGTGCCGGTTTATAATATTAGTAACAATGGGTTTTATTTATTCATTTTTCTTCAGGTCTGGCACGAAGGCAAACAAATTAATGTGACCAGTATTGTAGTTACTGAACTTCCACTGATTCAAAGAAGGTGATTTACCATGAAGTCTAAATATTGGAAAAGATATGCGTTCTTACTACATCTATATACTTATCACTTGGTTCAGGAGAAAATACTGAAGTGTGGTCCATGAAAAAAAGGACGCACGAAGTTTTAAAAAACGAATGGAACCCACGTGATTACACACAGACCATAAAAACGGGAATGACATGGCATTAACAATACAGTTATCACGTGTCTTCTGACTAATCATAGCCTTCCATTCTTTAAACGTTTTTAGAATCAAGAAAAGGTATTCAGTAGTAAATAAGACGGAATTTTTTCTCTACGCCGTATAATAAAAAGATTTTATTTTTCTTAAAATGCGGCTACGTTTATTTAATATGTCGTCACATTTTATTTCGCATCTTTTTGCATTTGCAACCGTGTGAAACGTGTTTATGCTATAACTATTTTATTTGTGCTTGTTAGCTGTTAGGTAGAGTACGAATTAACCTAGATACACTACATATGAAAGAAATCTGGCTTTAGGAAAATTTATTCATGTTTAATAAAAGCCAGAATTCATAAAATAGAATAATAAACCGCGATTTTAAACATCGCTTTACCTCAAAATCTCTATAAATAAAAACTTAAGGGAGAGATTAACTTATTCTCGGCTGTCACAGCTTAAATTTGATGATCTGGGCCCAGTTCGAAGACCGATTAGTGCTAACCCAGGGTTAAATTATAATCTGAGTTTCTTTTTCTTTTCTTCAAAACACTTTCTCGGTTAATTTTCCCTGTTCTTTTTAGAGCATTCAATAATCAAATTGTAGATAAGAAGAATTAATATAAAATTTGTCTTAAGCTTTCATATCTGAATCAAATTCCGTACTAACCCTGGGTTATCTTAACCTAGTTTTAAACAACCCGGTCCTGGGTTTTTCATTTTACAAACGGGCCCTTTTTTGGAGGTTCCCCAAGCCTCTGTTTTAAACCAAGGCTAAGTGCAAAGCCTTTGTTTTGGAAATGACTTTTACTCTTATGCAAATGAAACTCATTTTACGAGAAAGGTTTATCACTTGGCCCCGTTTTGATAGTGAACGGTGTCTGGAACTCGAAGGGCCTGTTACCTTTAATAAGTTGTTTTAATATACGGACAATGGCCGTTTTTATGCCAGACGTAAACGTCTAGTATAAAAACGGCAAATAAGACAGATAACGCCTGACGACATTGGGGAGCTTAAGCAACGGCGACGGCAACGGGAACGGCAAAAGGGCAGTAGGTTAGATTAGCAAAACAACAACTTTGAACATGCATCACGCTTTTTTGTACATTTTTTTAGCCGTCGTTGCACGACTACATCGTGAAATAAATTTCACGTTTTGTCGAGGACGTAAAGACAAGACAATAACTTTCTTTTTCTTTTCCTGAATTTTGATAGAGTCCTTCAGAAATCAACTCCAAAAAAATTTGCCCACGTATGAAACGAGATGGAATATTAAAGCGTGATAAAGTTTGAGGCAGCGCGAATTCACTTTTTAAATGATGTTTTCGTTGCCGTTGTTGTTGCTTAAGCTCCCTATTAACGTCTCACTTAACAGACGTCTCTCTTTACGCAGCAGGACGGGAGAGGAAAGAGGACGGCAAACCTTGTGTGACAACGGTGACAACAATTTTGTTTCAAATAACGTTTCTCATTTTCCTTTAAACAGTTTTTGTCAAAACGGGACGACATAACGTAAACCCTGTCACGTTTGTACACAAACATTTGCCGTCCTCCTTCCTGCCGTCCTGTTCAGAAACGACTTTTGAAAACGGACGCCGTAAACAGCTCGTTCAGAAACGACTTTTTTTTTTTTTTTTTTGAGCAAACTATTTTTTTCAATATTATCGTCTATTTTCTTGAGTCCCGTTTTTACGCCAGTGGACTTAAATGTCTCGACAACTTTAACGTCCCTAGCGTAAAAACGGCCAATGATATGCGTTACTAGTTTAATTGTGAAAGAAAAGGGGGAGCTAAATAGAGGTTTCTTAGTAAGGGAATTTACAGTATGTTTATGTAGTGGTAATTAAATAGTTATGTTGGAAGCAAATTCGTAGAACTTGTATTCTGTCATACATGATTTTCAACAGTTATGTTATGAGAGAAAATAGTTCAATAATCAATAAAACTGAAGATAATCTTACACTATATTTTGTACATTAGAATGTTATAATTGATTTGATTTTAGGGATTTATTGTTAAGATAATTACTACGGAAAACGTGCTTTAGATAAAGCATTCTGACTAGAATGTAGTTCTATGTAATGAACAAATTGTTACAATGTGCTGGCACAAAGCGAATTGAGCAGTAAGTGATCAAACTAAAATTAAGTAAATTAGTGGAGGGTCAAACATAGTTTTTACCCTAAGATAAAAAAAATAAATAAATAAATGTGCGTTTCAGTATACTGTCGTTTGTTTAGTTTCGCCGCCTGTTCGTTCGAACTTTTAATTTAGTTTTCGGGGAGTTCGTTTTCATTGTTCAACAGCTAGTTTGGACTTGGATACCTCCATGAAACATCGAGAAGAGAGTTAAAAATACTGCGCGCAGCGGAGTATTTTTGACGAACTTCGAGGTTTTTCATCTGGTGATGAAACACTGCGTCTTATTCTTGATACATTACATCAAATTTTTCATTGGAATATAATACAGTCGAACCCTGCTCTACGGACACCTAGACTTCAAAACAGTTCGTATTTCAAACAAAAGCTCTGGAACGGGGCTGAAAACAGAGAGCGAGACTGGGGAGAGACGCCAAAATTTTTTTCACTCGCCTCACAAGCCCAACGGGCGTGTGAGGCTCGCGCGCTTCGCGCGCGTAAGACTCTTTACGCCACGCTTTACCGATTTCTTTACTGATTTTGAGAAAAAAAACGACTTTTTTGCAGTCTAACGAACACCGCCATATAATGGACGGTTTCGTTTGTCCCGACGAAAAGCTCCTGTGTTTTCTATAATACAGACACGAGTTAATACGACCAACGGACACTTTTCTGTGTCTCGCGTCACAAATCCTCACATATCGTTAACCCGCTTGACGGGGTATCTGCGCACTGTCTATTTTCATTGCGTGCTGATTGTAGTCATTGTACCCTTTTCAAAAACTGAAAGATTTCTACGATTTAATACGTTGTTGTTTTTTTTTTTACTAAGAAACAGTAGTGAATTGGCGTTTTTGACTTTCAGGTCATCTTCCGGTGTTTGACCATTCCTTTTAAATAACGTTTTCATCATTACTTTATATCAATAAAATCAAAAAATAAATGTGTCCGTGACGTGTTTTCTAAGAACCCGCCTACTACTAGTCTCCCCCGCAGCCGGTTTTGGATTTCACAGAACGTTCCCCCAAAGAGGGAGACTAGCTTAATACGGGCATGTGCCTGTTCACAGTCCCCTAATTTTCGCAAGATCATTATGATCGAACGCTTAAACAGGTACGGGCGGCCACCTTGATTTCATGCAGGATTTCATACTCATTCCCAGGCTAGACTCGGAAAATTCGAACATTAGAAACCCGTAACGCAAAGCGCTCGATCTCGACGATCTTACGGAAAAAATAGGGGATTGTGAAAAGTCTGTATTAACCTGGTTCCACTGTATTTCGTTTTCCAACACTCCATGTAAGGCGGTAAGAACGCAAATTAGACAGTAACACTGTGAACATTGATTTATTTCTAGACTGTTCACAGTCCCTTATTTTTTCGTATGATCGTTAGGATCGAGTGCTTTAACCGGTACGGGCCGCCATCTTGGTTTCATATGTACCGAGGCCCCCGCCCCTACCGGGAAAAAATTATTTGAATCTCCTTAAGTGTTCATTTGTCAACCAAGCTACATGTAGATATCGTTCTATCGTAAGGCGCATGCGTGCTCTCATAAAATGTGCGCATGAAGGGACAGAAATTGTACTCCCACATGTATGCCACTTTACATGAGTTGACTAATATAACATCAAACTATTCATGACCGAGTGACGTCCTCGTGATCGTTCTATGCGAATTCGGTACACAGGTAAACTAGTTTTATTGTCATAGCAACCGACATTCTCCCGACCATTACCCAACCTCGTTCCCAAGGTTCTCTCGCTCCGAGGGCGGGTAGGAGAGAACCCTGCAAACGAGGTAAACCATTTCCGACCCTTTCTTAAAGGGAACCTCCACTTCAACAAAAAGATAACTTTAAATCACAGGAAATAACTGTTACAGTCAAGTCAATCTAAAATATTTTTAAACAAAGCGTTTGTATCCGAAAGAAATAACTTTTAGATTCGCCTATTTTTGTTTTCAACTTTTGCCGGCGTCGCCATCTTGAATAATTGTGACGTGTAATGGTTGCCATATTGTTATTAAACAAAAGCTCTTTGTGTCAGAACAATAGAGCAACCGTAACACGTCACAAATTTGAAAGTGAAAATAAGCGATTTTAAAATTCACTTTTCCTGATATAAACACTTTTTTTAAGACAAATTTCGAACAAATTTGTTTATTGACATAATTTTATTCGACTTAAACTTATTCTGTAGTAAGAGTGGAGGTTCCCTTTAAGACATTCCGACCCTTTCCACGCAACCACGCGCGATTTCGAGAATATTGTTGATAGACAAAACTTGTATTTTTACCCTGGTAGCTCGAACTCTGAAAGGAAGCATCGGGGAAGTTCGAGTTATCCGAAATCGAGTTAGCGGGGTCTTTAATCATTCATCTTCAATCATTATTTACACACGGTAAAAAATTCATCAGGTACAATAAATTCCAATACAATGACTAACATCCTAAAACCCAAAACTCCTAATCCTAAGATTATATTAACTTACAACAAATATGCCAATTTAAAAACCTGATTTCCATGAATGTTGTGTTTAAAAATTATGATAGAGAAGGCGTTTAAATTGATTTAATGAACCACACTCTCTAATGTTACAGGGCAAGCTGTTCCAAAGGGTTGCACTGCTGTAACTAAAACTATTTTTCATGTCGTTAGTTCTTGGAAAGGGGACAACAAGTTTGTTTACCGAATCCCTCGGAGAATAGTTTGATTCATTTCGCTTTATAAATTTAGACGTGAGATATTCGGGAACCAGCCTGTTTAAAGTCTTGAAAATCATTAAGGCGTTCTGAATTTGACGTTGAGAATTCAAGTCTTTCCTTCTGAGTTTGTAAAACAAGGAATCGACATCTACGTCATAGTTTGATGAAGTTATTACTCGTGCAGCACGGTTTTGTAACTTGTTAGATAATGTTTTGCCACAATTACCCCAGACTAGGCTGAAGTAATCAGAGTAGGATTGAACTAGTGAGTTGTATATATTCAGTAGGGTGGACTGAGGCACAAAAGGCCTAACTCGCTTTATGGCTCCAATTGTTGAAACGATCTTTTTACAGTTTATCAATGTGGGAATGCCACATTAAATTTTCATCGATATATATTCCAAGTGATTTCACAGAGGAAACTTGTTCAATCGGAACATTACCAATGGAAAGTTCGAGTGTATCAGTTAGAGTACTTAATCTTTGCCTGGGGCCGATCAACATAAATTCAGTTTTTGTAGCGTTCAAGGTAAGTCTGTTAGACACAAGCCATTTGCTTAGCTTTTCAAGGTCGTGAGATAGACTAGACTGAATCAAATGCAAATCAGAACCTGCATAAGTAACGTGGGTGTCATCAGCATACATTCTAGGTACGCTGAACGAAAGACAGTTTGGCAAGTCGTTAATATAAATTAAAAATAAAAGAGGGCCAAGGATCGTTCCATGTGGCACACCACATTTAAGAGTGGTTACTGTTATTTCAGCACTTAAGCATAGAGCTGAGTGCAAATTAAACTTATCTCATCAGAAATTGTACCACGATTATGTATTTTTATGATAATAAAAGGAAATAACCCTCACTTATGAAAAACAAATTGCTGAAGTGTTAGTTTTAGTGTTTCTACATTTTTCTGAATACACGGCAAGAAGAGCTAATGGGATCACATTCGTGGTAAGTTGCAAGAACCAAAATTCGAGTTATCGAGGTTAATTTTGATCAAGGGAAACGAAATTCAATTCGAGTCAGCAGGGAAGTCGAGTTATCCGAGTAAAAATGACTGAAAAGTAAGGTGAAATCCAAGGGAAAGGGTACTTAGTTCGCCAACTTAGCGGGGAGTTCGAGTTATCCGAGATCGAGTTAGCGGGGTGCTAACGTAACACTGTTCAGCGACTGTTTTTCAACAGCATGCTACATTTCTAAATCCACGTTGGAAACGTTTTTTTTTCTTTTTTTTTCCCGCCTCCTGCACGTACCCCTTCCCCACACCTTCCCAACCATACACAGTTTGTCCCCTCAGTGCATGTTTGACTGCCTTAACAACGAACAATAAAAATCTACAATTCTCTCAGCTGCATAATATTTTGCAGTCAATTCCATGAGTTCAAACGTGCAATAAAAATGATGATACCAACGACAGATGATCAGAAGACAGGAACTTATTAGGAAGTCCGCCAAGATCCCAAATAGCATCCTCGGAAAGAAGATCCAGTTTACCAGTCAGTTGTAAGGGTCCATGTCGAGACCGGCACCTGCGACAAGACCGTTGAAGCCCAGGAGATACGAACATATAATCAACAGTGGTGCATGCTCGATGATGAAACGTGGTCACTTCCGGTCGTCGGTTTTTGAAGTAATGCCTGTAGACACTGAAGAAGTTGAAAGGATGTTGCTGTGTTGTACATGCATTGTACAAATCTTGCTCCGTTTTGTTCTCTGTAGGAGGAGGGGCAGTTAGTTCCCCTTCCGGCCAAGTCTCTCCAACCTCCAAGCAAACGAGTGACTGCGAATCTTTATTTGGTAAAGATGTGCTAGAACATGCTAAGTAAATGTCGCTATTTTCCCCTTTACTGCACTGACTGGAAGTTAAACTGAGATTTTCCTCTTGTGTCTTCTTTATCCCAGCACTGTTTCCAACAGCTTCTTGACCAGTACTTCCACAATCTGAGTTACCACCTTTTATCTTGTCTTCCGTACTGTTTGCTGAATTACTAGGCTCATAGCTCGCGGCAGGATTTGCTTTTTGTGAATCGTTTCTTTTGACGCCAGACGTTGTAATTCCCAATTCCCATGGAATAAGATTGCTTGAGAGGGCCTGTCTTGGTGGAAAACTGTTTCGAAAATGGTTCTGCCCTGAAAAATTATCACGATGCATTCCTTTATAATCCAGCAATCCCCGCACGACAAATTCGTAAATTGGAGAAAATGGAACGCTATTAAAGTCCCCACAACATATGATAGGATGGTGACGAATATCACCTTGATCAGATGTGGAAATGGCTGCTATCTCAGCAATTTCAGCTAACAAGCAAGCTAGTTGTGAAAGCTTGATGTCTCCCCTTTTCTTGTTAAACAATAAGTGAGTGTTGGACACACACACTGAATTGGCTGCCTGATGCGAGGAGCGTACTGCTGTCCTCGGCTCTAAAAGTAACACAACAGCTACATTGTCACGGTCCATCAGTTTGACTTCCGGTTTTCTGAAAGAAACCAGCTTGGTTTTCACCAACGTAAACCTCGATGCTTTGAAGAATGTCGCACATCCATCAGTTTTGTCACCAGTTCTTTTTTTGTACACTCCACTGTAACCTGTATAAGAGTAAAAAATTCCCAAAATAGATAACAAGCACTCTGTAAAACAGCATATACCGATAAGCCACAATATCCACATACAAATTCTCCAAACTGATCTCCATACATTTCCTTAAAGGATTTAATTTAAGCCCCAATATCCACATACAAATTCTCCAAACTGATCTCTATACATTTCCTTCATGAATAAGTCAAGAGAATTTGTTAAAAGATCAAGGCAGTTTCCCTTAGGTGATCGTTTTATTAATTCTCATAACCTAATCTCTTGACATTGTATGGATATCGTTAGGAGAAAATTGACATTAGTCACTATTGGGACTTAAAGGGTTAATGAGAGAATTTGACCCCTTGGTGATCATTTTATTGATTCTCATAACCTATTCTCTTGATTATGTATGGATAATGTTAAGAGAAAATTGATGTTGGTCACTCTTGGAACTTAAAGGAAGTGGGACTTACAGCCACTACCCATTTTTTGCTTTTTTTCAAGTTTCTGCCAAAATACCAAGAACTCACAGTGATGACTTTGCTGTGACTCACTGTAAATGTCAGGAACAAAAAAAGTAGACAGATCAGAGTGTAGCCTGGAGAGCAGATGCCTTTTTTGGCTCTTGAAAACAACAGCTGAAAAAGATGTCTGCTCTCACAGGCTAAGCAGAGCGGAATGGAGTAGCAAAAGCAAACTGAGTAAGAGTGGAGTGGAACAGAGTGGGGTGGACAGTAGCATGAAGTCTGAACATAATAATAATATTTTTACCTTTTTCTCTTAGCTTTGGTTCAAACCAATCTTGGTAGTGGCATTCTTCTACTTCTTGAAGACAGACAATCTAAACAGAATGAAAATAATCCTTGCAAGGTTTAACACAAATACACAGACTTTAACTTTGCCACTATGTTTTACTGTGACTACAAGAGATCTAAATAAATACAGTGAAAGTTACACATTCACTACAGTTTCCATGTTGTTATCTCTAGAAAGACTATAGTAGAGGCGTATGTGGCCGAGCGGTTAACACCTCGAACTCCAGATCTGGAAGTCTGGAGTTCAAGTCTCGCCTATCACGTTGTTTCATTACACAAGGAACTATACTCCACTTTGTCTCTCCTCACACAGGTGTTTAAATGGATACTGGCGACATACTACTGGGGGGTAACCCTGTGATGGACTAACATCCCATCCAGGGGGGAGTAGCAATACTCCTAGACATGCTTCATGCTAAGGAAACCCTTTGGGCTTTTGGCTCGTATGTGCCTTAACTTTTACCTAGAAAGACTATCTCACCAACCACAAAGGAAAAAAGAGAAGATTCTTACAAAAATTAACTGTCTTTAATTTAAAAATGTTGACATATTTTTTGTTGATATTTAGCAAACAAATTTATCTACTGATTAAGAGTACTTTAATGACACCTGGGGAAGGGTCTCTCCTGGAAAATTTGGGTAGTGGTGAGCAGTATATTTGTTACTCTGTTGTACAGGAAATATTGTTCCCACCCTATTTCAGACCTACTGACATAATAGACCCTTTTTGCATGTACGATGAATGATCCCAACTAACCATCAAATGCTTTCGTTTGCTCCCCCATTTAACAAGGTCTTCATTTAAAGTGTTCATCACAAAGATAACTATTATAATAAAAACACGTCTTTCTTTAAACACCTTATCCAGTTCTATACCTTGGTTCCAGATAAGATGGTGCAAACCTTACCCTATTTTAAGGGGAACATTAAGCAGTTACTAGGGTAACACTATCAGTCAGTTGAGCAATTGGACAACCATCTATTTAAGGTTAGCCTGTAAATACAGCCATCTTTCTTCGCTCCTTGCAAGTAGGGATGTTTTGCTGGAGAGATGTCTGCAACTCAACAACAGAAATTTGATACTGATGATGTAAAAATATAATCTGTCCAGAACCTGGTCAGGAGCTCTGATTGATCTATGTGGTTTTATAGTTTTATTGTTTTAGCTGTCATTTATGTATGACGGACAAGAGACAAAACCACACAAAGGTCAAATGTAAATGCAAATAAATCTACAGTCATTACTTGTGAAAAATATTCTTCTTTAGAAGAGGTATGGAATTTATTTGCTGCAGCTCATTCACAGAAGAACTCAAAACTTTGCCACAAAAGACCAGGTGACACATAAATTCGAACAAATTTTTATTTACAACCCCATGACTACCAGGCTAAAAATGTAAACACTGATTTCCATCATTAGTATGGCATTTCTGACATTGAGGCGCAGGTGTCACTCCTATGAAACGTCCCTGGCGGTGAGGATTGATGAGAGATGGCTGTATTTGTAGGCTAATTGAACACTTTTATTGTAATATCACTTACATCTGCTTTGTAATTAAGAATTTCTTTCAGTAAATTTCTCCGCCTGTACTCCCATTGTTGTAGCCATTGCTCTGTTCCAGCATACAAATCACTGTGTGCATTGAGTAAGCCATCAGCCAACACATTATATGAAACAACTGTGAAACCAAAATTTTGGCTTCTTTGCTGGCGATAGCATGTTCTGTGCAAACGGTACCACCTGCGGCCTAACTCTAAAGGAGAGCTGAACAAAGCAGGTTGTTCTGCTGGATTAATCTGGTTATCCAAATTTTCCTGCTGAAAGTATCCAGGAGAAGGCTGTTCTCTTTCACACTGTTGCCTCTGGTGATGTGTTTCATGCCATGAATAGCCAGCAACCAGTTGCTCACTGTTATGATATTGGCCCAGTGATGCATTGTCTGGCATATGATGTTGCCCTGGTGGCATGTTTCTTGGTATGCTGTTGAAGTACTGTGCTGATCTCTGATTACCAAGTCCTAGGTGTTGACTGTTCCATGCCATGTTTCCATCAGCATCTAAAACACAGTCAAAGACTACATTACAGTTTACTGGAGAAGAAATCTTCTTGTATGTCTCCCTATGAAATTTGTTTGGTTCTATGGGTTACTAAAATGCTTCACGACACCCTCCCACCCCCAATAAAATGAAATGAGATGTTGACTGAGGCTGCTTCAGTGACAGTATGAAGACATATCTAGTCCATCAGATGCTTATGTTTTTGAGCTGAGCTGAGAAATTCAATTGCTCGGTGTCAGTTTCTTCCTGGAACGTTCAACTTCAATTTTCTTCTTTCCATGAACAAAGGTTCAATGCTCAGATTGGTGGGGCTGAATTTCAACACCTGTTGTTTGGCATATTAAAAGTAGAAGAAGCCATGTCCCTAACGGTATCTTACTATTGTATTTGCACTTCTCTCTGTTACTGTTCAGTTTTAACCCATCTTTGTGTGTCTGTTGTCCATTTCATCTATCGCTGTTTCAAGGCTTTGTTGCTCACCAGAATTTTAAATCCAACAGGGCCTCATTGTTGGGGGAAGAAGGGGGATGAAGGGATGAACCCAAAGCCCATCAACAAATTATTATCAGGAGCAGAGTTCTACGTAACAGTTACTTAGAAGGTTTTTCCAGCTGTTCCAAGTTCCTCTGACTTCCTTTATTGCTTTGGTGATAATTAAACTCATGTGTATGCAATATTTTGGATATTGTTTTATGCTTAATATATCAGTCAAATCGAAGCTTCAGTATCCCCCCCCCTCTCCCAGGCATCCTGGGCATTTGACACCTTTGCCCTAACTGGGAAGGAGGGAATTTGATTATCAGAGTCTTCCAGGGGGTGAGGAATTTAAACCGTAGCCTCGATTTCATGTGAAATCTCTGGGAGCTTTGCATATGGCAAGCTATCATGGCAGACATGGTTTTTGTGGAAAAGATTGTGCCTTTGTGGCCAATTGGTTATGAGGAAAGGGCAAGCTTTGTGCTGTATTTGAAGGTGTTAAAATTTTAATATTTTTAATGTTGGATTCAGGCTCTGAATAACATGTGCCAAGGCAGCGCAGAAAGCAAGAGAAACAAGAGCAAAGAAGAAGCAACAATGATTTCATCTTTGCTAATCTTAACCCATTCGCCCCTGAACCGCCCGTAACCACCCGTGCGGATCCAGGTCCTTTCTACCCTTTGTGACGTCATCAGTTTTAACGGTCAAGGACAACTTTCTTCGCTAACTTGTGCAGAGTGAAGAGATCTTTCAAACCATACCAGAATGAGCACAATTCAGTCAAGGACACCGGAGAAAGAAGCAAAAAACCACGTGACAAGGACCTGAAAATCTCCATGAAAATCTTGGTCCATTACCCACCTACCTTTCCTTTCACCTAATCCTAAGATCCTAAAAGCTTTCCTAAAAACTCTTCCCACCAAATCAAGCCTACTAAATGCCCAGCAAGAGAAAAAAAAAATGAGGCAAGAAAAGCAAAAAAAAAAGGGAGGAGAGAAAGCGAAAAGTAAAAGTCAAGACTGCTGTGTCACTTTTAAACCCAAAAACTATGTCGAAATTTTGCTTTCTGCGCATGCCCGAACTTCGCAAGCTGATATTTTGCATCTGGATCAGAAGGCCGCCAAGTGTACGACCTGTAACCGGTTTGTGGTAAGTTTTAGCTCTTTAAAGCACGACAGTGACCAGAAAACCACTCGACTAGCTTCAAAACGCGTTTTTCGGCAAAATCTCCAGGAGCGAATGGGTTAATCGCTCGTTTCTCTTGCTTTTGATAGCTGCTTATTTTAAAATTATACCATATTTGAAATCTCGATTAAATGACGCATTGAAAATTTCTAAATGTAAAAGGGTTTGTATGGAAAACCGTGGCTGGGTGATTTAAACTGTTCCCATACACATCCCTCTTATTTTCTGTGGCCACAGCATCAATGAGATGTAAGCCTAAACATTTTTTCCAGAAAATGTTGTTTTTGTTTAGAAAAAGTTGATCATATGACCAACGGTTGCTTCAGGTGTATTCAAAACTTCACACATTTTCAAGCACAACAGTTGATCTCAACAGAATGCTATTTTTATAAAATGACAATACTTACTATTAAGGACAAGATTATTGAGGTTACGTTTAACAATTCGTGAACCACATGTACTTTTAATAATGGTTTTCTTTATCATAAAGCAGTTACAGAACAAATTAGAATAAAAACTGTACTTTCTATTGCAACCTGTCTGCAGACTCGGCTTCAACTTCAAGAGCTTCTACAGAGTGGATAGTATGGAAAGTTTGAAATGTCCCCGGGGTGGGGGCATTTGATCACCTGAATGAACCCTAGTGTGGGGCATTTGAACAGCATTTTGGCTCGGGTAGGAGGGAATTTGAAGGATAATTTTCAAAAAAGTCAAATGCCGGGGGGGGATGTTGAAGCTTTGATTTGACCGAAACATAAATGTGCTGCCAGGTTCACACAAAATTATGCATGCTATAAAAACCTCGGTCCAATGAATCCTTGATCATGCTAGCTTGATCTGGTCGTATTCCATCTGCCATCTGATGTGTTTGTTCAAGGTATTTGCATTTTTTAGCTGCAGGAGTGAAGAAAGGCCTCACCGATGGACCTGATGCCATCACCAGGCTCCCGTTGAGAAGTAAATACTTCGTGTAAGAGTACGTACAGGATGTTACTGGAAACTTCAGGGAGACGAGGACGCGCAAAGACATTATAACTTAGCTTATATGAAGGAATTATATTTTGCCAGGTTACAAAGCCGAACGCGCGAACGAAGAGATTTCGCGAAGTTTTTCATCAGAAGAAAGTCTAACAATGTTTCACTCGAGCACGCAGCGAAAACACTGGACGTTTGCAAATGAAATCGAATTGACTGGTATCCGTGAAGAAGTAAATAATGCTTACTGTCAACGGTTCCGCGAAAACCCGTCAACGAAGAAAGATGTCAACTTTCTCACTGTTGAAGAGGAAAGAGGTTTGATTGAGTACTATCAACTAGTTTTGATCGAAGTTTGTGATAAATTTAAGCCTCCTGTACCCAACGCTGTGACAGCAACAGCCGTAGCTTATCTGAAGCGCTTTTATTTGAAAACATCGGTCATGGATCACCCTCCCAAGGAGATGTTTTTGGTGTTTTTGTACATGGCGTGTAAAGTGGAAGAACACAACGTATCTGTTGACAAATTTGTGGAAATTCTACCACCTGATCGAAGAGAGAAGACCAAAGACTTTATTCTAGCTCATGAGCTACTACTTATGCAATGTCTGAACTTCCATTTGACAGTGCATAACCCGTACAGACCCATGGAGGGATTTATCATTGATCTTAAAACAAGATGCCCTAAGTTAGGAGACCCAGAAAAATGGCGTCCTTCTGCAGAAGAATTCCTTCGCAAAGCACTGTTGACCGATGTTTCATTACTTTTCTCGCCATCTCAGATTGCCTTAGCGGCACTTTTCAGTGCATCAAAAGGAGTTATAGGCTCTTACATTGGGGAGAATCTTGGAGAGCATCAAAAGCATGTTCTGAGCCAAATTCAACAGTTAGTCACCATGGTGACCTCTAAAGTTAAATCTTCACCGAGTAAAGAACAAGTGAAAAGTCTCGAGCTGAAATTAAAAGGCTGTCGCAACCCTGAAAACAATCCTGACAGTAAACTGTTTAAGAAAAAGAAGATGGACAAGGAAAAAGCTATGGATGAGAGCTTTTAAACAACAGATATTAATTTATTATATAGACACCAATGAAATACCAGGAGAGCTTTCGGACAAAAACATGATATCTTCACACAAGAAAATAACATGTGATCTTCATATGTGGAAAGATCATTGTTGCTTTGGCTACATGAAGAATAAGTGAAATGGTTTGGTATTTCATTGGTGTTTATGTACTAAATAGAACATCACATGGCCACTTGGAGATACAAAACTGTTTAAGAAAAAGAAGATGGACAAGGAAAAAGCTATGGATGAGAGCTTTTAAACAACAGATATTAATTTATTATATAGACACCAATGAAATACCAGGAGAGCTTTCGGGCAAAAACATGATATCTTCACACGAGAAAATAACATGTGATCTTCATATGTGGAAAGATCATTGTTGCTTTGGCTACATGAAGAATAAGTGAAATGGTTTGGTATTTCATTGGTGTTTATGTACTAAATAGAACATCACATGGCCACTTGGAGATACAAAACTGCTTCTCTCATGTTGAAAAATATTTCAGTTGTTCCCTTCGCTTACTCATGAAATATTTTGCGACACTCAAAAGAGAAACTTTGTATCTTTGTGCAGCTATATAATATCCTCTATACCTACTGACATGGAAAAAAGGTCACTGGTTGTTACGCTGCATTCACTTCACTGCGTTTTGAATTTGATGTTTACAGTAATATCCTCACATGGCCAATGTGATGAACAGACTAGGCCAGACTTGTCTTAAGCCGGCGTCATGACTTTCACAACAAAAATGCTGTACAATGAGCAGGGTGAGTTTTTTAAGGCTTTGAAGCAGCTGAACGAACAAGAAGACACAAGAGGTCCTGCGGATGTTAAAAAAATGACAAAGGAAAGGTTAAGATTTTTCATCTTAATTCACTTTTTGAGCAGAAAAGAGGAGAATTGTGACGCCAAGTAACCATTGTAGTAAAACTTCTGGATCACAACAATATTGAGAGCTTAAGCAATAATGACAGCGATGGCAACAAGCATGGCAAAATAGCAATTGGGTTAGGTTGGCAAACAACAACTTTGCACCTGCATCACACTTTTTTGTGCATTTTTTTTTCCGTTGTTGCATGACTGTGCTGAGACTGCGGCATGAAACTTCCTAATTTTATGTGCCCACTTCTTGGAGTACATGAACATAACACAAAAATTTTCTTTTTCTAAACTTACTTGATACTTTTGGATAATTTCAACCACAGAAAATTTTGCCAACATTTCACAGATTAAATGAATTTGAATAAAATTCATGAAGTTTGAATCAGTGCAAATTCACTTTTAAAGTGATGTTTTCGGTTTTTTGGCATCCAGAAATTTTGCTACCATGGCAAAGTGACGTAACGACTTTTCCACTCTATTAGTCAGCATTGAAGTGAAATGGCTTGTAATGCAACAACTTTGTTATAAAACTACCACAAAGTCTTGGACTAGAACAGATGACAAGCAGCAAGATCAATAAATACAGTTGTTTTACCAGTCTAGACATAAAATAGTGTTACTCTGTACTTTTACATTCCCTTAACTGGCCAGCTCCACTTTTTCGCGTCCCAAGGGTGTCCGCACATGAGAGCGTCCACTGTAACAGTTAATACATGATGGAAATTTGGCAATGAGAAATTGTTTTTAGAGCTCATAGTCTCGAGGAAAGTTTACATTATAAGGGAGTTGAACAAACCAAGGATTAATGGCTGGGTAAGGCATCTAAAGAAGAGGCAGATCTCTGCAAGCAGGGTTTGTACAGGTCATGGAAAACCTGGAAAGTCCTGAAATTTAAGAATTTCATTTTCCAGGCCTGTTAAGTCATGGAATTTAATTGTAGGACCTTAAAATTAAAGTCGTGGAAAACTAAGGTTATGTTTGGTAGATTGTTACTGCAGATGTCAAAGCAAGGACAAAGTAAAGACAGAGACAAGTAATTTTAAAATGGCACCCATTTTGGTGGACACCAATGTTTGTTTCTGTTGAATTGAGTATGTTAAAAAGTGCTCTAAAACAAAAAAAAAATCTTTTGAAAATATTTGAAAGTGACAGCTAAGCATATTAAGGTTATGAAAACCTTGAAAAGGTCATTGAAAATGTCATGGAAAGTCATGGAATTTGAAGAGCTCAAACGAGTACAAACCCTGTATGAGAGATCAGACAAGAAGTGCCGAGTGTAATGGCGGGTAAAAGTTCCTTCTCCTCAAAAAATAAATATATATATTAGTAAGTTCCTGAAATGGTTTTTATCTTTTTTTACCAAAAATATGTTCACTCTGGCTGCCTATGGCCTCTTTCCCTTTCACTTGATATGATCATTGATTCCTGCACTGCTTTCTCCTTCTAACTTGTCTAAGAACTAGTTTAGATGTCAAAAAATAAGCAAAGAAGAAAAAGATATTTTTAGGAAATAAAACCCAATGCTCTACTTTTTTGTACATAAGATATACAAATGATAACTGTCTCTCTAAGGTGCTTTTTCTAATTAAGTTCTGCTTAGGGTTGGAAGCCCTCAATACTATATTTATACACGTGCTAATATTGAAATGGGACTATTCTGAAAGTCACTTTCTATGTTTAGTAGTTTAATACTATGATGTCATTTTGCCCGGCCAAGAAACCTTGGCACTGATGCTTAGCAATTTTAAGATGTGTATTTTTGCAAAAGGGACCTCAAATTGCTTCTGTCAACATTTTTAATGATTTAAAACGAAAGAAAAAAAGCTTGATACGCAATGTCTGAAGAAAAGGATCAAGAGAGAGAGTATTTGATCAAATTTTTAGCGCTTGGAGACTCGGGAGTAGGAAAAACAAGTCTCTTATATCAGTACACAGATGGACAGTTTAACCCGCGGTTTGTACCCACGATAGGGATCGACTTCAGGGAAAAAAGAGCGGTAAGCCACGTTAGACGTTAATCAATTCACCGAGAGATTTAACACCATATAAACTTTGCCAGGGGAAACTTTAAAAAAGAGTTTGACGCGAATCAGATTCCCGTTGTGTCAAATGATTCTTATATGCAAAAATTTAAATTTATATTTTCTGTGGCTATCGAAGGTTTTTTTAAATAGCTCTTTATTTATCTTTAGCTTTTCTTGTCGTTTATATTCGCAACAACGAATAGCCCATTCTATTTGTAAGAAGTGTTAAACGTGTTTTATTTAATAGACACAATGGTGGTTGTTTTGATCACTATCTCAACCATGTTGCGAAGATGTAAGTGTGTCATTTTCTTTTTGAGAACGTCGCTTCGTTATGGAAGTCACTAAATACCTCTCTTACACAACTAATTTATTTTCTTAGTAAAATCATTGACTTTGCGATATCGGAGGGAGTTGAAAGGATACCCATCATGAATTAAAGAGCAAATGTTGGACTCTTTGGCAGGTACCTGCTTTAAAACAGTGAGAAAACATGACAGGCAAAACAATGTTTCAGTGAGGCTCCAAAATAGGCGACTTTGTTGAATGTTTTATAGATGAGGGTAGTTAAAGTGCTACTACGATTAAGTAGTTACCAAAGCAATTAGCGCGCAAGCAATAAATAAAACGTTCACCCAAGATTTCCTAGGTTTCTCTAAGAGCCTGTTCACATGAACCGCTTGTTAACCGGGCTGGCCCGGTTACCTGGATCAATCTCGCCTTGGATTCTTATGAGAAATTTCAGCCTGGTTTCCGAGATGAAGAAAAGGTCGACGATATCGGGGGACGAACTCGAGAAAGAAAGCACACAACTGGCCGAAACACACAAATTATAACTTTTGCGCCCATCATAGGTTTGGCAACTCTTAGAGTTGGATGCTTTATATGATGTGAAAAATACAGCAGGGGTCAGCAGGCAATGCAAGACAGGGCGGATAAAGGTAGGGCGGTGAAACGAGCGCGTCCGAGCAAAAAGGTGCGATGCAGTGGACTGGGACTCTGCTTAGAAATGTCGCTTGTTTTCGACTTCGGTCAGGGCTCGCGATGTGGTTTGTACATTAGACACTGCCGCTGTCACTGAATTATGGTGGCTTGATTTGTTTTCTTGCACTTCTTCCTCGTCCCTTTGTGCTGGTACACTGTCTCCGAGAGGCAAATATTGCTATTTTTTGCGGGAGGTTTAGTTGGAGTAGACAAACATCTCTTTCAAACTTCAAAGGGTTTCTTTTATTACTTCCATGACTCTACCACTGAACTATATTTTCGTTCTGCTACTCGCCAATGTCGATGTTATTCCAAAACAAAAACAACTAAGTACTGTCTAAAACACGAAGGAAACTCTCATCATGTCATCCATGGCAAAATTAAAAGACAGCAGATCGTGTTTCATAACTAGATGACGTATATTTTATAAATGCGTGCAGCTCGTGCAAGGTGAAATTATGCTAATTTCAATCACCGACATCATTCTTTTTAATTTTGAAAAAAAACATCTCATATGTCTTTCTGTTTCTTCGAAACTTCAAAATTAGTTTCCCCTCAGTTTTTACTGTCTACCTTGTTTTGTTTTAGAGAGAAAAACTGAGAAAAAACCCTACAACTAACCTCAATAAAGTTTGTTTACATGCGGTTGCCGGATTTGCAACGCATTGCGCGAATCGCCATGGCGCGTTGCACCCGAGAAGCAAAGTTTGAAGAAATAAAACGCCACTATATCAATATATATCAATCTAATTTTTTGCTATGTTATACAAAATTTATCCCCCTTTAACATATGTAAAAATTGAGGTTAAGAAGTGTTAAGCTTTTGCAAACGAAACGGTGAAAGACGATTAGGTGATATTTAGTGGAAGGAGGAGGTATTCAACACTTTCAAATTAAACTCAAATTTTGGCATTATACGACCAACAAGTTAAACTTATAGACGTATAGACACAAACATATTAAACTGTTTATTGATATTGTTATGAAACGAATTTATCTATTTAACATTGTAGCCTGAAATTACAGAAAGAAAATAGGATTTCCGGTTTGCAAAAACGAAAATTTCGCCGGCCTTCAAGCGCACCGGAAGCGCGGAAAGAGCGCTCGTGCCAGTCCTATTCCGCATCACACATTAAATGAAGAGCGGAGCGCTCGTTTCACCGCCCAACCTTTATCCGCCCTGATGCAAGACGATGCCATCCGGGCCGCCAGAGTTTATCCCTCTTTCATTCCGGTAACCGGGCTGAAGTGTTCAAATGGCGAAATTTCCAGCCCGCTTACTGAAGACCTCGGTTGGAAAAACCCAGATCTCGGGAACCGAGCCAACCCGCCCTCTCATATAAAGATATCATCGAAAATTTTACATAGCAACTCAGGTAAGGCTCGGAAACCCGGCTCATGTGAAGAAGCCCTAATATGGATTACAAAACCAGGCTCATCTTCCGCAGAAAAGACTCCTCAGTCCCTTCATTGTACCAGTTCTAACTGTTTGCTGCCCGCAAGCCGTCTTGTTACAGTGCCATTTTCAGCCTTAGGGATGATCCGATCCATTTACAGAAATTCATTATTTTTCCACACAGCGACTTAACTAGTAGGGAAACTCTTTAGTTACCACTCATATATGAAACTAAAATGTTTAGCATCTATCAGTTCCATCGATCTTGAATTATTCCAAAAAAGCATTATACGTTACTGGTTTATGGCTTCCAGTGCCAAGAATTAAACCTATGAATTTGAAATTTAAAAACATTTAGGAGATGCCTGGGTTCCCATGAATTTTCACGGAGTCCAAAAAATGTTACTGATGGTTTTCCATGACCGCTGGGACGGAACCGAAATATTGTTTTCCATGCTGGGAATTGAAACCTAGGGCTTGTGCCTACAATAGGAACAATGAGCCTTTCTTGGTTAAAAGGGCATTTTTACTGCGAAAACACTTTGAAAAAGGTAGACGATATTCTTTCTTGATTGTATACCGTATGCACGTATCAGTTTTATCTAATTAGTAGATTTTTTTGGCAAGTTTTTCTTCAAATATTGTTTGGCCGTGGGTGGCTTCTTTTTTTCCTAGTATTTGGCTTAATACTCTTGCAAATAAGTTGTTGTGGATGTATGTTTTATTTTAGATCAAATGAAGGTCTTTTTGAATCCGGTTGCTAACTGGCAGCGCACCTCTCTTTAATCAAGGTGTAACCATCCCAAGCGTTCAGGTGAATGGTGCGAACGGGCCATAAACTATTGTAAAGAGAAAGTCACGCGGTAAAGATGAAGTAATAACTTTCTTCTACTTTTACGTCGTTCGACTGCGGCCGACAATTTTCCAGCTGAAAATTAACTCGGACTTTATCTTTGTTTTCCTCGAGATAGTGCCTGCCAGCTGAAATTGGCTCACCCTACCCCACCCATATCAATTTGCTAATTGCCGCCAAATTTCCACACGTACACTGAGAAGGGTAAATTAACCAATCACAAACTACAACAGTTTCGGGTGCACCAATCAGGTGAGCCGTTAGATAAACATCAGTTTGGACCGCAAGTTTGAAGGAAAACTCCCAGACCAAACATGGCGGACGCCGATTATGACTATCTTTTAAAGTTTTTGGCTCTCGGAGATTCCGGCGTCGGGAAAACTAGTCTTCTATATCAATATACAGATGGGACATTTAATCCGAAATTTATTTCTACAGTTGGAATTGATTTTCGAGAAAAGCGAGTGGTAAGCGATCTTTTGTTCGACTGATCGGGATGTGACAAAGAAATTCATCCAGCTCCGTTGACATCAGTGGAGTAGAATTTTATTAACTATTAATATTTTTAGTTTAAGGGTGGGTATTTGTGTTTCATTGAAGTAAAACGCTTAGTGTTCCCTGTAGATATAATTCAAATAATATTTAACAAGATGTTTTCTCGATTTTTATACAGTTAATTTTATATTTATGCCCTTGGGAACTACAGAGCATAAAAACAACTCTTGTTGAACATTATATCAGCGTTAAATTTAAAATGAATATTTTGAAAGTGCATAACTTTATTATAACGTGCACATTCTTGTCGAATGTCAAAGCGATTGTTGCTTTCGGCTCCTTCTATTACGGTAAGATTTGTGGTGTGTATAATTAAGCTTTCATAGTCTAAGATAATTCGAAACTTCCAGGTTTTGTTACCATTTATCTGATATTTCGCGTCCTTTAAACTCTTGCTTTCAATTAACAGCTGTTCTTACAAGAAGCGAACGTGGTAATACGAGAAAATTGTCCCTTAAATTATCGCTTGTGACAGCTTCCGTTACCATTTTGCTCTTTCCCTGCTCTTTACTGTAAAAACTCCCACAAAATACTTTTGTTTACTGTACGAAAATATATTCAGTTGTCCTTTATTGATGACAGTGCTGTAGGCCACAAAACAAGGCTTGTATGTTGCTGTGATCACTTTTTAATCAATCCACAATCCTTCGTAAATGTGCTTCTGTAACTGAAGACAAAATGGTGAGGGTTTTCCTTTGCATAGCTTCACCATTGCGTTACTTACAAAATTTAAATTGGATTCTTAAATCGCTCACGAATCAGTCTCGGTCCTCCGAAATTGAAACACAAAAACGCGGAAACCAAAATGTCCCCACTAATTTTTATTTCTCTGTTGTGCAATAAGTTTGTTCCATCACACTGAGAGAGGTATCAGACAACTACGTTATTTTGACGCTTTTGGTCAGCATAAATCTAGAGCAGAAATTCACCTGGCTGGTAGGAGAGTTTTTTTGAATGGGATCGGCCTTGCTTTAATTTGTTTCAAAACTAAAGGATCCTAAGGATATAACACCCTCATTCTTTAATTAACATTGGCTATCACCATAACCATATAGTTTTTATTTGGGAGGGATTCATGGCCAGTTTCTAAAGCAGGTGTTTACAAGTTTATACCTAAAAAATTGAGCATGCAAATTTATTATCATTTATTGAATGTCTCATAACAGGCAATATTTCCTTAGTGTAATTTGCCGGAGGGTTTGTGCACAGTTTATAGCCAATGATTAGTTGCTCGATGTACCAGTTGCACAAAACCTTACTCACTAAAGTATGGTGATAATAATGATGATAATAATAATAATAATAGTAATACAATAATTTTATTCAACTTTAAAAATATGTACATAATTTACAGAAATATTTGAAGTAAGAATTAAGCAATCTATAACATTAAGAATTATATAAATTATTTAACAATTAATGAATGAGGCTGAGTATCTTATGAAGAATTATGGAGATGGAGGAGGGTGTTATCCGTCGAGGCCGTAGGCCGAGGCGGATAACACCCTCCGAGATCTCCATAATTCTTCATATGATACGAAAGCCGAATTCAATAATTGTTTTATTATTGATTCAAAATAATTCCTAGTTTAAAAATATATCTAAAACATGCTTACATCCATCAATACATTGATGTTAAGTTCATCTTCGATAGTGCACGTTTAGGTTGTTCAGCTCCGCAAATTAATATTCTCCAAATAGCAGATGTCGCCCTTCGGGTTGTCTTCTTGCTGTTCTTGCCATGTTTTTAGCTATTTTTTCGCCTAGTTCTTACTCTTGAAACAAGTGAAATGTCCGCCATTTTTGTTTCCAGAATCAAACAACTCAACCTCGTGCCCAGGTCTTCTCGGTTAACAGTGCCTTAACCTGCACGAATGCTGCATTTTTGACGTCATTTCCTCGTTAAACACAAAATTCTTCCAAATTTGGTCTTCAGTAACTGATTATGGTGAATTAAACGTGTGTTTTTAGCCAATCAGAATCGGGGAAATATTTTGAATGAATAATAAAAAAATATAATCACTGTGTCAATAACGATTAACAAATGCATTCCTTGTGGCTCAGATGCGATCAATAACTCTTGCAGGTGGTCCAGAGTTTTTAATTAAGTCATTACAAAAGAGAATCATCCGTCTCTGATATGAAAAAGAAACAAGTTAAAATAATAATAATGATAATAAATAAATAAACAACATTAGAAGCAGTTATGGTTTAAATGGCTTAGGATGGAGTTATATAAATATTAGAGGTGCTCGGTGCACAGTCTGCCTACAACGAAGAAATGTAGTTATATTATTCCCTTACAAATTCAAGCTTCTTTTTTCAAGGGGTAAGATAGAATTTAGACGTAAAAAAGGAAGTGAAAAGTTCTAAGTCACATGAGTGTTGTTGTGGTTACATGTTGCGTCAAGATTATTGAGCCATCTTCTTAGGAGATAGACCTGATTTAAAAAATGTTGCTGCTTAAAAGGAGTACATGTATATAAACCATGACCAACGCAGCTCCAAGGCTTCATGGGTATGCATTTATTAGCAAAGAAAATTGAAAGTTTTTTCTTGAAAAGCATACATTATCCTGATTAACTTCAGGTTAAGTTGTTGGCTTATCACCCTCAAAAAAACTGAAAACCTTTTTAGCCTGGGTGGAAATTGCAGCAATGTGAGAAACTCAATGAAAGAACCCTTTGAATTGGCAATGCTATTAACTTTTACCCTTAAATCCAGTAGGTCTCATGGTTCATGGTGTATACTTTTCAAGCGACAAGGTTTTTTCAATCAGGTGTATATGCAAAACGTTTTATCTTGTTTAGTTGGTCACTACAATAAAATTTATTTAAATGGATTGGCTATATATAATATAGCTAGAACTTCCTCATTCTTATCTTTATTTATTTCAATTCTCCTTTACTTCCTGCAGATACACCATCCTCTGACAGCAGATGGCAGCCGTTCAACAAGAGGACAGAGAGTTCATCTTCAACTTTGGGATACTGCAGGCCAGGAAAGGTAGGAAAACAGGTCTAATCCATAACTTAACCGTAATTTAAAAACACCACATTCTTGACATTCTTGACATTCTTCTCCTCAGTTATTAGCAGGTGCATGGAATACATCCCCATGATAACCAACATTTTTCCCAGTCTCTTGCACGTTTTGACATTTATATTGGAGTTTTGCAGTATTTTTGGATGCCTCTGTCTTAGCTCATAATTTTGGGATCTTTGGCAGTTAATTTTGGGCTCTAGAATGCTGGAAATCACCAAAATTTTCAGGAGGGTCATGCCTCCAGAATGCCCTAGAGGACGAGGCCAGAGGCCCCTGAAAGTCACAGGCACCTACTTCTATCCTAATATGCACCTACTACCAAGATTAATGAAATCCCTGAACTGCAGTGACCAATTTTATATGTTGTTTGCTTTAACTGTTGCAGATTTAGGAGCTTAACCACAGCATTCTTTCGGGATGCAATGGGATTCCTTCTTGTCTTTGATCTTACACATGAGCAATCTTTCCTCAATATTAGGAACTGGTTAAATCAGCTACAGACACATGCTTATTGTGAAAATCCTGATATAGGTATTAATGTAATAGATTTTATTTTAAGTCAATAACCTTTACATATGATACACAGTTCTTTAGAATAATTATATAAAAATATTACTTTGTTACCCTTGATAACAAGTTAGCCACAGCCTTTGGCATGGTGGATTATACAAGTTGTTTTTACCCCCCTCTCAAATAAGCCCGCTCCCTCTTATAAGCCCCCCCCCCTTTTCAGGGGAAAAAAGTTAATAAACCCCCTCTCTATTAAGCACCCCCCTCCCCTCCCCTAAATATTCTTCACTAATAAATGGTAGACTGTATTAATCAATCATGACAGTAAAACTTTGTGTGGACTGATCTGGGATGGTTTATTTACCAACTGGAAGTTCAGATTTGTTTTTGTTCTTCGGCTGCATGACCTCCAACTTCTTGTACTCTGAGCTTTTCCACTTTGTATTCTAGTTCTTTATGGAGAACTGATACCATCATCTTTTCTAAATTAAATAAACCTCCCATCTCTATTAAGTCACCCCTCCAATGGGTTAGAAATGAATAAGCCCCCGGAGGACTTAATGGAGGATTTACGGTATTTTTTGAGAAATGATGTGATCAACATGTCACAAGCATGGGACAAAGAAAAAATCTGATTCCCTGACAGGAATCGAACCTATGTATGACCTTCCGTACACTGGTCGGATGCTCTAACCACTGAGCTACAAAGCACTCGTGGCAAACTGGGCCATATTCAAGGTTCATGTATGACATGCATCCCGCACACTGATAGGATCAACAATCGAAATTACCATGTTTGTGATAAGTAAAGAAAGATGGTAAATTTTAAGCTCGGTGAAGAAATGAGAAATGATGTGATCAACATGTCACAAGCAGTGACATATAAGTATATACACTCAGTTAAACCTCTCCACAATGGCCACCTTGGGGACAGAAGAAAGTGGCCGTTGTAGAGAGGTTAAAACGAGAGTGAATGTATGGACTGTCTACCAAAAAAGTGGTTGCTAGTGGAGGTTTGACTGTACACTTAACCCCTAATTCCTAGTTTGTTGTTCATGATCAACTTTGAGTTTTAGGCATCAATTTTCGTCATAGAAATGTGGCATTACAAAATAAGTTTCTTCTTGCATTTTATGGCTTTAGATTTGATTTTTAGAATGAAACATACATACATAACCTTTATTAAAGTGTCTAATCATTCTAGTACCTATTGGCACTAATTGGGGACACCTTTAAAACTAAATTAGAAGATTAAAAGAAACTAATTAAATACTATAAAACACATAAAAAAGCCGGAAATTAACACTATTCAAGCTAAGTACTCTTTTACACTTGAAAACTAAGTTCTAAATTTACTCTTTAACACTAAACATTAAACTTTCAGTTTTAAAGATCTAACACTCAGTTTAGAATTTCCTGTGAATGGTGTAGGGGCCTTTACTCACTGCACTAACTTTGAGGAAAAATACTGCTTGTAGAGTCCACCCAAGCTTAGTAGTATATTTTCTTTCCAATATGTAGTTCTAATTGGTAATAAAGCAGACCTAGAAGATCAAAAGCAAGTAGATGAGAATGAAGCCAGAAGACTAGCAGAGACCTTGGGTCTGAAGTATTTTGAGACTAGTGCATTGAGTGGACAAAATGTTAGTGAGTCTGTAGAAGCTCTTCTTGACCAGGTAAGAACTCATTAATTTACAAAAAATAATATTTTAGCCCAATACTCAGGGTTCTCAATAGATTTTTAAGGGATATCCATAAAGTGGTATTTGTTGTGTGAAAACAAAGCAAAGAAAAAGCTTAAACACAAAGTAAGCGGCTATAAATCCCAATGTAAGCGGCGATCAATCGCCGGGTGCCGCCTTCTATTGAGAACCCTGAATACTGCAAAGAAGGGATATCCAGTGGTATTTGTTGTATAAGCTTAATGAGCACATGACTGTCTATGTTGTTCTGGAGGGTGTAAGTATCAACAATATAATTTTTAACTCGACAAAGCTATTGCCAAGGTTTCACAAGGCAAACCTTGAGTCAATGTTTTACATTGTTTGTTGTTGCCATTAAACCCATCACCAAAAGATGTGTGTGAGACAGATACCCAGACAAACTGATGGAGCTGCAAGGGAGTGTAAAAGGAAACCATGACAACTGTGTGAGTGGCAACCACCAGGCACCATCACACTAAGAACCTTTGTGGAGAATATCACAGATATTTCCCAAAAACATCCAGAGGGAGAGGAGGGTTGGGATCAAAAACAGCTTAAAACAACTCCACGCATTTAGGCAACCTGAGGGAAATGATAGTTCTAAGCAATACACTGTAAAATTACTGCAAATGCCCAAATGTGACCCTTTATTATATCCACTTTGAAGTCACTGGTGATCCCTGCAATCTGATTGGCTCTCAACAATGTGATTTATTCACAAATCACTATTTTTTCCTCTAAATCACATCTGTTCTAAATCGCATCATTTTTGTCCGAAATTGCATCATTTCTGTTTTAAATTGCACCATTTTTGCTCTATAACTATATCGCATCATTTCTGATTCGGATACAAAATGAGATGAAAAGCCTTTTTTTTCCGCTTTTCAACAAACTGGCTCCTTGATCAATAAAATATTTGTACTGACTGAATTTTGTGATTTCAAAATGGCTGTAATAAAGTGGTAATTGAATTGAGTGGAGTGCAATAAATTGTGGTCTAAAATCGTACTTGTTATTTCAAATCGAACTCATGATGCGCGCTCATCTGATTTTGAAATCCCCTGTATGATTTCAGACCAAATTGCACTCCACTCAGTTCAATTACCATTATTAATTTTATACTACTACATGAAGAATTTCTGCAAATTGATTGGCTTAGAGCAGTGGCATTTCAGCTTAATTTGAAATATCTACATGTGAAAATTACAAACCTTTCACGGGTAGTAGTATAAACAAATTATAGCATGATTTTTACGTGATATTTGGCATAAATACCACTCATGACATTTCAAAATTGTCTCAAACATCACTCGCCAAACCGCTCGTGAAATTACGTATAATAATTTCAAATTATAACCAGTATAATTTTAATGAAGTTAAATAAATATTTATTTAACACAGTTAACAACAAGGAGCGCGGTCAGCCTTGCTTGTATCACCTACATGTGCTCAGTACAGTGTTTTCCTGGTGGCCATTCTCTTCATTTATGTTTGGATCATTCTTTTACCCCCATCCCTCCCGCTTTATTCTTCCACTGTTAAATCAGTGTGACAGGTGCCTGGTTCCATTGGAATGGGGGCTTATGGCTGGAGGGCGCGGGTTTGCCAGCCATAGGGCCGTAACTCTGTCTGGGGGCTGGCTGTGCCAAAGGTGGAAGCCCCTGGACATCCCGGGCACCCACCTCCACCAAGCAACACAGTGGTTAATGCCAAATATGACCACAAATCATGCTATTACCTATACATATATATTGTCAGTCTCATGTTTGAACCTCGCCTAAATTTCATTCAGCCACATTTTAGTTGGAAGTTTCAGTTACAACTGCTTGACAATAATATTATGGTATGCATTCTGGTCCTTCCAAATCTTACATCTTTCAGAAGATCAAATGCTTCAGTTTTCAAAGAAAGTCAGTTTTACAGCTTGCAATTCAGCAAGCTGTAGCTAGCATGTACTAGCTCAAAAGTCATTTCAACTAGCCCCAAAAAAATTTTTGATGAGCATTGATTACAGTTCTTCTGTAATTTGAATTCCCTCAAAAAAACTTAATTTGCCCATCGGGCAAGTTAAGAATAGAAATTACTAGCCCGATAGCAAAGTCTACTAGCCCCAGGCTATTGGACACCACTTTCTTTGCAAGCTGTACTTTTTAGAAGTAATCTTTACATGTTGTCCAAGATAAATTCAGGATTGGTGGTAATTATTAGTGATCTTACACAAAAGGACAGTGGAGACAAGAAGACAGCAAATCTTGTGTGACAAGCTTGACAATAATTATGTTTGAAAAAATTTTTGCCAAACTTCACATTCCTTTAAACAGATCGTTTTGTGAAAGACATGAACACAGTAATGTTAAATGAAGATCAAGATGAAACTTGCAATAAAATAATAGCCCTGTCACGTTTTTGTCACACACAAACATTAATTTGCCATCCTCTAATCCTTCAGCCGTCGGTCGTGTTGCAGAAGCTCCCTAACATCATGCATTTGCATTAACGAATTGATACTTCAATCTTGGAAGTGGTTCTCTTTAGTGACAATATTTATGTGAACCCTCATAATATTATTATAACATATATATTAAGTTTGCAATACCCTATTTCTCTTGCAGGTCATGAAAAGAATGGAAAACTGTGTTGATAAAGCAACACTACCCAATAATGTGTTTAACAACAATCCAAACAGAGGCCCAAGGTTGTGTGAAGTAGATGAAGCGAATGATGAATCACAGGGGGGTTGTTCATGTTGAAGGCACTGATGATACCTCCAGGATAAAATCCTTTTTAGTTACAAACCATGGGCATGGGCCAAAATGACAATTTCCAGGCAGTTACTCCCCTGGCTGGCTGTAGCTTTAAAGTTTTGCGTTTGGCTTGTCAAATGATAAATGATAAATAACAAATATGCCAGGGAGAGAATACTACTGCCTGGTGCATGCATTGGGTTCATAGCACATGTCGGTTTTCCTGATCATGAAATAATAATTGTTATGACAATGTATAACCAGGGCTGTTACTGAGTAACCTGCGAGCAGAGCTTTCTTTCTGGCATGCCTTTTTAATATTTACAAATTCATTCACGTGGCTTTTCAATCAAGTAGTTGGTTTCTTTTTGTTTCTCTCGGGACATCAACAAACCATACATAGTAGAAAAAGTCTTTCTATTATCCATGAACAAACCATCTACATGACTGACAAGCCTTGCGAATGACTTTACAAATGCTAAAAGCCAAGCCAGAAAGAAACTTCTGCTCACATGGTAGTCACTAAGATGTCAAACTGCTTGATTTATGTGATTAGTTGGCAGGGAATTGAACAGTTGGGAAATTCTTTTTGTTCGTTTTCCTCTTATTTCCTATTACAGTCAAAGCAAGTCAAGCGTTCCTTTCGCTTAAACGAACTAATGAATTCATTAATGGTAAAATGATTTTGTTTGTTGATTCAATAATCCAGTCATAAAATGAACAATCCAACATTCATATTCAGCCTCGATTCAATAGTTAAATGTTGATTCAATTACTGTTTTTTTGAAAAACTGCTCTTTCCACAAGTTGACCTCAGAATTTTGTTTTTTCTTCTTTTTTTCTAAGAGTGGAGTGCAGGTGAAAAATGAAGTTCAATCCGAAACAAACTGTTACGTGTGCACCATTTTGCTGCCAGTAATCAGTGCAACAGACCTGACCCCTTAGAAAACATGATGATCAAACTGAGGTCAGTGTATGTGCGGTGGTTGGTGGATTTCGATCCTCGGCCTCTGTCAGTTTCTTTGCGTTTGCAGTCTGTCTATTCTAGCTGTTAGATTAAAGGCAATGAAAAATGCAATCATAAACGGTAGGAAAAGCAAAAAAGCAAATACGATTGAACGCAACGGACAAGAATAAAGAACAGGTAGATTTGGTTCATAAACCAAATCAACATTTAATTATTGAATCAAGGTCCAATTTGACCATTATTCATTTTATGAATGGATTATTGAATCGACAAACCAGATCATTTTTCCATTCATTAATTTATTAGTCCACTAGCGACAGAAATGCTTAACATGCTTTGACTGTAAAGTAGCAGAGGCTCATACTAGTCTTATTGTAGCTGGGGCAAATCTCCCAGCGCTTATTGACAGCCCTGTCTAACATGACTTTTTTGTAACATTTTACTTATAAATATGTTACTGATGCTAGGAATGTTTATCAGTCAGTGTCTGTGTATCCACGGAGAGTCAAATTATCACTTTTGTTTAGTGAAACGATAGAGTAAGTTATTTCAATAAATTAAACAAGAGTCATTGTTTGAGCTAAAGTGGTACTTGGGGCTCCAGAATCACAAATTGTTGAAGAGGTATTGTGAAATGAATGGAATTAAAAATACATGATAAGTATTATGCGTTATTTATCGGACAGGATTGGATTGTCAAAAATTTAGTGTCAAATGATGGATATCAAGATAATTGAAAGTAACAAAAAACATATTTCCAACAACTAAGTAGAAACTCAGTACTCCTTCCATTAGAGGCGAAACTTAATCAGCTGAAATTTTCTTGCAAAAAATCATAGTAAGTCCCTGTTCTGTAGCCCGGAGAAAACAACCAACGTTTCACGTCACCATCTTTTTTTTTTCCTGTGAATAAACCAGTGATAGCATTGCAAATTATCGCCTTTTTTCTTAGGCTACCTGGAAAGTCATGGAATTAAAAAATTTCGTTTTCAAGGCCTGGAAAGTCATGGAATTTCATTTTCGGCCCTTGAAAGTCATGGAAAATTAAAGTTTTGTTTGGTTCAATAGTTTAATACTGCAGGTGACAAAGCTAGGATAATGTAAGAAGAAAAGAGGAGTAATTAAACCACACGAACGGCACGCACTTTGGTGAATACCAGAGTTTGTTTCTGTAGAAACTGTTTCACTAACGTAAAAAAATATGCTAAAACAAGTAAAGTTTTGAAATTTTGGAAAGTGACAGCTAAACCTAAGGTCATGGAAAAAGTCATGAAATTTGAAGAACTCGGAAGAGTACAAACCCTGTACCTGTCGGCAGTAGTGGTCAGTTTTGGCTAAGTCCTGTTTTTAGTTGTTTTAAAAGAAAGCCAAATCCCCTAGGAGACTCTTCACTTCTTGATCATGGCGTTATCTTTGTAAAGAGTAAAAAAAATGATACAATAGAAACAGTATGTTAATTACAATTATGTCTTTCATATTAAAAAAATGGTGTTTTATCAATTTTGTGTTTCAGTCATGAAATACACACTTCTGTGTGGTTTCATGTACTGCTTTCTGGTTGTATGTTTTGCGGATGCAACAACGAAAGTAAAGACAACCTTCTGGCCCCCAGTTGTTTAAAAGTTATAATGTTTTCCACTGGATAAATCACTATTCACTGGAAAATGCAATTATTACATTTCCCAATTCTGCTGTTTAGTGATTTATACAGTGAACAATATTAAACAAGTGGGTCCTGGTATCCTGGATATCAAGATATCAGCTGTTTGAATATTTGAGAATCATCATTGTAGGGCTGGGGGAGGGGAGCAGACATCTGGAGATAAATTTTAGCTTTTTTTATATTTTGGAATTATTTATTATTTGACAAAAAGCATTCTGCCGTAAGATATAGGCTGTTCGTTAACTGAGGTAAAAGAAATTCAGTTAGACGAAAACTTGTTTAAAGATTTTTGAAGATGCTCTACAGATTAAGTGATATTTGAGGTTCTTTTAGGCCAAATATATGTGGACTGTAATAGGATCTTCCCTGCTATCAGAGGCCTCTTTTCCCTGGTATTCGGCGGGCAATCTCTTTTTCTCCCGTCCGCCGAATACCAGGGAAAATAGGATCTTTCAGTTGCATTTCAGCATGGTTTGCTAGTGGTGGGTCCACTTTCTATAACCGACGACGCGCTTTGCAGTATTAACTAACTCTCATTACCTTGATAATTTAGAAAAAGCTTATAGATAATCTGTAATATTTTAAATTTGTAATTAGGTATTAAGTTAAACTATTTATATTACCATCTCTCCATTTACGATGGTTTATTCCATTTCGTACAAAGGAAAAAAAGACATTGAAATTAAAGTGTTCAGTCGATAGAGTGGTGCAAACTATTGACTCTTCTATTTATATCTACTTAGTCGTTGCGTAAGAAATGTTTGGAAGAGGCGCTATTGCCAAGAGGCAATAATAATATAGAGCGCACGGAATTATCCTTTTTGCACCGAAGTCTAATAAGTGAGCGCAAATTTAAATGACGTCATAGCCATTCCACTGCCAGTCTGTAGAGAGCTTGGTAGCGACAACTTAACTATTAATCTTACAATGAATTTGCGTTTATTCCAGTTCACTTTAACATGTTACTTCGGATATGTTATTTGCCCAACATTGCTGTTAATTTTACAGGGGCTTAGAAAAGGGGATCAATTTTGCCGGAACGAAATATTGGGCAAATAAAATACCCAACCATAGTCGTCCGATAAGCCATGCATTTACTTTCGGCAGTCACTATATTCTACATTACTGATATAGATCTACATCACGATCCGGCTTCTCTTTGGTGCTTTTTGTCCAAGTGCTCCTTGCAAGATTTTACACTTCCCTGATTTAAAATCTTAAATGTATGTCTTCTCAGCAGTCATGTCTGGGGAGCACCCAAGTTTGGAAGGAAGAAGTAAAATTAGTTAGTCATCGTGTCAAGTTGCGTCTTCCAGAAAACGCCGAACGTCCCATGGAAATTTCACGTCGCAGTCATACCTTGACGGTAATGAAATGTACCAAACAGCGTGATGTACTTGCAGAGCTGTTGTTTTACTTATTAAACCCACTAATTCTTTTTTTAAGTGTTGCGGATCAAGAGGAAGGATCCCTGGATGTCTGAATCCCTGCAACGAACCCATTACCAAGCTCATCCTCAGGGTTGAGAGCAAGGACTCGGCTTTAGTGTGACAATCAGTGATCGCTTCCGGGAATTCTACTCTTCAATAAAATCCTGGATCTAGAAACGGCAAAACTCCATGAAAATCACTTTCTCGATTTGTAGTTTGTGCGCAAAACGGAAAGCTACGAAAAATAGGGTACCTGTTTTTGTCGAATTCACTTGCTTTACAGGGTTCGTACAGGTCGTGGAAAACCTGGAAAGTCATAAAGTTTAAGAATTTCATTTTCCAGGCCTTGAAAGTCATGGAAATTAATTGTTGGTCATGGAAAGTCATGAAAAATTGAAGTTGTGATTGTTACATTAGTTACTACAGACGTCAAAACAAGGCCGGACAAAGTAAGATAGAGAGAGGTAATTGAACAGTTCAAGTGGCACACATTTTGGTGGACGCCAATTTGTAATTAATCTGTTGTACTATGAATCAGGTCAAAAACTGCCCTAAAACACAAACAAGGATAGTTTTGTAAGTTTTTGAAAGTGACAGCTATACCTAAAGTCATTGAAAACTGGAAAAGGTAATGGAGAAAGTCATGGAATTTAAAGAGATAAAAAGAGAACGAACCCTGCTTCAGGAAACTTGAAATTAGTGCCAAATTTTTTTTAGATAAGATGGAGTATTTTTAGGATTTCACTCCTCTATTGCTCAAGTCAATTAACTCCTAGTTATTGTTGAATTTCTCTTATCGCGAAAAAGTCAAAGGGAGGAGAAGGGAGAAGCAAAAAGACGGGAGATATCTAAAATCTCCTCTCCCCTATTAAACCCTACAAAGGAAGGCTTAATACTCAGGCTAGATTCAGTTCGGCTTTTTGCCGTCAAACCTTGCTCCACTTGAAATCTTGACGTTTAAGAATCAAATAGCTCAATGGAGTAGTCACCCAATCAGCTCAATCCCCCCCTCCACCCCCTGCTAAACCCTCAACAATGCCTCACCGACTTTCGCGTGGGTTTTACGAGCCCGTGTTTCTAGTTAGATTTTGAAATTTTTCAGATTAATTGTTCCAAGAAGAGTTCCAAGATTTGACGACGCGACAACGACGCGACGTTTCGCGACGAGTATGTTGGTCTCTAGAATCCAGTTCTCTTGTTCTCAAACGAACGTTCCTCAAGGCCTGGCTGCATGACCGTGTCATTGCATTTCACGAGGAGACTAACTTCCTACAAAAACTTCCGAACTTGGATATGTTTAACGTTTTTCTATAAGCTCATAGTCCACAAATTAACAGTCAAACAATGACGTTTTCTCCGGGTGATTTAATATGGGCAAAGATGCGTGGATACCCTCATTGGCCCGCCCGGGTAAGAACGCTAACAGCTTCATCCCTTGAAGTGAACTATCATTAATTGATTTACTAAGTATTATTCTTCCTTGATTCAGATTGATCTTCCTGCACCAGATGAGAAGATTCCACCCAAAAAGTTTGCAATATTTTTCTTTGGAACACATGAAACGTAAGTGCTTGTTTTTGTTAAAGCTGTCCTCACAAATTATACAGAGTGCAGTCTTCTCGAATGCAGATGTGGCTGGCAATTTGGCACGTCAAAAAAGTGTGCTTATACAAGGTTTACCAAGATAAGAAGACTTACAGGAGGTTTATCGTCTAGCACAAGCATTACTTAGAGTTTTGATCCCTTTTAAGGAGTCATATTAGTGGGAAGTAAATCACACAAGCTTGCATGGTTGAGTGTCTTGACATGCCAACCATTTTAACAGCTGTGAGCAGTCGAAGGTATCCATGCAAACTTTGATATTGTGAAATTTGGGTTACCAATTATACAGAAACACTTGTATGCCATTTCCCAGACGCTATGTAAGCAAAGCACATCCTCTTAAACATTTAGCAACAAAAGACCCCTCCCGCTTGCAAAGGGACGAAAAAGATCCTCTTCCCCAAGACAATGTTGTTCTTTGTTGACCAAGGTGTAATGTAATGATATTGGGCAGGTATTGTAGAAAAATAATTTGACATAATAAACAATTATTGAATGAGGCTGAGTATCATCTGAAGAATTATGGATAACACCCTCCTCGATCTCCATAATTTTTCAGATCATACGAAAGCCGAATTCAACAATTGTCTTACTATTCATTCAAAATAATTCCTAGTGTAAAAACAAGCAGAAACATGCTTTCCTCCATCGAGGTAACGTTCATCTTCAATAGCGCACGTTAATCAGCAGGTTTAGGAGCTAAAGGGTTGTTCCGCTCGGCAAGTATTCTCCAAATAGCAGATGTCACACATTGAGTTGCCTTCTTGCCATTCATGCTATGTTATTTGCCAAAAGTTCACCTATTTATTGCTGGTGAAATGAGTGAAATGTCTGCCATTTCTTTTTCTCACTATCAACAACTCAACCTCGTCCGCAGGTCTTCTCAGTTAACAGTTCAATAATCTGCAACTTTGCTGCACTTTTGATGTCATCGGTTCAATATGGCAAATTTCTTCCAAATTTGGTCGACAATAGCTGGTTATGATGAATTATGTGTGGTATTTTAGCCAATCAGAAATGGAGAAATATTTTGAATGAATATTAATGTGTATTATTGAGTAAGGTCTTTGAATTGCCTTTATTCTACAAAATTGAATGAGGTGATTGAGAGGAGGTACTGTGGCAAGACATTGACCAGGATTGTGAAATGAAAGGGATGCTTAACTTTGTAGCAATGAAGTAGAGATCTGGGAATTTGTTTTGCATCTGTTGAAGGTGGTTAATCAAGTGTTTGTCTTTCCTGTTTAAAGACTGTCTATAAGAAGGGATAAATAAATAACCTTGCTTTCAGTGAGTTGTTTGCATAGCATTCTTGTATGCAAAATATGGATTAGAACGTTAAAGAAAGCCAAGTGCATTATACATAACCATGGTGCAAGAAAAGTTAGTTCTTTGTAAGAAGTTGAGAATGTTACTTTGCAAATCTCAGTTGGGAAAAGAACTGAAGCAAGTTTTAGGCTGCTGGTAAGCTCTGAGCAGCTCAGTAGCCAAAGCCAATGAGTAGTCATTGATTTACATTTTAAAGCTTTCATTGATGGGTGAAAGAAGAATATTGATACTTAAGTTGCTATACAAGAAAGGGGTCACAAAGCAAAATGCTTTGTAAATGTAGTTTTTTTGCATACCGGTATAGAACTGTACAATACAGTTATAATTTTTTCAATAATTATTATGATTTAGTACTGGCAAATTAATTCCAAGTCATTGGGACAATGATGTACATGTATCATTAGTTGAAAAATGCCACTTACCAAAGTCTTGTATTTTTCAAGCACTTATAAAGCATGACTTGTGTTTAACCTAGAAATTGATGAGTTAAGTATGTTATGGAATAGTTTCAGTTAAAAAGATCGGCATTTTCACACAGCTCGCAATAAGAAGGGAACAAGGGTTCCTTTGCATTGCTTTAATTAAAAGAACTAGTTGATGATGATGTTGTAGAAAAGTCTTCGACACAAAATCTTTGTACCCATGGTTCATTCCCCAAATTTCCTCAAACACAAAATTTTTCAGTACCCAGTACTAATACCAAAAGCAATCAATGCATTCCTAGATTTATGTATGTATTAAATAAATAGTATCCAAGACAGTGTTTCTTTAAGACAATATTATGTTAGTAGGTTATCTGCAATCCTTATCATTGTAAATATTGATAAAATATACTGAGAGTAAATTGTACAAGCGTCACAATTGTTTTAGGCCTAGTTCAGATGTCAATCTTTTGATGAGCCAAACCCATTCAAATTAAGGCTGAGAGAAATTATTTAACTGGCTGAACTGATTTAGATGCTGCTCAAATTCCAGCTAAACTTAATTCAAAAGGAGGATAATGCTCATTTTGGTCAAACTACTTGAAAAATACATTGTCATAATTTATGCATTAGGTTCAGCAAATGAAAAGTTTCATGTCTGAATCAAAGCCATTCCAGAGTCATTCCAAAGTCAAAATTCCTGGCTGGATTAGGTGGGAAGAATGGCTGAGCTGTCTGAAATTGAAACAGGCATTGATTCAGATGCCAAACTATTCAAGTACTTAATTCAATGTATTAGGTCTGGTTCATGAAGAGTTTGGCGTTTGAACCAGGCCTTACAGTCTGAAAACAACAGCTGCACTTGTAACTTGTAAAATTTTATTAAATTGACCTCAGGACCTTGACCCATCCAGTTCTTTCCATTTACAAGTGTGATTCCTCAACCACTCTTGAAACAGTGAAGTTGTAAAATGTTGTGGGGTACATAATGTTTTCTGTTAGCATTCTAGTGGACCTTTATACCTTAGTCGTAGATAAAGTTCTCATTGTAATCAATGCAAATATTGATGACTTTTTCATTTTCTTTATTTTATAAATTTTAACAATTTTTAGAGCGGTTATGCAAGCCAAAGACTTATTTCCCTATGAGAAGAACAAAGAGAAGTTTTCAAAGAACTCCAACCGTTCACGTAGGGGATTTAAAGAGGCATTGGTGGAAATTGTGGAGAACCCAAAGGTGAGGTGGGGAATGAGGGGACAAGAAGAGGATGAAGAGGATGAAGAAGATGAAGATGATGAAGATGATGAAGAAGAAGAGGACGAGGAAGAAGAAAACAAAGATGATTCAGAGGAAGAACAAGAATCTGAAGAGGAGGAACAAAAAGCTGACAAGAAATCAAAACAATCGAAACAAAATCAGGTATGAAAGAATGAGTGAGTGACTTAGTGTATGAGTGGGTGAGAGTGCCTGTGAGGGAATAAAGGCACCTGCTCAGATCAACGAGTATGTGAAGTGAGATTAAACTTTTCCACAGAGACGAGCGTGGGGGGAGGAACATGTACCTGTGAGGCCAGTGGAGCCACAGACTGCAGCCGAATGAATTGTGTAACCTTGACAACCCTGGGAGTGGCATCCACCCAGTCCTAAATTTCATTAATTTGGCCGCCTTGAATAAATGATTCAGTGAGTGAAAGTGAGTCTGATCTTGGAGGACTAAGTTGATCATGACATTTGTCCTGGTGTAAAGTTATTTATTCAATCAAACAAGAACAGGTCTTATTTTGCAAGGTATAGAGAAGCACAAATGTCTGAATGTCAGTAAACTTCAAATTTTATGTTGAGGATTTGTTCTAAAACACCTAGAGATGGAGCTTTATAATGTGCAGAGATCAAACATAGTCTGGATGTAACTGTACCCAGGAAAGGAGCTGTGAAAGGAGCTTTGAATGAGCAATTGGTATTGAAGGCTAGAGCTCATTATGTCAGTCACACTATGATAGGCACTAATTAATCCACGACTTGCAAAATTAATTGGGCTTGTACACTTTGATAAAAAATCATCCTTTTATTTAGTAAGAGCCTCATGAAGATTTCTGTGCATGTGTTTTTCAGAAAGAGAAATCCACAAAACAAAAAAAGCAGCCTGTGTCTGATAAGAAGGTTAGCTTTGATGTAGTGTTTTAAAAACCATTGAAAATCCTGCCATGAATGTCACCTAAGTTGGAATTAATCAGTAATGCAATTTCAACAAGTATAACTGTGAAAATGCATTTTTGCACTAAGGGTTTTTTGTTCCAATAACAGCTTTTTTGGTGGTTAGCTAACATGTTAATATCCGAAAGTGGGGTTCCCTGTATTTTCTTGAGAAAAGGGTTATCTCTGCAGATTTGCAATCTGTACATTCTAATGTTTATTTACTTGAATGCTCATAAACACAATTCATGATTGAAATATGCTTTATTTTGCTCATTATTTTTTGTAAATCCTGTTCTATGTTTTTGTTCTTTTTAAATGCAGTTGTTCTGATAGCCAAATGTTTAACTTTGATTTGCCTCAACATTGCACACTAGGAAATTGCAAATTACTTATTATTATTATTACTTATTATAATGAATTTTTTTCAGGAAAAAGTCAGCAAGGATAAAGGAAAGAAAACAGAAAGTCAAAAGAAAAAGCGAGAGAAGTCAGAGTCACCTGAAAAGGTTTGTGGATTACTATGTGTAGTAGAGGAGACTGGTTCTGAAAGTTGGCAAACATCAAAGTTGAAAACAATGGTGCTGTAGTTTATGTTGGAAGCTCCCTGACCATGCACAATCCTTTGGTTTTTGTTCACAAATTGTGACTGAATAAATTAATGTTAGGTTTCTCTTGGTCAGTAAGTTCAAAATGGTAGGAAAAATGATGCTATTGAATGCAGTGCACGGTCAAGGATAAAAACGCTAACAAAAATGTATAACAAAGAAGTCTTTCGGGCTTCATAACCATCCCACTTTATTAACTATGACTAGTAGACTGTGTTTGCTATTATGCCTCACTACCCCACTGCAACTCAATTTTATTTTGATTTACTTCCCTGTTTGTAATGTATGAAATACTGCAGTGTCTAATAGGAAATTAGGCAGAAATGTTTAGGAGGTCACATTAGGTTGCAAGAAAGATCTATTATGTAGCAAATTAGGCATTCTCTTAAATCCAAATGTAGATTGCTGTTTCCCAATCATAGAACTCATGTGTACAGTCATGTGAGTAACCACTGACAATATTAGAAACTTCAGATGCTCTGCAGTAAAATTGTTTTCAAAACAGAACTGCCTTTAAATTTGTTATTTTGGTCAGATGATGAATCTTAAATTAAAGGGAAAATAACTTCATTGCCCCGCTCCCTTTTTTGTGCCATAATTGTACCCCAACAAACTTTCCTGGCTTCAAGAATAAGAATTTCTAATAAAACTTTGTTTTGATTTTCTGTTGGTATACATTGCAGTATGGTGGATTCTCAAGTTTTATTTTTATCACACGGTGTTTGGTTAGTTTTTTCCTTCTTGGTAGTGTGATTGGTACTCCATTACAGGGTTTGTTCCATCCTTGACAACATTTTGAACTTGTTTTATAATCCATCATTCATTTGAATCCTTGCTTTTTTCATAAGTAGAGTTCTTCTGAAGAAACACCAGATGAAGAAAGCTCAGAAGATGACAAACAAGAAGTATGTTATAAAAAGTTTTTATCAACTGCTTTAATAGGAATCCATTCTCCAAACTGCACCAGAGTGAATGCAGTCTATGCTTGAAACACTCTAAAACAATATACGGTCAACTCTGTCGAAGGTGACCACCCGTGGTGCACAACAAAGTGATTGCTTAAGGGAGGTGGTCGTCTACAGGAGAAGTCAAGGAAATATGCTCAAACTGAACTGTATAATGTTATTACATAAAGTTATTGCCTTACAAGCTAAAATTAGGGAAATAGATAACTGACAATTAATAGAGCATCAAACTGTAGAAACTTTGTACATAGCATTTTGCATCTACAGATCATACCACAGCAGTGTCTTTTGTACGTCAACTGCCATAACCTGTCAGCAAGCTTGGTCATGGCTATTAAAAACTGAACTTGTTTTGACATTTGAGCAATGACGTTTTTACAACAATCATACATGATCATGCCAGGTGGTTGCTTACCGGAAACCAAAGCAAAACAGTGTGTCAAATCCTGGCCTTAAAAGAGGTCGCAGGCACTTAAAATATCTGAGAAGTGAACACTTACAAGAGAGTTTTTGAAACAGTATTTAACTGAGAAAGAAAACGGTGATTTACAAAATGGTCACTTCTGAGGTGGTCGCTTAGAGAAGTGGTCACTTTAAGAGAGTTGTCTGTATTGAAGTCCGCAATCTACGTTCCATTGGCTTGGAACATAGTTTTATTGGTTAAGGATGACTGTAGATGAATGAGGGTGTAACTTGTGCAGTAGAAGTCATGTTTGAAATACATATCTATGTCACAGAGCAGTTTCTTTAAACAGGCCAGGGATACATGCCTCAATCATCCCATCCGATAGCATTATGGTGTACCTTCTCTACAAAGCAAAGTGAATGCCCAGCAAAAAAAATGAGGGAAAGAGAAATTTAAAAAAAATAAATATAAAAGACAAGTTTGCACCGTCTTGCTGTGTTTGCATCATTCTTGAGACATAAAAATGCTTGACAGACAGAAGTTGAAATGTTTTTTTTTAAGGGATTGAGAATCAAATTACAATAATTTTTATAGTGAATATGCCAGATTCAATGTCGGCAGGTTCACTCACAACAAAAAAATTGTGCAAAATAGAAATTTATAACAGAACTTAATTATAATAATTTTGTTAAAAATAGTATTTTTAGATTTGTTATAAAATTGATTCGAGGATGATTTCTTGTTTCCATTTTGTTCAGGAGGAATACAAACCAGCACCCAAAAAAAGAACATCTACTGATTCAGCAGCAAGTAAAAGGAAATCTTCTAAGGCTGTTAGTGATACCAGTAGCAGCAGTGAAGAAGATCAAGTGGAAGAAAACGTAAGACAAGTCCCTGTGTAGGGCATTTCTTGTATAAAATTTTAAGGTTTGAGTCACAAGTGTTTACTGAGTTGATTTCATTTCTTTCTTTCTTTTTTTTTTCTTTTGCTTGAAACAAAAATAATATTATTACAAAAATAATTACAAATACAAGCTCTTTTAACTATTTAAGCTATTTTCTATTTTCACAGTGGGCTGAAAGGAAAAACTAAATTAATAAAAGAAAGGAAAGAAAAAAAACTAAATTAAAAGAAGTTGATTTCATTTCAGTGACATTGTGACATATGCCAGTTGTTGCATGTAAACTACAGCCTTGACTCCTAAAGTATGGTTAATGATGTAACGTTTGTTCTTCTTCGCTGCAGTGATGAAATTACATTGCCCTCTAAATTATAACAAAATGTTGTTGAAGCAAGGCTGACATCAGTTTTAGAGACAATCAATTTTAAAAATATTAAAAGCAAGTCAGCCTTTTAGCTTAAGAAATAATGTCAGGACAGCTTTGAAAGATACTTTGTTTTTGTTCCGCCCTTATTTGCTGACTACTCATGCTCAAACAAGCTTGACGGATGTTACATTATCATTCTAGTTGTTTCCTTTCTTTTGTCAATATGCAAATATCCTAAGTTTGACTGGCTCAAAAATCATGCACAGAGAACCCATTAGTGGTCTATCTTTGTTATAACCATAAGTTTATGCAGCTGTTTTGGCTTGTCTTATTGTATTTAAAAAAATGGTATTTCTATGCCTCATGAATCTCTGAAAAACAATCAAGTATAATGTTAAAGTTTTATTCTTTTATCATTACACTCAGCTTTTGGTAGTTATTTTTTCATTTTCACAGAACACAATCAGCATGCAAAGAAAGTCATGTCTGATAGCCTGGGGCTAATGGATTTTGCTATTGGGCTAGTGATTTTTGTTCTTAACTTGTCCGTCAGGCAAGTGCTGTTTTCTGGAATCAATCCTGCCAATCAAACAGGGTTTTATGGCTAGTTGAAATGACTTGTAGGCTAGTTCATGCTAGCTACAGCTTGCCCGAATGGCAGGCTGTAAAACTGACTTTCTTTGCAGCCTGACAATGCACTCAAACATTAATGGAAGCCCACTTTATCAATAACAAAAAAGCTACATGTTTACTCATTCATTGAATGTGTAATTATGTAGCTCTTTTCAATCATTTTCCTGCTTGATTTTTAAGTTTCATGCCCCATTGTGTAGGTAGAATAAGTGTGGCAATAAAATTTATGAAGTGTTGTATATCTGTCATTAGGACACTTCTGAAAGTGAAGAACCAAAGAAGAAAAAGGCAAAAACACAACCGGAGACAGAGGCAAAAAAGAAGTCCTCACCAGCCAAAGATTCCGTAGACAAGAAAAAAGAGGAGGAAAAAAACAAGAACAAAGACGAAATAGAGAGAAAAAAGCAGGAAAAGCTACAAAAATTAGCTGAGAAGAAGTAAGTGTGATTTTCCTCACAATACTCTTAATGCCATAGTGGTGTCGGACAAGCAATGTTTCTCCTCAGTTATCACTGCTCTGTCAAACATAAGGGTTGCAAGAGTTGTAAGATATATTTCAAATTTCTTTGTTGTGTAAAATCCTAAAAATAAATGCTACCTTACAAGAGTTCTGCCAAAAGGTCACTTTGGTCACATGGTCACAATCTAGGACTTGGTCCACTGTCTGAGTACCTTGTTCCCATATGTGTAGCTCTTAAGTAACTGCGAAGGGTTCTAGTTTTGACTGTAAACATGTTATTACAGTGACGGATTGTTTCCCCTATGAGTTATTTCGCTATTAAAAGAATGTCCCGGTCACCTAGGTCTTAAGTCATCCGCTAAAGAGATGAAACATGTGCTGCACATGTATATACCTCATTCTGTGAAAGGTTTGAACCTAGGAGTCATTTCAAAAGTAGGTTGAGTTTGATTGTCTAGATGAATGTAGTCCTGAATAGGACTGTTGTTGTTGACAGTGACTCACGTTTCGACATCCTCTGTGTTAGTCATCTTCAGAGTCAAAGTGAGTTGTATCACGTCAGTTGATAGTATTATACTGGTTATTGATCTGATTGGTCAAATACGTCTTTCAGTCATGACACAAAAAAGTGAAATACACATTGTTTATACCTCATTTTTGAGCCACTTACAAAACTACTACTGTTAGGTCTTTGGCAAAACGACAGTAAATCGTTATGACTGCTCAGATCAATTATTACATTGTGTTAAGTTTTGATATGTGTTTTTGTAATTTATCAGGGCAATGTTAAAGGAAAAGAAGAAGAAAGAAAAACTTGAACAGCGAAAAGCTGAAAAGCAGGCTGCTGAGAAGGCTAGAATGGAACAGAAAGAACAAGAGAAAGAACGAGAAAGACAGGAACGGGAAAAAGAAAAAGAAAAACTAAGGGTTAAACAAGAAAGAGAAAAAGAAAAGGCACGGGAAAGAGCCGAGCGAGAAAAACAGAGAGAAGCTGACAAAAAGGAGAGAGAAAGAAAAAAATGTGAGTATATTTGCTGTTTAAATAGCTGATGTAGGCAAGAAAAGCACATGAACTGGTACATGTAAATCAAGAATATTTTGGGTGCTTTAGCAGTTCCAAAATGAACATAAACATGAAGCATTTTCACAGATTTTTGTGAAAAAGTACTTAAAAAGGACTGGCACATGCAGTTTACAAATTTGTGAATTTTGTGATTGGTCTGCTGTGCTGATCCATGACTATCAGCGTAGTAATTTAATATAATAACCAAATATGTGTTTCACTCCCAACGGCACAGCATCACAATACAGTCCGACCTTCCTACACTGTTAATCTGATACCAAATAAGGGAGAGAGCCAAGCCTGTGTATTACAGGTCCTTAGTACAGAATTGTATGAAGTTTGGCATGGTGACCAACATCAATTTTCTCCTAACATTTTTCACACATATTCAAGAGAAAGGGTTATAAGAATTAATAAAATAATCACCTAAGGGACAATGCTTTGATCCATTATCAAATTCTCTCAACTAATTCTTCAAGGAAATACACAGAGATTAGAATCGAAAATCTCTGTGTGGATAATTGGGACTTAAAGGCTTGAGGATATGTCTGAAATGAAAGGTTTGGCTGTACTAATTCAATTACCATTCAAATGTTTTTGGGCTGTATTTTGCCTTACTTATACCATAGTTGGTAGAGGAGACTGGTTATGAAAGCCGGCAAACATCAAAGTTGAAAACAATGCTTCTGTAGTTTATGTTGGAAGCTCCCTGACTGTGCACAATCCTTTGTTTTTTGTTGACAACTTTGGACTGAATAAGTTGATGCCATGTTTCTATTGGTCGACAAGTTCAAAATGATAGGAATGCTATTGAATGTTGTGCACAGTCAGGTCCAAAAAAGCTAACAAAAACCTATAACAAAGGGTTTCCCAACGATTTCACTTTAATAACCATGCTATACTGTATTCATTTGTGCTTAATGTTTTCTTTAGCCACACCGCCTACTGTGGAGGAAATTTTGGACAAAATGAATTATGATCTTGTGATGTCGCTTACTGTTGAGGCTCCTGTGAGTACAATGAACAGATGAACCAATACCTTGGTTTTGGTTGTTCCCTCAGCATTACTGAGGTCCTTATCTGTTGTTTAATTAAAGTGCCTACATGTATAATGTAAAAAAGAGCACATTACTTTAGAGCCTGTTTACATGAAGGTGGGGGACCCCAGGTAGGTGAGGTAACATGTGGCGGGTTACCCCACCTAACATGTAAACGTGATCACATTAAAATGAGAGATTATATGGACAGGCGGGTTGCCCAACCTAAGGGGGTTACTACCTCACCTGTATGGGGTACCCCACCTCCATGTAAACAGGCCCTTACTCTAAAAACTCTAAAATATTTACATAGAAAATTACTTCGTGAATGATAAAAGAAACGCTAAGGCAATAAAAAATAAATATTTTAGAGTTTTTAGTCAGTATCTCATTAGCCTTTTCACTGTTGTATATAAGCACTTGCTAAGTTTTTACTTCTGAACTTGAAAATGACCGTTGAACGGTCCAAACGTCTTTCTTTTTTAGCGTTAATTTTTACATTGCAATCCGTTTTGAAAAATTTGTTGATTCGGATTTTTAAAAGAAAATTTACAAAACTGATCTACCCACAAATAGCGGGGCTACTCTATGCGGGTAGAGCAAAACAGTGAAAGCCTAAATAACTAAGGAAATAAGTTAATGAAATAAATCAAATTACTAAGAGATAGACCTGGATAGAAACAAGGAAAAATAGAATATAAATTAAAAGTAGAGCTTTCCACTTACCTGAGTGTGCTACTTTTAATTTGCCTCTAACCTGAAAAAATAATTGCTTCAGACTTAGCTTATTAAGATTATTAAAATAAAATAACATGTATCATGCAGTCAGTGATAAAGAAGAGACCATTGTCTGGATTTGTTTCAGTCTGTAGTCTTTAATTATTTTATTGATTTCTTTTGTCCTATAGGATGTTCCAAAGTGCTTGAAAATTATTACTCAACTCTCTGAGATGGAAATCAACCCTGATATTATAAAGAAAAACCCAGATATAGTTCAGACAATCAAAAGGGTAAGTACTTCAGTCTTTTTAGCCTGAGTATCAGGCGTTTCTGGGGAAAAGGGGAAAAATGGAAGCGAAAAAGGAAGAGAGGCTCTAAAATCTCCTCTCCCCTAGCCCCGTAGGAAGGCCTGATACTCAGGCTATTTTTTTCTGTATGTTTGTTAATTATGGATACCAGATATTACAGTGGGACACCCTTAATTAGTATTGTCTACAGCTGGACCATGAAAATTTGATTGTGTTTACCAGATGGTCACAATCAACACTTTTTTCTGGGCCGCTCTCTAAAATGTGGGGCGTTTTTTTTTGTTTGTTTTGCCTTCTTCCGTGAGAAATGGTCTGCAAAGTGAATGAAAAAATATCCTGATCGTGGTTAGTTTTATTTCTTCAAAATTGAAGAAAGTCACTTTGGTTTGTCAAATCAACATATTTTCTCTCTCAAGCTATCCAGAATCAGATCTATATCTGTGAATGGCTTGGATTAATAACCTGCTTTGTAACTGATCAGTGAATTGCTGACGTTCTTGTTGCTGTCGCTGTCGTCGATGCTAAAGCTCACTATTATTTACGAAACCTTATAATCGGTCAGGAACAGAACTTTCTCGGTGCAAATTGGAATGGTCCTGCTGTGGGCGTCCGAAACGTTTCCCAGAATCATCGGTAGTTCCTTCGTTTCTGGTTAGGAAAGTAGAGAATGAAAGTTTCCATTGATCTCACAACCTTGGTGAACGAACCGGATAAGTATGACGAGACAATAGCTGTCGTGTACGAACACACGAAAAGAAGTCAGGAGATGCTGTTTGCCGATTGGGCACAATTATACAAAGCAATTTTTGTGCACAATTAACCGATTGGAAGTGGTGCACTGAGAGTCGGTATCCAGGGGCTCTTCCGTCCGTGCTTGAAAACTCTCATCGCGCCTTTTCTCCCGACCCGACTGACTTCCCCTGACTGTCGATCCCCGAGGATGTATGGACCGCACTTGACAAAAATTCGTGGGTCTGCCCCCGCAGTTATTTATTCAATTTTGTTTTATGAAGATAATGTTTGAAGATTGAGTTTATGGATTATGTAACTCTGTAATGTTTTTGCAGAGAAACGATAAACCTTCAACTTTTGTATGCCTTATTGCCATAGGTTCTTATACTTGTTTGTTGTTTTTCCTTTTTCTAGATACGAAATTATAAGCAGAATTCTAAAGTGCGAGAAAAGGCCAGTCAGCTTTACACACAGTTCAAATCTTTATTTAAAGTCACAGGCTCAGGTAATATTAAAGTTTTCATGTCAAGAGCTAAGTAGCACAGGCTATCCAGCCAGATGCCTTGTTTGCGTACATCTGAAATACATGTTTACTTGATCCTATTTAACGGTGACTTTTAGAAACTTCAATGTAATGTTGTTCTAAGGCCCGGCCGTTCAAGCATCAAACTTCACGTGTTGATCTCCAAAAGAAGAGAGAAAGAGAAAGCTGAAATACGCCTCCTTGCCATAAACTAGCATTTTCTTGTAGCTTTAGAATTGAGTTATAGAGACCTTTAGACTCTAAGACGAGTACGACGACGAGAAAATCAAGTAGTGCTCGCCCATGAACCACAGTCATTAGGGATTTAGACGTTCTCGCTGCAGTCAGAAGATATTGGCTTTGATTTGATGCGAGGCAGCTTTTCTACTAACTGACTTTTAAGTCTGTTCAGCAGCTGATTTTAATGTACTTTGTAGCTGCTTGTTCTCCCAACACCTCATAATTTTTAGCTTTCTTTTATGCACAAGATTTCCACCCGGATATTTGTGTTAAATGGTAAGCACAAAAGGCTGTCATGAGTCCGTTGTCCACCCCGGGGCTCACCCTTTCATCCTTTGGAAGTGAAGGAGAACTGAACCATCCACTGGTTGATAGTCTTCACTACTACATGATGGCTCTCTCATTCTCTCCGTGTTAATTTTTTCCTTTCGTCGTGCTTTTTCGAGTTTCTATTAAATTCTAGTATCATTTCTTAAAAGGGCTTTGACACGAGTATATTACAGCTGTTTTGGGTCAGTTCTGTGTTTGGGTCATCACCTAGAGCCTTTACCCGTATAAAAATACGACGCTAAAAATAGGAAGATAATAAACAAACTTCATCAGGGAACACTGACCATAGCGTAATTTTGGGTGATGTTTGCAGACATAGCTTGAAAAAAGTTTCAATCCACGCCCATCCTTGCCATCCTTTGCAAAAGACGACAGGAAACAGTTTCAATGCCTAAATATAGTCTTCAATAGCAAAACTTGATGCGTAGACAAGTTTTACCTTTTTAAAAAGATAACAACTAAGGTGACATAGCCTCTTTAAGTTTTTGGTTGATCACGTTATCGTCTCGCGTGATGAGAGCATTCGCCTCCCACCAATGTGGCGTGGGTCAACACCATATGTGGGTTGAGTTTGTTGTTGGTTCTCTCCTTTGCTCCGAAATGTTTTTCTCCGGGTACCCCGGTTTTCTCCTCTCCTCTAAAACCAACTCTTCCAATTTCCAATTCAATCTGGAACGCACGGACACGTTTCAACGAATTCTTCAGAATTTTAAGCGCTTCGTAAGTAAACAAATTAGTATAGGTAATAGCATGATTTGTAGTGATATTTGTCATAAATACCACGAGTGATATTTCGAAATTGTTATACGTAATTTCACGAACCGTTAGGCGAGTGAAATTTTAGACAATTTTGAAATATCACAAGTGGTATTTATGCCAATTATCACTACAAATCACGCCATTTTTTGTTTATTCCACTACGCGAAAAGGTTTGTAATTTTCACATGCAGGTATTTTAAATTAAACTGAAATACCACTGCTCTAAGCTAATCAAATTGCGGAAATTTCTCATGTAGTAGCATAACAATTGAAATTACAAACTCTTTGTCATATAACCACGTTTGTTATAGAATCGGCTGCGGACCAGTTACTATCCACTCCTTCAAGTGACCCAAGTTCATCTCTTAATACGACGACATCTGCGGAAGGTAATGAACGAACCGAGCCTGAAGCGGTGAAAGATTCACAAGCACAAGTGTCTGTTAAGTCAGAAGAAAACACTCAACCTCACCCCACCCCCACTGAGAATGGGAGTGAACATCATGTATCCTCTGTAGGTGGGTGTTAGTAGTTACATGTATTTTTCGATCCAGGTTCCTCACCCTTTCGTATGATGTGAATTACAGTCAAACCTGTATTAAGCGTTGCCTAGTCCCAAGGCCTTATTATTCCGCGCGGTCAGTGCGTTTCGGGTCACGCAATCCGATCGAAGACGCCTCGCGTTCTCCTCAGATACGTCACCGAAATGCATTGGCCGAGAAGGCCTTGGGAAAAGCTGTACAGGGACAAGGCAATATTAAGTGGTTACCCTTGGGGAATGGCTTACTGGCCACTTACATTGTACTACAGGTTTGATAAACCTAGAAGCTATTCAAAAAAATGAAGATGGTAAAAGAGCGAAATATCTATTCCACGAGAAATTTTCCTCAAAGGATGACAATGAAAAAATAGGACTTCCGAAAAGTTGACCGCGACCGCTTAGTACAGTGGAACTTCGCCTTAAGACCACACCCCGTGGTCGCGTTAACGTGGTTCCACTGTATAGTTCAGTTTGACATTAATACAGTGGACCCCCGTTAATGCGTTACCGTTGGGCAATAAAATTCTGGTCGTAATAACGGTGGTCACATTAACAGGGTCCTCACAAAAATAAAATGACTCAGTGATTCTTACGTTTGGGTCGAAAGAATATTGTCGTAATAACGAGGTGGTCGTATAAAAGGCTTGGTCGTAAGGCGGGTTCCACTGTAAATCGAAATGATTTTCAGGGACTTTGGTAAATGAGCGCTTAACAGAGGGTGACTGCTTAATAGAGGTTAGGTAAATGCTAGTTTTACTGTAGGCAGATCTCGGATGGTCACAATCCTGATAAGCTGGTAGCAGTCTAAAGTGGCGTTGGGTAGATTATTTTCTTAGTCACTTACGTTTGTTTTTGGACAACCTGTTTGTCTCAAAATATGACTTTTTCGTTTACAGAACCAAAAGTTGAAGACCAAGAAAACAGAACGAAGGAATGTATACCAGAGGAAAAAAGACCAGAATTGGATACAACCGTGGATAATCTAACACCAGAACCAATGGAAATACAAAACGACACAACTGAAAACTTATCGCCCTGTGATATGGACATATCAAGCCCAGATTAAGAGTCCTTGCCTTTAACATTCAAGAGCCGGTTCCCATATAAGAATGCAAGAAATCTGCCAATTTTTATTGTTGGTAACATATTGACAAACATGTGACAGTACTGCTGACGAAGTGTCATATAAGCTGACGCAACATGGGATTTCCATTACGTACTCAACAGTATACCGACTCTGGGAATGCAAGTTTCAAGGACAGATGTACAGTACGTGTAGCTTAGGATAGCTTACGAATTCAGCCATCACTCGTCGCTCCTGTCCGAAAGGGAGGTTTGCGGGAGAAACGAAACGTCGAAAAGTCCATGGCACTGAGGAGTAACTAGAGGACTGTATTCGCAGGCTAAGTCTAGGTCGGGTGTCTCCTTTCTCCAAGGGGTCTACCAATCTCACCTCTCCCGCGAGATAGGTGTGCCGCGCGCGAGAATCTCTTTTCGCGCCGACTTGTGAAATGAATGATTGCCCAGTTTAGATAACGTAAACATGACAGTGTTTTTAAAAATCCTGAACAGTTGTTTTCATGTCAGCTTTTAGAAACAGTTTGACAACATGTTTGTCTTTGCGTCATAAGTAAGTCGCGTCGTATTGTCTGTTGCATTTCACCCTTTCGCGAGCTTTATGTAACATAAAAATCATCTGTTGTATTTTTTAAGGAGTTACTTTGTGGAACTGAGCGCCTCTGAAGTCATGCAATTAAACCTCGTATTAGTGTCACTTTTTCTACGTAGCATCTTTACTAACTGTTGTATCGGTTTAAAAAACCAAGTAGTGTCTGTAAGCCCGGTATGACCAATCGATAAAAACCGATATCGGAAAACCGTTCGATAAATCGATATCAATCGATAATTTTTAATTAATCGATATCGATTTTATCGATCAATCGATAGAAATCGATACTCACAGTCTTCCGCGTATTTAACGATATCGATTTTATCGAGTAATCGATGTTAACGGAGTATCAAAAACCATACAAAATAAAACTGCTTCTATGTGGACAGCGTTTTAATTTAATATAAAACAATGAACAGAAACATTAAGCAACCAAGGATTTATTTATTTATTACAACTACGCAGCTTCGTACTTCGTAGTACATGTATTTGTAGGATGTCATTACGACATTTAGCTTGAACAGTTTCTGAGTAAATACAAAAAGCGGTTATGTTATGTTGCGTTTCCCCGTTGAATCATGCCAGGGAATCGTGTTAATATTATTTGATTATCAGTATTCATTCAATTATCGATTTGTTAAATAAATCTTTAAATTCGTCCTACTTGATTCATTGAATCGTAAGAGTGTTTTTATGGAAGATTTGATACATTTTAGAAATTCGATAAAATCGATAACATTAATTTAAAAATCGATAATTATCGATTACTCACAACGTGTCCTTTTATCGATTTTAATCGATTTCCGATACAATTTACTAATTTTTATCGATTGTTATCGAATGTTATCGATTATCGGTTTTATCGATTGCACATGCCGGGCTGTAAGGAATGCCCAGTTCGTACCAGCCTCTTCTTTCGCATATAGTTTTTAAATTTTCTTTTCTATACCTTGTTCCTTGTACTACTCTTTCCTATGTACAGAATAAATTCTTGACTTAGACATCCCCCATTCTTTGTTTGCTTTGGTTTGTTTGTTTGTTTGTGAAAGAGTGTCGTGACTTTGGCCCAAAAGATCGTGGCTCAAGTAGCCTGGGATTTATTGCGCATGACTGCCTCATTCTACGGGTTCTTCCGGTGCTTTTGTTGTTTAGACTGTTAAGCTGTGAGAAGAATGGAAAACGTCGATTTGAAACCCTTTGCAGCTTTGCAGCTTGCTACACAGGCTGTGGATCAGTTGCCTGGATTTCATCCTCCTCCTTCGCTCGCTAAGCCCCCGAGTGTCTTTGCAAATGAAGAAGGCGGCTGAAATTCAGGCTTTATATGGCTCATGGCTCGTGTACGACGACCTGACTGACGTCATTAATAACGTAATAGCAAATGGCTAGTAGCAAAAGGAACAGTAGAGGAACAGTAGGGGAACAGTAGGAACAGTAGGATCAGACGAACAGTAGGATCAGAGTAACAGTAGGAATTAAGTAGGAACAGAGGAACAGTTGGATCAGAGGAACGGAGGAACAGTAGGAACAGTAGGAACACAGGAACAGTAGGAACAGTGAAAACAGAGGAACAGTACAGTAGGAACAGAGCAACAGTAGGAACAGAGCAACAGTAGGATCAGAGGAACAGTAGGAACAGTAGGAGCAGTAGGAACAGAGGAACATTAGGAACAGTAGGAACAGTAGGAACGTAGGAACAGTAGGAACAGTAGGAACAGTAGGAACAGTAGGAACGTAGGAACAGAGGAACAGTAGGAACAGAGGAACAGTAGGAACAGAGGAACAGTAGGAACAGTAGGAACAGAGGAACAGTATAGGAACAGTAGGAACAGTAGGAACATTAGGGAGACTAGGAACAGAGAAACAGTAGGAACAGAGGAACATTAGGAACAGTAGGAACAGAGGAACAGTAGGAACGGTACGAACGGAGGAACAGTAGTAACAGAGGAACAGTAGGAACAGTAGGAACAGTAGGAACAGTAGGAGCGTAGGAACAGTAGGAACAGTAGGAACAGTAGGAACGTAGGAACAGTAGGAACAGTAGGGAGAGTAGGAACAGCGGAACAGTAGGAACAGTAGGAACAGTAGGAACGTAGGAACAGTAGGAACAGTAGGAACAGAGGAACAGTAGGAACAGAGGAACAGTTGGATCAGAGGAACGGAGGAACAGTAGGAACAGTAGGAACGTAGGAACAGTAGGAACAGTAGGAGCAGTAAGATCAGAGGAACAGTAGGAACAGTAGGAACAGAGCAACAGTAGGAACAGAGGAACAGTAGGAACAGTGAAAACAGAGGAACAGTAGGAACAGAGCAACAGTAGGATCAGAGGAACAGTAGGAACAGTAGGAGCAGTAAGATCAGAGGAACAGTAGGAACAGTAGGAACAGTAGGAACGTAGGAACAGTAGGAACAGTAGGAACAGTAAGATCAGAGGAACAGTAGGAACAGTAGGAACAGTAGGAACAGTAGGAACAGTAGGGAGAGTAGGAACAGAGGAACAGTAGGAACGGAGGAACAGTAGGAACAGAGGAACAGTAGGAACAGTGGAAACAGAGGAAGAGTATAAACAGTAGGAACAGAGGAACAGTAGAAACAGTAGGAACAGAGGAACAGAAGGAACAGAGGAACAGTAAGATCAGAGAAACAGTAAGAACAGTAGGAACAGTAGGAAATGCGGCTAACAAACGCGATTTAAAGTGTACAACTTTAACGAGCGGAATATTTTTGTATTTTTATTGTTAAGATGCATTAAATAAACTTATTATTTAAAAACTTATTACTATCATTTTAATACGGCGTTATTTCTCTTTATAATCCCTCAAATATTTTCGCTTGCGTGTGAATGGTCAAAATACGTCACACTATGTAGTCCTATATGCCCCAATTAAAATTTGGGAAATCCCCAGTGTTCAAACAAATTTCTTGCTTGCTTGCCTCTCTTACGATTTTCGAACATCCAAAAATTGCCCGTTTCTAACGGATTTTTACCCTAAAAAGGTCACCTAGAATTTTCGGAAGCCTTTTTTCTGGCTGAAATTTTCGAAAAGGTAAGTTTTTCGGAGCACTAGACTTTCTTCTAGGAAATCCGAACAGATGAAAACTTTTTAGGGGATGAAAATATGCCTATATCTACCATTTAAATACTAAAATACGTTTAACAATGCTATGTTTAAGTGGTTGTGAATTATATTCTTGTTGGGTGCTCCTGATATACGGTAGGTAACCGCGTGAAAATATACAATGTTGCGTGTAAAACAATTTTTTCTTCCTGCCGACTAAAATTTCCTATGAAAAATTGCAGACAAATGTCTGACAAATTTAAAGCAAACGACCTCACAAATTAAGGCACGGGTGTGGTCCCCATTAATTGTTACTACAATCCTTTGCTGTGAAGCTTAAGTTTACAATTCTGTTTTTTTTCTCAGAACCTCCGTTTACGAAAATCATCCGACATTAAATTCCTATATAAGACCCTTCACCTGTCAAGAGGGCTTTCAAAACCGTCATATTAAAGGGCCATAGTGTACGGCAGTACGAAAATCGAATTTTTAATAGTTCAAAACAATCGTGTATTCTTTGCCTCTGGTTTTTTGTCAGTCCAGTTAAAATCAAAAATACAAAATGTTCTGTAAATTCCGTGTTTTAGAGTATTCCGTTTACAGCCAAACCTGTTTTAAGCGGTCACTCTTTGGGAATGGCTTACTGACCGCTTAGTACAGATTGACCGTTTAATAAAGGTTTGACAAACGTGAGAGTTATTCAAGAAAACGAAGCTAGTCAAAGAGCGAAATATCTATCTCGCGACAAATTGACCCCCACCTGTTTCTACCTCTTCTTGGGCCAAAAGAAAAAAGTTAAAGTCCACTTGACGTCAGACACTATGCGACCTGTTGCACTAAAATGGTACTTCTTCTCAAAGCGACCGTTTAATAGAGGTGAAGACCATGATTTCCGGGACTCTGGTAAGTGACTGCTTAATAGAGGGTGACCACTTAATAGAGGTCCGCTTAATACAGACATCTTAGAATATTCCGTGTATCATGTGTATTCCGCCATTCCGTTCCATCATTCCGTCAGTCCGCCATTCCTCTAAATAGAGTCAGTCCCCCTGGAGATGCGCGCGGTGAGGTGGACAGGGAAAGAGAATATTGCAATTTATAAAATAACTAAGATAGTACGTGCGTTCTGATTGGTTGAAAACCTATGGTTTATATTCCGCCGGTAAACTCATAGAAATTATTTACTTTATAAAAGCAATAGACCATGCATTTTTTCTTCCTCGCCTTCGGCTCGTGATTTACCAGCTTTTCTCGCGTTCTCCCAACATCCTGCGTGGGTTATCACGTCGGTAAACCCCATAGAAAGTGTGGTCTATTGCTTTAATGGTGAGACCTTTCCGTTACCTTGAGGACAATAGGGACCTTTAGATCCGAGGACGCTCACGGCGACGGCAGAGAAAACGTCGCTGAAAAAGTGAATTCGTGTTCTTTCAATCTTCATCGCGATTACTCCAAGTCACTAACACTCCAAGTCACATTTTTTTCATTTTCCAATGTAGGCGGACCATCCTAAAGTTGAATTCGTAAGTACCATAGCCAAGTGCAGACAGAGAGAGGAAATCTCGTCGTCGCTTGTGTACTTTCTCTGTACACTGTGAAATTAGGTATTTTCACGTCGTAGTCGTGCAGTGACGGCAAAGAAATGTACAAAAAAGCGTGATGCACGCGCAAAATTGTTGTTTTTTGGTTATTAAACCTATTGTTTTTGTGGCGTTCCCGTTGCCGTCGCCGTCGTCGGATCTTAAGGTCCCTAGTACGGAGCTTTTAAAGCAACAACTACGGCGACGGCTACAAAAACGTCACTTAAACTGAGGTAAACTTGCGCTACTTCAAACTTGATCGCGCTTATTCCACCTTGTTCAGTTCGTCAAATTTTGGCAATTTTTTCTGGAGTTGAATTTAAAAAGACTTCATCGAAGTTCAGGAAAAGGAAAAGAAAATCGTTGCCTTGCCGCCTTTTTATTTTTGTCACGTCTTAAATTAGGCATGTCGTGCAGTGACGGCAAAGATCGAAATGTGCAAAAAAAAAAAGGTGATGCACGTGCAAAGTTGTTGTTTTGCCAATCTTAACCCGTTGCTTTTTCGCCGTTCTCGTTAACGTCTCCACCGTCGACATTTCTTTAATAAGCTCCCTTATGACCATTTACAAATGATGAGAGGAGCCTGGGGATGAGCCAGTCATAACATGTTATGGCAATTTTGTTACGGCCAGCATTTTTCTGCTTTGCGTGTAGATTGTGCTCATGTTTTTTTTCTTCTAAGCATACATTTTTTTTTATTCTACCTGTTCCGGTTGTATGCATTCTTCTCTTGAGAAGTTTTCTCCCGGGGGTACTCATGGGAATTCTTGGTGGAGGTGTGCCGCCCGGTTCTCCCTATTTCAGACCAAAAATGTCATTTTCCTCACTCGTTTTCAGAGCAGACCTCTAAAATCCATACCCGTTTTCAGATCTAACCTTTAGGCAGAAATTATGTTATCACTACTAAGCCTTGTTAGAGAGCAAACAAGAAATTATTCAAATTCATTTCAGTATTGCTTTTTCTTTCTTACTCATTTGGAATTGAAACGATAAATACGTTTATACACTTCCGTGGTTTCCTCGAAAACCATACTCGATTCCAGATCAACATTAGCCTGCGTAGCAGGCGTCGAAAGGGGTAGGGGATAGGGAAAAAGGGAAAAAAGAGGGGGGTAGGGAGAGAAGGGATATTTTGATAGAATTTGTGCGTTTCTCCCTCCCTCTCCCCCTCCCCTTTTTGCGCCTGCCACGCAGGCTAGGCTAGATCAACATAGGCAAAGGGTATCCCCGTTTTCAGACCAAAACAGCGCAAAAATGCAACCCGATGGGGCTGCACATACCGTATTTATTCGATTAACCGCCCTGGGCGCTTATTAAATTTTTGGACCTTGAGAGTGGGCGCTTATTCGAGGTGAGCGCTTATTCGAGGCTGGGCGCTTATTAAATTTTCACCATTTTCAGCAAGTGAAGTATGTTTTTCTTTGCAACAAAACAATAAATGCCACTAACAAAACGCGAAGAAGTAACAAAGCAAGGTTTCTATAAAATACTCTGAAGAAAACTCCGTCCTCGGAAAAGTCTCTTATCAGAATTTATTCACTCAAGTGGGTGGGGTGGAGTTGAACGCTTATTTGGGTTTGATTGGGAGGAGGAGGGGGTGGGCGCTTATTCGAGGCTGGGCGCTTATTAACTTTTTCTGCCTTTAAGATGGGCGCTTATTCGAGGTGGGCGCTAATTCGAGGTTGGGCGCTTATTCGAATAAATACGGTACCCCATATAATGTAAAGGAATACCCCTACCGCTTCACGTGTTCAAATCGTAGCATGAACTCCCGCCAAAATGTGTTTGACCTTGGTCTTTGGACCTGATTGGGATTTCACGTGAAAAACATTTCTTGATGGTCACGAATTTTTTATTATTATCATTTCAGTATGAAAATAATATTCCGCATTCAGTGTAATTTGTAGGCACATCGATATATTATATTTTGTTTGCTCTGGAGGATTTCACTGGTAAGCGTTTGTAAACGTGACAACTTCGTGACAACGTGACTTGAGAATCAACCAGCCAATCAGCTGTCTTTAAAATTGTGTTGACATGGTAAAATTGACAGGGTAAACAACAGGGAATCACCATAATCTTGACTGTCTTGACTGACTTGAAGTAAAAGCGTATTTGTTTGGGTTTGCCGCAGAAACTAAGGCTGTGTCCAAGCATAATATGCATATTTAATAACGCTCGCTTGAAAACTAACATGAAAACCCTCGAAAATATGCCTCGGCATGGATTTCGAGATACCGGCATCATGACGGAAACTGCGTCGAAGATGTTTGTTTTCAGAGACAGAGACCATTCAAACGCTGCCTTTGAGAATTTAGCTGCTTTCCGGGCAAACGGATTACTTTGTGACATCGTATTAAGCGTGGAAGGCAGAGAAATACCAGCTCATCGAGTGATTCTCGCGGCTGGAAGTCCATATTTCAGGGCAATGTTTCTCGGAAAACTCGCGGAGAGCTGTCAAGACCGCGTCGTACTGTATGAAATTGATGGAGTTGCAGTTGAAGTGCTTGTTCAATATGCGTACAGTGGAGTCGCAGAAATTAATGAATGTAACGTACAGTCCCTATTGTATGCTTCAGCCGTTCTTCAGTTTGATAAGGTCAGGCACGCTTGCTGCGTTTTTCTGCAAAAAGGCGTTAAGAGTTTACAACTGTTTGGGGATCCGCTTGCTTGCCGAGTGTCTGTCGTGCCACAATCTTTTCGAGTCATCGCATCAATTCGTTGCTGATCACTTTGACGATGTTCTTAAGCAGGAAGAATTCTTGTTGCAGCCCTTCGAATCTTTAGACGCTTTGCTTGATTGCAAATTTCTTAGCGTTGCTTGCAAGGAGAAACTCTTGAACGGCGTTTTAGAGTGGCTGAACTTTCGTCCTTTAGAACGCCAGCGTCACGCCCCCTGTCTTATCAAGAGATTTTGCTCGACGAAGGTTTCTTCTGATTTTCTGAAAAACTGCGTTCTAAAAGATCCAATTATTCAAGAGACCTCTGAATGCCAGCGTATGATTCTAGAAGCCATGCAATCTTCAAATACGCCAGATACTCACAAATTCAACGGGATTGCTCTGCGCTCTCACCGAACTGGCCGTGAAATTATTTTGACCATAGGAGGGGAGTCCGAGGGAATGTACTTAAGCAGCTCTCAATGTCTCTGTTCAAACAATGACAGATGGAGCTGGGACATTCCAGGACAGCTAGATGACTTGGTGCCACTGGCGCCCATGAAAAAGGGACGAAATTACATGGCAGCCGCGTCTACTGGGTGCCATGTCTATATAATTGGTGGGAATTCTTCTAAGGAGGTGTTGGATTGTGTAGAACGCTACGAATGGCCAAGTAACGAATGGCATCAACTTTCGCCTTTGCATGTCGAGCGGATGGGTGCTGCTGCTGCCAAATATACAATGTTGCGTGTAAAACAATTTTTTCTTCCTGCCGACTAAAATTTCCTATGAAAAATTGCAGACAAATGTCTGACAAATTTAAAGCAAACGACCTCACAAATTAAGGCACGGGTGTGGTCCCCATTAATTGTTACTACAATCCTTTGCTGTGAAGCTTAAGTTTACAATTCTGTTTTTTTTCTCAGAACCTCCGTTTACGAAAATCATCCGACATTAAATTCCTATATAAGACCCTTCACCTGTCAAGAGGGCTTTCAAAACCGTCATATTAAAGGGCCATAGTGTACGGCAGTACGAAAATCGAATTTTTAATAGTTCAAAACAATCGTGTATTCTTTGCCTCTGGTTTTTTGTCAGTCCAGTTAAAATCAAAAATACAAAATGTTCTGTAAATTCCGTGTTTTAGAGTATTCCGTTTACAGCCAAACCTGTTTTAAGCGGTCACTCTTTGGGAATGGCTTACTGACCGCTTAGTACAGATTGACCGTTTAATAAAGGTTTGACAAACGTGAGAGTTATTCAAGAAAACGAAGCTAGTCAAAGAGCGAAATATCTATCTCGCGACAAATTGACCCCCACCTGTTTCTACCTCTTCTTGGGCCAAAAGAAAAAAGTTAAAGTCCACTTGACGTCAGACACTATGCGACCTGTTGCACTAAAATGGTACTTCTTCTCAAAGCGACCGTTTAATAGAGGTGAAGACCATGATTTCCGGGACTCTGGTAAGTGACTGCTTAATAGAGGGTGACCACTTAATAGAGGTCCGCTTAATACAGACATCTTAGAATATTCCGTGTATCATGTGTATTCCGCCATTCCGTTCCATCATTCCGTCAGTCCGCCATTCCTCTAAATAGAGTCAGTCCCCCTGGAGATGCGCGCGGTGAGGTGGACAGGGAAAGAGAATATTGCAATTTATAAAATAACTAAGATAGTACGTGCGTTCTGATTGGTTGAAAACCTATGGTTTATATTCCGCCGGTAAACTCATAGAAATTATTTACTTTATAAAAGCAATAGACCATGCACACTTTCTTCCTCGCCTTCGGCTCGTGATTTACCAGCTTTTCTCGCGTTCTCCCAACATCCTGCGTGGGTTATCACGTCGGTAAACCCCATAGAAAGTGTGGTCTATTGCTTTAATGGTGAGACCTTTCCGTTACCTTGAGGACAATAGGGACCTTTAGATCCGAGGACGCTCACGGCGACGGCAGAGAAAACGTCGCTGAAAAAGTGAATTCGTGTTCTTTCAATCTTCATCGCGATTACTCCAAGTCACTAACACTCCAAGTCACATTTTTTTCATTTTCCAATGTAGGCGGACCATCCTAAAGTTGAATTCGTAAGTACCATAGCCAAGTGCAGACAGAGAGAGGAAATCTCGTCGTCGCTTGTGTACTTTCTCTGTACACTGTGAAATTAGGTATTTTCACGTCGTAGTCGTGCAGTGACGGCAAAGAAATGTACAAAAAAGCGTGATGCACGCGCAAAATTGTTGTTTTTTGGTTATTAAACCTATTGTTTTTGTGGCGTTCCCGTTGCCGTCGCCGTCGTCGGATCTTAAGGTCCCTAGTACGGAGCTTTTAAAGCAACAACTACGGCGACGGCTACAAAAACGTCACTTAAACTGAGGTAAACTTGCGCTACTTCAAACTTGATCGCGCTTATTCCACCTTGTTCAGTTCGTCAAATTTTGGCAATTTTTTCTGGAGTTGAATTTAAAAAGACTTCATCGAAGTTCAGGAAAAGGAAAAGAAAATCGTTGCCTTGCCGCCTTTTTATTTTTGTCACGTCTTAAATTAGGCATGTCGTGCAGTGACGGCAAAGATCGAAATGTGCAAAAAAAAAAAGGTGATGCACGTGCAAAGTTGTTGTTTTGCATCAATTCGTTGCTGATCACTTTGACGATGTTCTTAAGCAGGAAGAATTCTTGTTGCAGCCCTTCGAATCTTTAGACGCTTTGCTTGATTGCAAATTTCTTAGCGTTGCTTGCAAGGAGAAACTCTTGAACGGCGTTTTAGAGTGGCTGAACTTTCGTCCTTTAGAACGCCAGCGTCACGCCCCCTGTCTTATCAAGAGATTTTGCTCGACGAAGGTTTCTTCTGATTTTCTGAAAAACTGCGTTCTAAAAGATCCAATTATTCAAGAGACCTCTGAATGCCAGCGTATGATTCTAGAAGCCATGCAATCTTCAAATACGCCAGATACTCACAAATTCAACGGGATTGCTCTGCGCTCTCACCGAACTGGCCGTGAAATTATTTTGACCATAGGAGGGGAGTCCGAGGGAATGTACTTAAGCAGCTCTCAATGTCTCTGTTCAAACAATGACAGATGGAGCTGGGACATTCCAGGACAGCTAGATGACTTGGTGCCACTGGCGCCCATGAAAAAGGGACGAAATTACATGGCAGCCGCGTCTACTGGGTGCCATGTCTATATAATTGGTGGGAATTCTTCTAAGGAGGTGTTGGATTGTGTAGAACGCTACGAATGGCCAAGTAACGAATGGCATCAACTTTCGCCTTTGCATGTCGAGCGGATGGGTGCTGCTGCTGCCATCTTGAACGGACAACCTATTGCTATTGGTGGTTTTAGTAAATTTTCAGGCTATCTGTCATCAGTGGAGGTGTATGACTCTTGGATTGACAACTGGTCATTGATAACACCGATGAGGACAAAACGAAACTATCTCGGTGCTGCAGAAATAGCAGGCTCTGTCTATGCTATTGGTGGATTTGGTGGAGAGAACGAGAGTTCATATGGGTATCTCACATCAGTTGAGTGCTTTGAAGCTCAGAGAGGGATTTGGCAGTCTGTATCACCCCTATCAGAGCCGCGGGCATACTTGAGTGCAGTTCAGAAAGATGGTGAGACAGTCAGATGTAGTTAACGAGATTATCGTTGAGGGGAAGAAAAAGCAACAAGGTAGCCTCCATAACAAGCATTTCTGCACCTGTTTGGCGAGGAAGTTGAGACAAGAGCAAACAGGAGAAAGTAAGGGGAGGGTCTTCTCCTCTTCCCCTTCCCTCCATTTCTGTCTCTTGCTCCAACTTTCACACTTAACTTAATTGGAAAAGCTTGCTGTGATAGCTAGAATCAAGGTAAAACAGCCACCAAGTCTGGATCCCTGTTAATTAAGAGGGGGTTTTGGTTCAAAAGTTATACCCTCTTCCAGAAATAAGTATGTTAAATTTAAGAACCCCATTCTTAATAATAATAATTCATTTGTTTAGCTGCTAATATTGCAAGACAGCTCTCAGGGAAACAGTTTTATTGTTCGAAGTCAAATGAGAACATTTGCTGTTGGGGAAAAATTTCGTTACAGCTGTGTTTATATTCATGTCTTCCAAAAAATTTTGTTATATCCCATTCAAGCAAACATCTTGAATATGAAATTACCCCATTCTATAACTGAATAAACTGTGCAAATTCCTGATCTCAATGAGCATTTTATATTCTGGCCTATATAGTTATGCAGTTGTAACCTCCCTTTTATTTTTTCTTACATATTTGTTAATAACAGGGTCAATTTATGCTCTTGGAGGCTATAACTCCTCCTGGTTAAACTCTGCCGAAAGGTTTGATCCACGTGAAGGAAGATGGTATAGAATTCGACCCATGTTATCTCCCAGGAGCAGCTATGGATTAAGTGTCATGGGCAGTTGTCTGTATGTTGTCGGAGGGTTCAATGGCTTGAGAAATCTGAATTCAGCTGAAAGCTATGACACCAAGGCCGGAAAGTGGATGGCAGCTCCTCCGTTACAGAACACTAGGTACGGGTTGGCTCTTGCAACACTGGTTACATGACTGCACATTTAACATACCGCTATTAACCTTCAGACTGTATATATGCTCAAGGCACCAATTAAATTCGATTTTGCATTGTGTCGTTTGCCAACTGTATACCCTGACCGAATGCTTAACAACTGCAAGGCAAGCTCAAAATTATGGCACATTTTTGAGGCCTGCAACAATAAGCAGCATGGGAATATTATGTCAACAAAAATGTGATGAAATTTCCTATGCTTCAGAGAAAACCCTCTGGCAAAACTGCAAGATTTGAAATTATTAGATGAGGGTTACCTAATACTGTTGACTCCACAAAGTTTTCGACATGTTTGAATTTGCTGACATGTTGTCTCCAGCTTTCTTGGAATAACTTATATACTGCTGTGAGCTCTGTATAATACAGAACAAAACAATTTTTTGGAGGCTTGGCATGTGTAAATTTAGAGGTCAGATTAGAAATGAAACTAACCTGCAATCTTTTGGAGTCAGCAGACAGAGAAAGGGGGAAAGTCCTTTTCCCCTCACCTCCAAAAAAAAGGGAAGAAGGACCACTAGACTGCAGGTTAAAATGAAACAATAAAGATCAAAGAAAGTGTGTTTTTCCTTGACAGACTTTCCAACCTTTTGAGTATGTAAAATCAGGGTATTAATCTAGATATAACCACCGACGAAACGCGCTAGCACCGAAGGTGCACACTGCTAGGATTAAAATCTTGATGCTCTAGTGTTTTGTCTGCTAGAAGACAATTTCTGTTGAAAATGTTCCCTGAAATCTATTGTCATGTTTATGCATATTTTCAAAAGTAATTAATTACCATGTTACAACTACTCGATTTTATTTTATATTTCGTGCATTTTTTTTTTAGTGCAGTTTTCTGGTTATTTCTTTCAGTTAAGTATATACTCTGTTAGATGTTCTGTATTTATAGTCACAAGAATTCATTTAAAAATATCAGAACAGATGTCAAAATTTTTCCTAGCACAATTGCATATTGGTCAGGATTGGTGATTTTCAAGGAAAAGCAGGAGAATCCTGACGAGACTGGGATGGTCGGACAGTCTGCTTTGATTATAGGTCATCAATCTGGACATGAGAGTTTTTCATTATGACTGTCCAATGATTTTTTTCAAAGATGTTTTTGATAAAGTCAAGAAGAAGGGATAATTTTTTAAAACTTAATGACTCGTCCATTGGGAAACAGTCAATTTCATTTCCCAAGAATCACTGAGGGAAACATTGAGATTAACGAGAACACCAGTCTTTAAGTGATTTGTTATGTAGCTGGAAATTTTGAAGCTGGAAATTCATTAAACCCCTCTGTAACAGCACTCGTCAGTCAACATTTGCGCAGGGTAACAGTGCACTTTTACCCTCTACTGTCATAGATTTTGCAATGTCTCCTATTCAGTGATTTTGGTGGGAAACAGTTTCATTGTTAGATGTCATGTGACCTCGAAGTAACCAATGAGAGCATGTGCTGCTGGGAAAAAATTTTCAGCTACATAACAATAGTTGTTATATAGTACTGGCAAGTACAATGATGTAGGTATGTAAGGTTAAATTATTCAGGAAAAATATTACATGTTTTTAGGGAGGAAACTAACATTTGTGCATTTACTGTAGAATTTCCATTAAGTAAACCAATAAAATGACATGTACCTTATTTAAGTAAGTATATTTTTATGCCTGCTTGTTCAAATTTAATTATATTTATTATTTTACTAAAAATAATTATTTGAACAAGCAAGCATAAAAATTCAGCTGTGTAAAGAATAAAAAATTTTACTTTATGAACGAATAATTTGATGAAATAAGATGTCTGGGGTATGTCATCAATGACAATAGTCCTTAAGGCTTATTGTTCTTATTTCCCATAATTTAAGTTTTCTCGATATTAAACCCCAAAAAATTCCTGTTCCAAGCCACCATGTTGGCTTCATTGCTGGATGTGAAGATTAGGGTAGAGGGTTTATTAAAATAACAGAGAAACCTATAAATAAAAGAAAATAATAATGATTTAGATGCCATGTAGCAAGTGACTCCTGATCGAAATTGAATTTGGGAATGTTGTTTAATTCTGAAAAGAGACAAGAAACATATGTTAAATGTTCAACCCAGGGGGAAGGGGGATGTAACAGTGGAACCCTTTTCCAGACAAACAAAAAATATGTACACATTGGTTGCATTTGATTGGGAAATCCAGATTTAGATTTTGAAATCCGGATTTTGGATTTTGCAATCAAATGCGAATCCAAGAACGGATTTCACCTCAGTCGATTTCAATTAAGAAATCCAAATCAGGATTTAATGGATTTCCTTTTTACTGTTCGATGGTGAAATCTGAAAAAAGCAATTGCAAAACTCTTCTAGTGAATAGCGGTCTTCCTTTTGCTTATTATGCTTCTGCATGCAAGACTGCTGTACATATTTTAAGGACAGTTTTTCAAATTCTTTTTCGGATTTCCTAAATGAATGGTAAAAAGGAAATCCAAAAACAGATATCTCAGCGATGAAATCCATTTTCGAATTTCACGTTCATTTGCAAACCCGAAATCCAGATTTTAAAATCTAAATCCACATTTCCCAATCTAATTGTCACACACTTGTTTTTTCTTTGCCAATATCATGTTTTAACCTAATTTATAATGCATTTGGGTAATCAATATCATCATTACAACAACTGTGGAGCAGAATTTGCATAATGTTTAAACTACTCCAGATTCTAACAGAGGTATTAAATATACCACTCTTCCAGGGATATAAGTGATTTTGTTACAAATAGGTATGGTGAGTTCTGGGACTCATCTTGTGAAAAATCATGAGTTCCAGTAAAAAAAAAAGAGTCCAAAATTTAAAATGTTTGGGCCTTTGTGTAACCAGATTGTTAATCTGAAGACAGACTCTTAAACTCTGTATTACAGTATACTGAAATTAAATATAGTCTTTCTATGTTAAAGCACAACAAAGGCTAAAAGAAATATGCATAGTGAAACAACAGCCACAATAACTGCCACAGAAATTACACAAACAGGATATTCCTACTTTACACGTACATGTTCAGATCGATCAATCCTTGCATCCTACGGGAAGCATGCTGAGTATTATTTTGTGTCTTTGAGGATTTTTATGCATCAGGGACGCAGGCCCATCACCCATCTGTTTCATATCCTGACAAAACAGCCAACACTTTGCGACGCCAGCAGACTGGTTTGTCCATGAAATGATATCTAAGAAATACCGTATTTATTTGATTAACCGCCCTGGGCGCTTATTAAATTTTTGGACCTTGAGAGTGGGCGCTTATTCGAGGTGGGCGCTTATTTGAGGCTGGGTGCTTATTAAATTTTCAACATTTTCAGCAAGTGTAGTATGTTTATTTTGCAACAAAACAATAAATGGTAAAAACAAAACGCGAAGATGTAACAAAGCAAGGTTTCTGTAAAATACTCTGAAGAAAACTCCGTCTTTGGGGAAGTCTCTTATTAGTACTTATTCAATTTTTGGGAGGTGTGAGGGGAAAAGGGGTGGGGTGGGGTGGGCGCTTATTAACTTTTTCTGCTTTTAGGATAGGCGCTTATTCGAGGTGGGCGCTAATTCAAGGTTGGGCGCTTATTCGAATAAATACGGTAAGTGCAGAAATTCTATGTTGATGACGCAACACTACACAGATATGGGTAGTGCTTCTGATTAGCGGAAAATTTGCTTCAAACAGTCAGAAGCACTTCCCAGATCTGGTTAGTTTTGCATCATTAGTATGGAATTTGTGCACTCGTTTCTCAGATGTTACTTCATGGGGAAACCAGTGGCGTTGTTGCGAAATGTTGGCTCTTTCAGAGTCAGAGAGGCCAAAGTATACCCCACTGGGTGACACATAGCCCCTACATGGTAATCCCTCTCCTCTCTCCCCACCCAACCCCCGTAATGCATGGGACTTAAACCCAGATAACAATCTCGCAAAGCAAGGGCAAGAACTAACAACAAACTCAACTCACCTATGGAGTAGCTTTCAGGAGTTGAAGCCAGGCTACATCAGTGAGAGATGTGATCTCATCACTACCCTTGCTCGTGCTCAGTTAAAGTTTTATACTGTTTAATATTTTTTTATAAAACCACAAAAAAATCTAAAACAAAGTTGCATGAATTTGAAAACACTTTAATTTATAGGTTTTGAAAAACTGAACTACATGCATTTAACCTTCCCCTCTTTTTTTTGAAAAAAAGTCAAAGTGCAAAACTATACAAAAACCTTGATAACTGGCCTTTTAACAGAATATAAAAACAATGGAAAATTGCTTTTACACTGTAGGTAGTAATTTGGGCATAGCCCCCCTGTGTAGGCCAGTATAGGGAGTATTCCCCCCACAAATGGGGACTCAACCCTGACAACCTGAGCATCCCTTTGCCATTTTCTTCAGATATTGTGTTACACTACCCGGGTATTACATGTCCTTGTAAGTTATGTGACAAAGGAAGATGCCTGAGCCGAACTAACAAGTATTAAAATTAACGTTGCTATCATGAATATGACAGAATTTGAAAGCAATGACCGTAGTATGACGATACAATTACCTGCCTTCCTTTAAGGAGGTCAATTCCAACTGGAGTCTTTTTTGTTTCAAATTTTGTGACATACGTACCATCTAGCTTATAAACATGTACACAGTGATTTTCACTATCACACACCAAAATGCGATCATTTGTCTTATCAACAGTAATTCCCCTGGGACATCTAAATTCACTAGTGGCATTTCCTACTCTTCCAAACTGCCGCACATAAATTCCATTGTTATCAAATACTTTCACGCAGTTGTTTCCCTTGTCAGAAATGTAAAATTCACCTTTGTGGTGTACAGCTCCTAAGGGTCTGTCAAACCCCTCTGGGCCATGCGCACCAAATTGACGTACAAATGTACCATCCAGCAGAAAGATTTGCACTCGGTTGTTTTCAGTATCAGTGACAATAATATTATCATTGTCATCGACTGAAATACCCTCCGCCTGTCCCAGTTCGCCCTCATTTGATCCTTTTTTGCCAAAACTCATGAGGAAGCGGCCAGTATTGTCAAAGATTTGTACTCTGTAATTCTTGCTGTCCAAGACAATGATTTTGTTGTTTCTCGTGTATGCTATTCCTGTTGGACCCAAAAGTTGCCCTTCGTCATGTCCTTTTTTGCCAAATTTAAATAAAAACTTCCCATTCTCATTGAAAACTTCAACGCGATTGTTGAAGTAATCAGTGACAGCAATTTCTCCTTTCTCATTTGATGCTATGCCCCCAGGGTTCTTGAAATTACCTTTCCTTGTTCCCTTGTGTCCAATTTTCTTAATGACCCGCCCCATTGAGTTAATGTCAGCAGTATCTGTGGAGAATCCCAAATTGCTGGGACTTCTCTGCGTTATTTCCGATTTGAGTTGACCAATACAATATTTTTCCAGGTTAAGCTGAAAATCATGGTTTGGATAAAACTCCAGCTTTTCATCACATTTACTTCTCATCTCATTGATATCTTCAAAATTCATCAGTTTAATCTCTTTGAGTTGTTGTGTCAGTACTTCCTCCATATCTTTTAGCTCTTGTGGGTCTGATTTTTCAAGGACTTCGTCTGCTGCCTGAACGCACGATGATGCATTTGCCGTCAGAGTAGACAAGGTTTGTCTCTGATTCTGAAGGGACTTCTGTTTCTTGCTGTAAAACTCTTCCAATTCCTGCAAATATTTGCTTTCCTGGCTTCTTATTATTTCTATCAGGGTATTGCTTGTGAAGCGCACCTCTTCCAGTGTCTTTTTCCAATTATCATCTAAACTCTCCAAAGCGCTATCTAGAATGGTGAGCCTTTTACGCATTTCTTCCACCACGGGTTTGCTGTGATCCAGTGATTTCTGAATCTTGAGACGCTCTTTTCGACCAGGTGTGACCTCTATAAATTTAATGAGCACATTGTTCGTCGGCAGAGAACTTATCCCTCCGGGAGGGATACGGGAAATCTGTCGACAAGTCGGACAACGGATTATTTCACTATTTTTACGAGCCATATTGTCTAAACAAGCCTTGCAGACGTTGTGAGCACAAACTGGAAGACATTTAGGTTCTATCAGTTCCTCCAGACAGATCGGACACGAAAGTTCTTCGGTGAAAACTCGAGTAAGACTAGCGTCCACATTGGAGGATAAACGAGAGGCAGTGGCCATCTTTAAAAGGATCGTCTCCTTCTTTCCTTGGCTTCGATTTGAAGTAGTCACTTTGAATAACTTGATTGAGTAAAAAACAATGATTGATTACCGTTTAACGAAAAAAATTGACGCACGTACTGCGGAAACAGAAGACCACGACCTAAAAACAACAACTTCCTCCCGCTGATTTTGTTGGCTCAAATAGTTTGGGGTGAACTTCCCAGGCGCAGACAGGATAGTAGCCTGTGAATACAGCAGTTTCTCCTTGTTCCTCTTGGCTGCTTGGGACGTTCTAAACGTCTCAAGTGGCGAGGAGCAAGGAGAAACGGCTGTATTCGGGGCTAACGGAATAGCGCTTTGCACTAATGACGTCACAAATTTCTGGTCCTGCTGTGACTCGGACATTGAACCTGATCCGTCAGAATTTTGTTGCGGAAAGTCACGTTCGCAAACCGTCGTTGTTGCTTAAGCTCCATATTGTTGTGAGGAATGCCGAGTTCGTACTAGCCTTGTTACTTTTATTTCTTTTCTTATGTACAGAAAAATACCTCGAATTAAAAATCTCTAATCTTTGTTTGCTTTGCTTTGTTTGTTTGTTTATGAAGAATTGTCGGGACTTTGGCCAAAGGACCTTGGCTCCGATACCCTGGGGTTTATTCATGTTTATTGCACGCTACTGCCTCACTCCACGGGTGCTTTTGTTGTTTTTGTTTAGACCGCGAGAGGAATGGGAAAAGTTGATTTGAAATCCCTTGCGGCTACGCCGCCAGCAGCACTTTACAGCAGCACAGGCTATGAATCAGTAGCCTGAACGCTCGCAAAACACAAGTGTCTTTTTATGAGTGGATTTCTTGGGCGCAGGGAATTTACAGAATTCCCACAACACTTTCAAGGGGATTGTGTTCCGTGACAAAGAACGGGTTTGTGTTCGTTCCAAACTTCAGAAAATCATAACCTGTTACATTGTTCGTACAGGTCATGAAAAACAAAGTCTGGAAAGTCATGGAATTTAAGAATTTCGTTTTCAAGGCCTGGAAAGTCATGGAATTTCATTTTCGGTCCTTGAAAGTCATGGAAAATTAAAGTTTTGTTCGGTAGATTAGTTACTGCAGATGACAAAGCAAGGGTAATGTAAGATAAAGAGGAGTAATTAAACAGCACGAACGACAGGCATTTTGGTGTATACCAGAGTTTGTTTCTGTTGAACTGTGTAAGGTCAAAAAATATGCTAAAACAAGTGACGTTTTGAAATTTTCGAAAGTGACAGCTAAATGTAAGGTCATGGAAAACTAGAAAAGGTCAGGGAATTTGAAGAACTAGGGAAAGTACTAACCCTCTATTATATTTTACGTGTCCGAAAACAAAGGTACTTGAAAGAAAAATACGTGTTCTGAAAAAGAAGGACATCAGGATAGCATAAGCATATGTCCAAACAAAGAGAAGCTGTCCCGGGATGGGACAGGCGCTGGCGTGGGTGGGGGGCTCCTCATTTTGGAGCCCAGAAACCAAGGTATATTAACACCAAGCCACCAGAGCGCATGCCAACAGCAAGAGGACGCTGACCATTGGTGCTTGGGTTCCATTGCATAAGCCATCATCGCAGCAATTCACTTCACAATCGTCGATGGTAGCTCCATCTTTCACCAAAACCTTACACAGATATTCGTTGCAAAGTAATTTACTGCCACATTCTTTAAAAAATCCTTCCACATACGTGTCTGCCACTCTTCCACCAAAATAAAGCTTGACACAGCTGTCTGTACCGGATGGACAGAGCATCTCGCTGCTATTGAAATCGCAGTTACTCCATGATCTTGTTGACATGCACTTGTGGCAATGAAGCGCGAGTCCTGCCAAACAAAATAAAACAGAAAACTGTCTGGTACTCGCAATTTTTATTATCTAGTACAGTGGAACCTCGGTATGACGAAGGCCAAGGGAAAATTTGTTCGCTATAACTGTTAGTTTCGTTATATCGAGGTTCTTTTCCATATACTTTACTATTTCTGGGGTAAAGAAAATCGTTCGCTATATTGAGGACTTCGTTATATATATATGGAGAGAGAGGTTTGTTATATCGGATCAATCTTAGCAGCTGAGCACAGAACCTTATATAAAAACAGTAACAGAATATAATATACAAGACCTTATATATTCCATTGCACTAAAATTAGCCTATTTTAGTTGCTGTGTCACTAAATAGCGCAATTTAATTAATATAGCTCATTACTAAAAGTCCTTCTTACGAACGCCTTCTTTAACACTTAAAAATTATGTAAACAGTTTTTGTTGTCTTTTGTGTATGACTTAGAGAAGGCTTTCCTAAGATAATTACGGAAGGCTTGTGTAAGAGTTCTTACAGAACGTGTAAGAGAGCTTGCACAAGCCTTTTGTAAGATACTTACAGAACGCGTAAGAAGGCTCACAGAAGGCTTGTGTAAGACTCTTTATACAAGGCTTGTGTAAGTATCTAACCATGATAAGGCTTGTATAAAGAGTCCTTACACAAGCCTTGTGTAAGGACTCTTACACAAGCCTTTTGTAAGTATCTTACACAAGTCTTGTGTAACGACTCTTACACAAGCCTTGTGTAAGAGACCCTACACAAGGCTTGTGTAAGATACTTACAGAAGGCTTGTGTAAGTATCTTACAGAACGCGTGAGAGTCCTTACACAAGGCTTGTGTTAGGTTGCTTACACAAGGCTTGTGTAAGGTTGCTTACACAAGGCTTGTGTAAAATACTTATAGAAGGCTTGTGTAAGAGTCCTTACACAAGGCTTGTGTAAGATACTTACAGAACGCATAAGAAGGCTTACACAAGCCTTGTGTAAGATACTTACAGAACGCGAAGAAGGCTTACACAAGGCTTGTGTAAGATACTTACAGAACGCGAAGAAGGCTTACACAAGCCTTGTGTAAGATACTTACAGAACGCGAAGAAGGCTTACACAAGCCTTGTGTAAGATACTTACAGAACGCGAAGAAGGCTTACACAAGGCTTGTGTAAGGTACTTACAGAACGCGAAGAAGGCTTACACAAGGCTTGTGTAAGATACTTACAGAACGCGAAGAAGGCTTACACAAGGCTTGTGTAAGATACTTACAGAACGCGAAGAAGGCTTACACAAGCCTTGTGTAAGATACTTACAGAACGCGAAGAAGGCTTACACAAGGCTTGTGTAAGATACTTACAGAACGCGAAGAAGGCTTACACAAGGCTTGTGTAAGGTACTTACAGAACGCGAAGAAGGCTTACACAAGGCTTGTGTAAGATACTTACAGAACGCGAAGAAGGCTTACACAAGCCTTGTGTAAGATACTTACAGAACGCGAAGAAGGCTTACACAAGGCTTGTGTAAGATACTTACAGAACGCGAAGAAGGCTTACACAAGCCTTGTGTAAGACACTTACCGAACGCGTAAGAAAGCTTACACAAGGCTTGTGTAAGATACTTATTTACAGAGGGCTTGTGTAAGAGTCTTACAAAACGCCGAAGAAGGCTTACAGAAGTCTTGTGTACAAGTCTTTACACAAGGCTTGCTACAGAAGGCTTATTTGAGATTTTTACCGAAGACTTGTATAAGACTCATTACTGGCGGTTTGTGTAAGAAAGGCTTGTGAATCGCTTAGGGTATTCTTTAAAGACTTGTGTAAGACTTGTTATACCATGTACAAATGCCTTTGGTATCAATATTTAAAACCGTTTTTCTACCCCATTAAAGTCATCGATATTGGGGTTTTTTGCGATTGTAGTGATAAATGCCACTTGCAGAGCAGGGAGCCGTTGGCGATCATTTGTCAACGATGATTGTTCGCGCCGTCTGAAAGAGTCTTCCTTTTCTTCCTTGACTTTTTTGAGAACCTCCCAAGATAATGATGATTTTGTCGTTTTTAATCCTCCCATGCTACCCACATCATTAATGATACGTTTATCTGAGTTCATCTATGAGACTTTATTTTTAAAACTTCTACAAACAACAAATGGCAGTAAAAAAATTGTTAATAATCGGTGAAGGATTTTGCCCAAGCTACATGCACGGCTTTGCCTTTTTTATTGAGTTTAATTTTTGTCTATAACTATAAAGCGTCGGTATTTAAAAAATCACGTAAACGGTAATAAATTTTTCCGTTCCCACACTCGTACCTGACTGATTTGTCGTTTATTCAAATTTTCATCTTCTACATAAAAATAATGTGGCACATCGATAAGTTCAATTTCAACAGAAATCTAATCCAAGACTCAGCAATTCGTATTCCAACTGTCTGTGAGTAACATATAATATCAGCAATTAACTACAAATTCGAGCATACAAATTAAATCAATGATATAGACAAAGAGCACCTTTAATCAGCCCATGCTATGATTTTCTACTATCATTCTGGGTATTTTTCTATCCATAATTTTTTGGCTGCCAAGGTGACCCTTCTTTTTATGTCTTTGCTACAAATTTTTACAATTCAAACCATTAAAAACTTACGCATTCATCTTTTATCAATTATCGGATGAGGTTTTTGTGATGTCTGGAATATTCAAAGTAGCGGTAAAGGTTTATCAGCCGAACCGAAGGCCGGGGCTAATAACACTTACCGAGAACTTGATTATTTAGGATATCACAAAAACCGAACCGAGTGATTATTGTATTTTGTTTTGAAGAAAATAACGACAAACACACCTCTTCGTTGTAGTTAATCTCGTCTCAGAATCAAAAGCTCCGTAATGTTAAGGGAAAAATCCGAAAAGGAAGAGGTCGTCTCAGTGAAAGTCGAGATAGGTCTAAAATTCTGGTCACTTTTCCACAGGACAGAATACAGGTCACCGTGATAAAAAAATAAAAATAATAATAAAATAAAATGAAATAAAAATGTCTAGCCCCGGTTTTTTTTACCGTTTTCATTGAGGGCAATCTGTGTGGTTTGTTAATTTGTCGATGGAACAGAGAATTCTAATTTTGACTTGTGGAATGTGACCTGTACTTTAGACCCGGCAGTTAATATTCTTGCCTTCAACAAAAATTAAGTCATTCGTGATAGAAATTTCGTACAAACAAAATGTGAATACAAAGACAATACCCACTTCCTTTCAAAAGTCTAAGGGGCCGACCATTTGACTTTTGAAGAATAATTTTTAATACGAAATCTGTCTTCCCGAGTTGAAACAATATTTCACTCGTTCGCGCTTTTTCAACACTGGAAGAGAAATTCCATACCTCAGCGCGGTCACGTCATATGTTTTACTGTTTTCAGTGAAGGAAATTTTTTTCCCTGTTATCTCCTTGAAAGAATTTTATTTCCTCGAGATCATTATGCAGGAAATTTTTTTATAAATTATTCGCCCACCCTCCACCCCCCCTTACCACCCACTTCAAAACGTCACATGGTCGCCGGGGTTACATTTATAAATACGTGGGATTTACAACTGCTATTTTCGCAGTTATGGATTTAGGGGGAGTTTCCGACTTGATTCTTATTTCTATGTACTCCCCCTCTTTCAAAAGTATATACTTAGGACCCTCCAAGTCCAAGTATGCTTGGGTTTTCTCGTCACTTGGTTTCACGAAAAAACTGTCAAAACAAAATATAACAATTTGGTTAATTGACAATCTATTATTTCCAGTAACAATCTTCAATACTTTGAGTCTGGAACCCCATCTAATGGCGGGAAAATTTTTCGCGAGGTCGACAACGGCATTGTTAACTATTTATGGAAACAATCCTTCCTTGGAAAAGGAGGAAAAGAAAAAGTCGCGCGATGAAGGAGGATACATTTGGGAAAGAAGAACAAACTTTCTTTTTTGGTTATAGTGCATTATACAATTTGCGATACGTTGTCGTTCTCTTGTTTACCCTATTACATATGAAGACATAATACTGAATTCGCATAAACTATTTCGGTTCTCGTCAATCAGTATCTTTGTTATTAAGGGTACGGTTTTTACTTAACGTAGAGACAGCTGTACAATGGCCGATTATTGCTAGAGCCGTCAACAAATACTTGCCTTGGGACGACAGCAATGTCCTCCAACCCCTGGATGTATTTCAGGCGCACTAAGCCTTTTTGGAAGTATAACCTCCACCTCCTTTCAAGTTTAACAAAGACTGGTGAGGCTAAAGGGCCTGATCCTGCATCCAGTCCTGTCCACGTTAGGACGAACTGTTCTGATGGTGAACGATGTGGAAGAACGGCCAATCGTCCCTGCAATAACAGTTTTGAAAAACAATCATTATTTTTCTGTCCTCTATCCTCTGTCTGCTGAGACATCAGTGGCACCCAGCGACATTTTTCTGTCAAAATAACTTTTCCAAGGACAACCGTTCCATTCGTGTGAAATATTTGGAGGTTCTCTAACAGATTAACTACGATTTTCGGAGGTTGTGTTATCCACATTTTAATACTAATATATTGTGTTTAATAAAAAAGGTCTCCTAAAAATCTCGTTATAAAGACAAAATGTCCCATGTAATTTTCTAAATTTGAAATTAAGGCTACTTCATGTTCTCAAACTTTCGCCGGACCCATAATGGTAGCTAACACTTTCGGATGAGACGCAAAAAAGCCACCTATACTAAGACTTTCGTGACGACCAAAGTTCCTCTCAGACATCTAAACAGATTAATGGTTTTTATGGCAACTCAAAATTAACCTAACAGGCTTTCAAGGCACAGGGAAAACTATTTGAGACTCTTCTGGCGTATTCGGAAACTTGGGAGCCTAATTAAAAAGTAAACGTTTGTTTGGCCATTTTTTTTCTCAAAGCTTTTGATCGAAGAAACTTAAGTCAACAATAACTGAGTTTTTTCTGGCTATGTATAATCGATTTTAAATTTTTTTTCACCCACCTTCTCCGACTTCCACAGAATTCCCGTTCTTTCACTTTCCATTAAAGATATGTGACGTTCCATTTTTTCTTTTTTGTGTTCCAACATTTCCCCTTTTCTGCAATGCTGCCCGCAGCCACGTACGGGACATTGCTCTACGACTTTGGGGCAATCCAAGCAATGTGAAGGAATCAAATACCTGAAAATAAAGTAAGCATATAGTTACCTTCCCTGGTCACAGATTGTCAGTCACTCTAATCCATAGACTTTCCAAGTATTAAAGAGTATGATAAGAAGAAGCCGGAGGCTGAAAAGGATATAATTTGTCTTCAACAGTTCGTTCCCTGGAGGAGTACCCTTCGCGCACAGGCCCTTCGATCTTCCTAGATAACTCGGGAAGAGGAAGGAGCCTCTCCTCGCAGAGTACGGGGGGTGATATTCCTGGAAAGTCTTGGTGGGGGTGTGCTCTTTGTTCTCCAAATCCTGACCCTTTTGTAGACCAGAAAATGTCATTTTCCGCACCAATTTTCAGACCTGGTCTTTAGGCAGAAATAAAGCTGCCATTAATTAGATTAGAGCGCAATTTTCTTTTCAAACTCATTTGGAATTCGCATACTTATATTTCTTTCTTACTCATCTGGAATTGAAACGATAGATACGTTCATACACTCCCGTAGTTCCCTCGAAAACCATACGGTAAAGTGTATACCCGTTTTCATACCAAAAGGCAAAACGGCGCAAAAACTCTACCCACTGGGGCGGGAAATATACGGGAATCCATCGAGCGAAATGCGCAACACACGCAAATGATTACGCGCTTGACTGAAGGTGTGAAACAGGGGAGAGATCGCCCCTCGCCGCTCGCGTGCGCGCGTGTACTCTCTCTCTCCCAAAATTCAAATACCAGCATGTTGTTTGAAGAAACCCTATAAAAAGGATTCGAAAGTACAGTAATGATTTTCGCGACGCAGTATATTCGCGACAACATATCCACTTAAGATTCACATATACGCTGCTATACGAGATATATTGTGGACTGAGAAAATTTTAAAAACCCTCGTCACTTGATGAGTCAAGACATTCATTTCTCAGAGAAGTTAGCCTGTTCCAGTCTCTGAGATAGTCAGGTCCACGAAACAAACGCCGGGTGGAACCTCGAAAATAAGAATAAAATCACACGCTTATATCATCGCCTGGCTTACACTTACGCGTTATCTGAGATCCTGTGTACACAAGCTACTGAGCATTTCAATCATTTTAAGTTACGTTTTAAATAAATTTTTACCTTTGGACGGTCGATCCACAACCTAGCCTACATTGGACTTCGGCCAACCTGCACACCTCTCTATGTTGCTCTTGATCCTGACGAAAGATCTGAAGCGAGCATCGGCAAGTTATCTTGCTCTTTGGGCAACTTCCATGGTGGACTGTGTTGTCCTTTCGCTTTATTGAAGCTTGGCACTGCTCGCATGGTACTTCGATCTCCCCGCAGTCTTTAGTGACGTGGGTCTCGACTTCATTCAGCGCCAGTTCTTGGCTGCAGCCCTTGCAGGTCGCCTTCACATTCCCCAGCAACTTTTCCTTGCAAAGATGTTGCGGCAAAAGCCTAACCTGGGCTGTCTGCACATATGGCAGTTCTTTACGCCATTCTTTACTAGCTGGTCAGCACAATGCCCGCAAACTGGATGACCACATGGATTGGCGATTTGTGGGTTGACCATCGGATACGTACTGAAATGGAAAGAATCAATGTCAAGTGTCGGACGTAACCTTTGTCCCTGAAACAACCAGTCAAAAGAATTTTACTTTTCTTACCAAATTTCACAAATAAACTCTTTTGGGACGCTGCTTACATCCACGTTTTCGAAGAACTGTTGAGACGACATGTTTGGCCGGTTATCTCAGGTATACCACGTGCGCGTTATGATATAGCTGTAAACTGAGATGATTAAAAGCGCTTTTTACTTCAAGTCTTTGTTACAGTAGACCCCCTCGCGCGACTCTTTCTCCTGGGGTCGTATGGGAAACACGTACGTTTCCGACTTGAATATTGTTCTTTAAATAATTTTATCATCAACGGATCTCTTCCTCTGTCTGCTTTTCGCTATAAACAAGGTTTAAATGGTCTGTGCGCAGGCTAGGAATGACCTTGACTTGTTAAACTGACGACCGCAAATAGTTTTATTACAAAGGAAAGCTCCCCTTGTTCACAAGTATCAGCTGTCTGACTCACGTGCAGATTATCGGAGAACCATTAGGGACGGACCATTAGAAAACTTTTGTGGGGGTGGCGAAGTACAAAAAAAAAAAACTTCGCGCAAGGGAAATTTTAATTAAAAAAAATTCTTGCACGCCAATTAACCCTAAGAAATATTCATGTAAGGGCCTGAAAAAAATTCATACTAGGAATTTGATAACGAGAAAACATTCCTGCCGCTCGAAAATTCCCCTTTCCCCCCCCCCCATAACTTTTCTAATGGTCCGTCCCTTATGCGCTATTGAAGCCAAAGTGTTGAAAAGTCGAACACGATCTACTTGGTTGTAGGAGGGTGGAGTTTAATACGAGCCAAAAGAACGTCTGAGGCGAGACACTTCGTGCTGGATGCGTAAGCTTAGATAAAGAGTTCAAAATGAACCTCGTGGATGTTACCAGGCTTTCTAACGGTCCGATTACCGACCTGATCAGCTGGCTGCACCGTGAAAAACTCATTGCTAATCCCCTTAGATGTTTACCGTGTAATAGAGGAATGGTGTTGGCCGAGAGAGATGCAAACCACGTCGATGGATATCTATGGTAAGGTTTACGTTAGACTCATCAGGGCACAAGTCATTTTTATCACTGGTATTTGTTTTCGTGATTTGTTTGGTCAATTACTGTATATAAAAAGAATCGAACGAAAGGAACCCGGCCAAGTCCCGGATTTTTGATTCCACGGCGTGGGTAGCCTGCGAGCAAGCTCTCCTATTTAGGCGAGTGAACGCGAGAACGCGCGAGCAAGCGGGAAAGCCGCGAGGGGCTTGCCGAAATAGGAGAGATTGCTCGCAGACTACGGCGTGGATTCCAGATTCTTCCGTATGGATTCCCAATTGTAAGTGGGACTTGGACTGCTGATTCCAATCGTTGGTAGGATTGAAGATTCTTTGGGCTGTATCCTGCATTCCAAAGTCTAGGATTCCGCATGCAAAAAAAAATTCCATATTTAGGATTTCACATTTAGTCCCCCCCTCACCGTAACGATTCCTGTCTTTAAATCTTAAAGAGGCTAAGAATTTTGGTTTTACTTTTAAAGGAGATGCACTGTTTGTCGTCGCAAGAAATCTTTGCGCGAAGGAAGTTTCTTTGCTGAATTTCCAAGGGTTCCTCTTGGAAAACTCGTACTGTTGATATACTTATGGAGTCTTCATGAGTTACGCTCTAAATCAGCTGACATGGTCGGATTGACCCGAAACACAGTTGGAAACGTGTTTGCCATGCTAATATATTTTTGTAAAAGGGATCTTCAAAGCAGACCAATTACACCATTTGGCGGACGTGTTTTCGTGGTGAAGTGTGACGAAAGTCAATTCAAGCACAAATCGAAGGTGATGAGACAACAGAATTTGATGTTTGTTTTGAATTGCACCAGATTATCCCGAAAAGCGTCTTTCGGATAGGTTTATTCAAGTTCAGCCAGCCGAAGCCCGCGGAAAAGAAGCGCTGTTTCTGTCCTGCATAGCTGGCGGGATAAGCGTTTCCTAGCAGAGACAGACCGAGGAACGGGATTTCGGTTTTGGCCGCGCGAGAAAGAAATTTTTCGTGCGGCATTTGACCCTCCTCGTTCCTTGCTTCTAAACCGCGCGGAAACGCATACTATTTTCCCCCGCGGCTCTGCCCCCAAGAAAGCATTTCGACGAAACAATCCCGCTATGTTGTTACGTTGTTTCTTTTGCGTTCTTAAGAAAATGAAACGAAAATGTGAAGGGTGGGAGTCGTTAGTGAAAGACCCCGAGAGAACGTAAGTAATGCCCTATGGTTGCCTCGACTCTCTCTCGCTCGTCTCTCACGAATGTTACCTTTTTCTCCACTAGCCTGATATCATCTAAAGTTTTAGTTCAAATTTTCCCCACTTTGGAAATAGCAAGCTATCACTAACGGCCTACTTTAACAATTTCTTGTAGTACGAAAGAGGACGAAGGGCAAGAGATGATGTTTGGGTCTTCGGAGTCATCTCGCTGGAATATTCTCCCCGTCGGGGTTACTTCTGTGTCGTGGAAAGACGAGACAGAGCAACATTGACCCAAATTCTTCAGAGGGTACTCCTGCCTGGCTCAGAAGTACATACTGACGACTGGGCAGCGTACAGAAACTTGCATGTACATGTTCCTAACGTAACAGTGCATCGAACAGTCGTCCACCGGGATAACTTCGTGGATCCCGTCACAGGAATTCACACGCAAGAAGCCGAATCAGCATGGGCGCGTCTAAAGTACCACATTAAGAAGGAAAAAGGAATCCGCCATGGAGATATACAAGATTTCCTAGACGAGCAAATGTGGAGGGATTGGCGAGGACTGGATGCTATATTTCAGAATGCCATCATTTTAATTTCCAATCATTACCCTCTTTAGTTCAAACGAAATTTTCAGTCGGTTTTTTTCTTTCTTTTTTTTTTCATAGGCTTTCAGCTTTAAAATATGTAGGCTTTTTGTAAGCTTATTTTTTTTACCCATTTGTAATGAGTTTTTAAAATTTAACCAATTTCGCCAGTGCAATTGTTGTTTCTGCTCGATATTGTAATATTGTAACATTTTTGAATGTGTTAAACCTTACAGTATCCTGAAAAAAGGCCGGTCAAATCAATCTTGTCCGATCAGTGTAAGTGTTGTATTGATTTAACCCTTTTGCTGGCCGTAGAATAATAAAAAAGAGTTTGATCTTACTCTATGAGAACTTTTGTTCGTCAACTGCGTTTATTTGTGGCCAAATGACCAAAAAAGTAATTGTGATAAAGCTTTACGTTAAAAATGCTAGTACATGTATTATGTATGCAGACGCGCGATCGACAAAGAAGGGTTGAGGGTACCTCTAAATTTAAGCAGCTTGCGCGACGCGCCTATTAAAGTTAGCC